ATACATCAGTAGATCTTATTTTGTTGCTAATGTCTTCTTGCCCTGCACCAGCCAGGATGATTGTATATTGAGTGCCTACATTTAAAATATGTCAGTGTCATATTAAAGTTGTGTTATTATAATGCTATTAGTCTGCATTTATTTTATTTCTACTTCTAAGTCAAAAAATATCCTTAATTTAGACCTTGATTTAGACCTGACAATTAGCTAATTGAAGCTTATATATACACACCTGTATTAGATAAATTACTTGAAATACTACTTAGGGGGTTAATACAAGTCTCTATGGCTAGCCAATAGTTCAAACACACCTAAATGAGAGGTTAAAATGAAAGAAAGCTCATTTTGAAGGAAGGCGATTTTTCGTTTTTGAACAGCTGCACTCTATTACTTCAATGAGTAATAACTACAATAAAGCTACCAGTTACCAAGGTCTATCAAATAAAAACTTATTGTAGGGATGTATAAAAAAATCACAACTAGAATTTGCCCACCTAGGTGGTACCGATATGTGAAATTTTGGTTATTGGCTCAAGGACTAAAACTCAAGTTCACAAACACAACAAGTCAAGTTCAAGCAACACCCGATCCTCAAGTTCAACAATTTCCACAAACTTAAGTTAAAAAACACCAGAACCTCTAGTTCAAAAAACATGATAAACTCAAGTTCAAATATGCCACAAACTCAAGTTCAATGAACACCACAAACTCAAGTTCAACCACCACCCGATTCTCAAGTTTAACAATTGCCACAACCTCAAGGTTAAAAAAAACACAAACTCAAGTTCAAACACTTCACAAACTCAAGTTCAAAAACACCACACAAACTCAAGTTCAACAAACACCACAAACTCAAGTTCAACAAACACAACAAGTCAAGTTCAAGCAACACCCGATCCTCAAGTTCAACAATTTCCACAAACTTAAGTTAGAAAACACCAGAACCTCAAGTTCAAAAAACATAATAAACTCAAGTTCAAATATGCCACAAACTCAAGTTCAATGAACACCACAAACTCAAGTTCAACGAACGCCACAAACAAAAGTTCAACAATTGCCACCAACTAAAGTTCACTAAAAACCATAGACTCAAGTTCAACAATTGCCAAAAAATCAAGCCAAACAAACTCAAGTTCATAAGTTGCCACAAACTTCAAACACGACACAAACTCAAGTTCAAAAACACCACAAACTCAAGTTCAAAAACGACACAAACTCAAGTTCAACAAACAAAACTAACTATTTAGAGTAATTTTGAGGTGTTTGAGAGGTTTTTTGTAGACTTACCCTAGTGGTCCTAAGTTGTTGTTGATGTGAGGGGTTTCTTTTCCAGTAGTCTAAAATCTGTTGGAGGGGGGAAAAGGTTCCAGCTGTCCATCCGCGGTGGCAGCGGTGTGTCTGAAGTCCGGGGTCCTCGGCGGGGGAAAGAAGATCAGCGCTCCGCGGGAAGGTTTGCTGGGACTCGGTGCTGTAGGCGGGTCGAAGCTCGGTGGTGGGCGGCTTGGAGTGATGGAGGTGCGGCGTCTTCTTTCAGTTGGCGGCGCGGCGTCTTCCTCGATGGTGGTCCGTCTTCTTGGTCCAGAGGTCAGTGCTTTGTCTCAATAACTGGAACAGGAATTGCTCTTCAGTGCACGGCACTTAAATGTGCTTTTCACACGAGGAGACATCCCCAGAGTTGGGCTCGAGTCATGGTTTGTGCTGTTCCTCTCAGACATGGTTGTGTTCTCTTCTCGATGTTTGTATTCCAGAATGGATGTCTCTTGGTTGTATTTTAAACCTTCAAGTTGTTTTAAGTTAATTTTAATGTAGTTTATTGTTTTAAATTGAGTTTTGCTACATTCAATTTGTATGCAATCGCAAGGGATTGTGGGTATTTTAGTTCTGAGGGATGAGAGCCTAAGGAATCAATCTTCCTGTTACAGCAAAGGATTGTGGGTAAAACCGTGAGGAAGTGAGGTACTTCCTTTCTGGCATGAGAGCCTTGGGAATCAATCTCCCTGTTGCAGCAAAGGATTGTGGGTAAAACCGTGAGTGAGGGAGGTACATTTTTCCTGGCATGAGAACCTCAGGAGTCAGTCCTTCCTAAGAAAAAAGAGGGGAGGGGGGAAGAAAAACAAAAGCACAGGAACCCTAAAATAAAATAAAATAATATAAAACAATGAAAAAATAAAAGAAGAACAAAAGTGGATTGCAAAAGGGAAAGGGGAAGAAAAAAGGAAAAAAAGAAGTGTCAAGAGCAAATAGCAAAAATCAGAAGTGAGCTTAAAAACAGAGAACAGTTCCCTAAAAGAAAGACAGAAATGTAAATCTGATCAATGTCCTAAGGGAAAATCTGTACGTGTGTGTGTGTGTGTTCTTTTTTGCTAACTTAGTCTGGTGTCACTGATGGTCAGTTATTGATAAGTATTTATTATTTAAATTTTTGATGAAGTTGTTTGTAGTGGGGTTAGCTGGCTAATTTTAGAGTGTTAAAAAGATGTTAGAGGGGGAGGATTTAGGGGGCACGGCGGTTCCCCTTCAGGTCTTTCTTAATCCTCCATATAGGTGACCCAACAGGGGTTACCCCCCGGCCGGGGTAGGCCTAGGCTGAAGATCACCTATTTGTCCTCTGTGAAGGTGAAAATAAAGGGGCAGGGGAGGGAATAAGAAAGGGGGGGTGTTAGAGAGAGGGGTAGAGATGAGGGAGAGAGATGAGGGAGAGAGAGAGAGAGAGAGAGAGAGAGAGAGAGAGAGAGAGAGAGAGAGAGAGAGAGAGTGTGTGTGTGTGTGTGTGTGTGTGTGTGTGTGTGTGTGTGTGTGTGTGTGTGAGAGAGAGAGAGAGAGAAGGGAAGAGGGAGAGGGGGGTTTAAGGGAGAGGTGGAGATGGTGGAAAATAAAGATTGGTGAGGGGGATGTTGACATATCACATGTTCCCAGTCAAGTCTCCAAGCTCAATCTGTGTGTAAAAATTATGTGTTGGTAGGAAGTTTAATGACTCCACTCAATTGGTATGCCATGCTGTCTATCTTTTAGACTATGTGTTTGTAAATTATGTATATATTATATTACAGGGCTAGGGTAAGGTTAAAGGTTTTTGGCGTTAGGGTTAAAATCACTGTCCAAAACCTTTGTAGGAACTCTTTTCCAACCTTTTGGAGTAAGCTAGACCAAAAAAAAAAAAATGAAAAATGAAAAAAAAAATGTTTGGGGTGTTCAGGCTTCCTAAAAGTAATACACTGGTATTAGGTTTTGGGGCTAGGGTAAGGTTTAAGGTTTTTGGCGTTAGGGTTAAAATCACTGTCCAAAACCTTAGTAGGAACTCTTTTCCAACCTTTTGGAGTTGGTTACACCAACAAAAATGTAAAATGAAAAAAAATATTTGGGGCTTTCGGGCTTCCTGAAGGTTATACCCGGGAATTAGATTTTATGGCTAGGGTAAGGTTTAAGTTTTTTTGGCGTTAGGGTTAAAATCACTGTCCAAAACCTTTGTAGGAACTCTTTTCCAACCTTTTGGAGTCAGTTAGACCAAAAAAAAAACGAAAAATGAAAAAAAAATATTTGGGGTGTTCAGGCTTCCTAAAAGTAATACCCGGGTATTAGGTTATGGGGCTATGGTAAGGTTTAAGGTTTATGGCATTAGGGTTAAAATCACTGTCCAAAACCTTTGTAGGAACTCTTTTCCAACCTTTTGGAGTTAGTTACACCAACAAAAATGTAAAATGAAAAAAAAATATTTGGGGTTTTCGGGCTTCCTGAATGTAATACCCGGGTATTAGATTTTAAGGCCAGGGAAAGGTTTAAGTTTTTTGGCGTTAGGGTTAAAATCACTGTCCAAAACCTTTGTAGGAACTCTTTTCCAAGCTTTTGGAGTTAGTTAGACCAAAAAAAAAAACGAAAAATGAAAAAAAAATATTTGGGGTGTTCAGGCTTCCTGAAGGTAATACCCGGGTATTAGATTTTAAGGCCAGGGAAAGGTTTAAGTTTTTTGAAGTTAGGGTTGAAATCACTGTCCAAAACCTTTGTAGGAACTCATTTCCAATTTTTTGGAGCTAGTTAGACCAAAAAAAAAAGAAAAATGAAAAAAAATATTTGGGGTGTTCAGGCTTCCTAAATGTAATACCCAGGTATTAGGTTATGGGGCTATGGTAAGGTTTAAGGTTTTTTGCATTAGGGTTAAAGTCACTGTCCAAAACCTTTGTAAGAACTCTTTTCCAACCTTTTGGAGTTGGTTACACCAACAAAAATGTAAAATGAAAAAAAAATATATATGGGGTGTTCGGGCTTCCTAAAAGTAATACCCGGGTATTAGATTTTAAGGCTAGGGTAAGGTTTAAGTTTTATGGCGTTAGGGTTAAAATCACTGTCCAAAACATTTGTAGGAACTCTTTTCCAACTGTTACGGCTGTGTGTTTGTTTTGCATGTGTTTTCCTCTTTTGTCTCTCCATAGCTGCCCAGGTGAAATCACTTGAGTGACAATCAGACTCACCTGGTGCTGGGAGTCTAAAAGCCCAGAGCTGCCTGCAGTCTGGAGAGGCATTTGGTGGGGAACTGCTGCCCTGCTGCCTCTCATTTGTGTTGTGGGTGCTTTGTGTTTAGTTTGCAATTTTGTTGTTTTTTCACAATAAATCACGTGTTAAACTTTTGAAGGTGTTTTGGTTAATTTGATGGGTAAAAAGTTGAGGATTGTTGTTAGCCCCATAGGGCCGCCTAAGGGTGGGGTGTAACACCAACCTTTTGGAGTTGGTTACACCAACAAAAATGTAAAATGAAAAAAAAATATTAGGGGTGTTCGGGCTTCCTGAAGGTAATACCCGGGTATTAGGTTATGGGGCTATGGTAAGGTTTAATGTTTTTGGCATTAGGGTTAAAATCACTGTCCAAAACCTTTGTAGGAACTCTTTTCCAACCTTTTGGAGTTGGTTACACCAAAAAAAAAAAGAAAAATGAAAAAAAAAATATTTGGGGTGTTCGGGCTTCCTGAAGGTAATACCCGGGTATTAGGTTATGGGGCTATGGTAAGGTTTAAGGTTTTTTGCATTAGGGTTAAAGTCACTGTCCAAAACCTTTGTAAGAACTCTTTTCCAACCTTTTGGAGTTGGTTACACCAACAAAAATGTAAAATGAAAAAAATATATATATGGGGTGTTCGGGCTTCCTAAAGGTAATACCCGGGTATTAGATTTTAAGGCTAGGGTAAGGTTTAAGTTTTATGGCGTTAGGGTTAAAATCACTGTCCAAAACATTTGTAGGAACTCTTTTCCAACTGTTACGGCTGTGTGTTTGTTTTGCATGTGTTTTCCTCTTTTGTCTCTCCATAGCTGCCCAGGTGAAATCACTTGAGTGACAATCAGACTCACCTGGTGCTGGGAGTCTAAAAGCCCAGAGCTGCCTGCAGTCTGGAGAGGCATTTGGTGGGGAACTGCTGCCCTGCTGCCTCTCATTTGTGTTGTGGGTGCTTTGTGTTTAGTTTGCAATTTTGTTGTTTTTTCACAATAAATCACGTGTTAAACTTTTGAAGGTGTTTTGGTTAATTTGATGGGTAAAAAGTTGAGGATTGTTGTTAGCCCCATAGGGCCGCCTAAGGGTGGGGTGTAACACCAACCTTTTGGAGTTGGTTACACCAACAAAAATGTAAAATGAAAAAAAAATATTAGGGGTGTTCGGGCTTCCTGAAGGTAATACCCGGGTATTAGGTTATGGGGCTATGGTAAGGTTTAATGTTTTTGGCATTAGGGTTAAAATCACTGTCCAAAACCTTTGTAGGAACTCTTTTCCAACCTTTTGGAGTTAGTTAGACCAAAAAAAGAATGAAAAATGAAAAAAAAATATTTGGGGTTTCCGGGCTTCCTAAAAGTAATACCCGGGTATTAGATTTTAAGGCAAGGGTAAGGTTTAAGTTTTATGGCGTTAGGGTTGAAATCACTGTCCAAAACCTTTGTAGGAACTCTTTTCCAACCTTTTGGAGTTAGTTAGACCAAAAAATATGAAAAAGGAAAAAAAAATATTTGGGGTTTTCGGGCTTCCTGAAGGTAATACCCGGGTATTAGGTTTTGGGGCTAGGGTATGGTTTAAGTTTTCTGGCGTTAGGGTTAAAGTCACTGTCCAAAACCTTTGTAAGAACGCTTTTCCAACCTTTTGGAGTTGGTTACACCAACAAAAATGTAAAATGAAAAAAAAAATATATGGGGTGTTCGGGCTTCCTAAAAGTAATACCCGGGTATTAGATTTTAAGGCAAGGGTAAGGTTTAAGTTTTATGGCGTTAGGGTTGAAATCACTGTCCAAAACCTTTGTAGGAACTCTTTTCCAACCTTTTGGAGTTAGTTAGACCAAAAAATATGAAAAAGGAAAAAAAAATATTTGGGGTTTTCGGGCTTCCTGAAGGTAATACCCGGGTATTAGGTTTTGGGGCTAGGGTATGGTTTAAGTTTTCTGGCGTTAGGGTTAAAATCACTGTCCAAAACCTTTGTAGGAACTCTTTTCAAACCTTTTGGAGTTGGTTACACCAACAAAAATGAAAAATGAAAAAAAAATATTTGGGGTGTTCAGGCTTCCTAAAAGTAATACCCCGGTATTAGGTTTTGGGGCTATGGTAAGGTTTAAGGTTTTTGGCGTTAGGGTTAAAATCACTGTCCAAAACCTTTGTAGGAACTCTTTTCCAACCTTTTGGAGTTAGCTAGACCAAAAAAAAAAAAAAGAAAAATGAAAAAAAAAATGTTTGGGGTGTGAAGGCTTCCTTAAGTTAATACCCGGGTGTTAGGTTCGGGAATAGGGTAAGGTTGAAGGTTTTTGGCGTTAGGGTTAAAATCACTGTCCAAAACCTTTGTAGGAACTCTTTTCCAACCTTTTGGAGTTAGTTAGACCAAAAAAAAAAAGAAAAATGAAAAAAAAAATATTTGGGGTGTTCAGGCTTCCTAAAAGTAATACCCGGGTATTAGGTTATGGGGCTATGGTAAGGTTTAAGGTTTATGGCATTAGGGTTAAAATCACTGTCCAAAACCTTTGTAGGAACTCTTTCCCAACCTTTTGGAGTTAGTTAGACCAAAAAAAAAAGAAAAATGAAAAAAAAATGTTTGGGGTTTTTGTGCTTCCTGAATGTAATACCCGGGTATTAGATTTTAAGGCCAGGGAAAGGTTTAAGTTTTATGGCGTTAGGGTTAAAATCACTGTCCAAAACCTTTGTAGGAACTCTTTTCGAACCTTTTGGAGTTAGTGAGACCAAAAAAAAAATGAAAAATGAAAAAAAAATATTTGGGGTGTTCGGGCTTCCTGAAGGTAATACCCGGGTATTAGGTTATGGGGCTATGGTAAGGTTTAAGGTTTTTGGCATTAGGTTTAAAATCACTGTCCAAAACCTTTGTAGGAACTCTTTCCAACCTTTTGGAGTTAGTTAGACCAAAAAAAGAATGAAAAATGAAAAAAAAATATTTGGGGTTTCCGGGCTTCCTTAATGTAATACCCGGGTATTAGATTTTAAGGCCAGGGTAAGGTTTAAGTTTTTTGGCATTAGGGTTAAAATTACTGTCCAAAACCTTTGTAGGAACTCTTTTCCAACCTTTTGGAGTTAGTTAGACCAAAAAAAAAAGAAAAATGAAAAAAAAATATTTGGGGTGTTCAGGCTTCCTAAAAGTAATACCCGGGTATTAGGTTATGGGGCTATGGTAAGGTTTAAGGTTTTTGGCATTAGGGTTAAAGTCACTGTCCAAAACCTTTGTAAGAACTCTTTTCCAACCTTTTGGAGTTGGTTACACCAACAAAAATGTAAAATGAAAAAAAAAATATATGGGGTGTTCGGGCTTCCTAAAAGTAATACCCGGGTATTAGATTTTAAGGCAAGGGTAAGGTTTAAGTTTTATGGCGTTAGGGTTGAAATCACTGTCCAAAACCTTTGTAGGAACTCTTTTCCAACCTTTTGGAGTTAGTTAGACCAACAAAAATGAAAAATGAAAAAAAAATATTTGGGGTGTTCGGGCTTCCTGAAGGTAATACCCGGGTATTAGGTTATGGGGCTATGGTAAGGTTTAAGGTTTTTGGCATTAGGTTTAAAATCACTGTCCAAAACCTTTGTAGGAACTCTTTTCCAACCTTTTGGAGTTAGTTAGACCAAAAAAAGAATGAAAAATGAAAAAAAAATATTTGGGGTTTCCGGGCTTCCTTAATGTAATACCCGGGTATTAGATTTTAAGGCCAGGGTAAGGTTTAAGTTTTTTGGCATTAGGGTTAAAATTACTGTCCAAAACCTTTGTAGGAACTCTTTTCCAACCTTTTGGAGTTAGTTAGACCAAAAAAAAAGAAAAATGAAAAAAAAATATTTGGGGTGTTCAGGCTTCCTAAAAGTAATACCCGGGTATTAGGTTATGGGGCTATGGTAAGGTTTAAGGTTTTTGGCATTAGGGTTAAAGTCACTGTCCAAAACCTTTGTAAGAACTCTTTTCCAACCTTTTGGAGTTGGTTACACCAACAAAAATGTAAAATGAAAAAAAAAATATATGGGGTGTTCGGGCTTCCTAAAAGTAATACCCGGGTATTAGATTTTAAGGCAAGGGTAAGGTTTAAGTTTTATGGCGTTAGGGTTGAAATCACTGTCCAAAACCTTTGTAGGAACTCTTTTCCAACCTTTTGGAGTTAGTTAGACCAAAAAATATGAAAAAGGAAAAAAAAATATTTGGGGTTTTCGGGCTTCCTGAAGGTAATACCCGGGTATTAGGTTTTGGGGCTAGGGTATGGTTTAAGTTTTCTGGCGTTAGGGTTAAAGTCACTGTCCAAAACCTTTGTAAGAACGCTTTTCCAACCTTTTGGAGTTGGTTACACCAACAAAAATGTAAAATGAAAAAAAATATATATGGGGTGTTCGGGCTTCCTAAAAGTAATACCGGGGTATTAGATTTTAAGGCAAGGGTAAGGTTTAAGTTTTATGGCGTTAGGGTTGAAATCACTGTCCAAAACCTTTGTAGGAACTCTTTTCCAACCTTTTGGAGTTAGTTAGACCAAAAAATATGAAAAAGGAAAAAAAAATATTTGGGGTTTTCGGGCTTCCTGAAGGTAATACCCGGGTATTAGGTTTTGGGGCTAGGGTATGGTTTAAGTTTTCTGGCGTTAGGGTTAAAATCACTGTCCAAAACCTTTGTAGGAACTCTTTTCAAACCTTTTGGAGTTGGTTACACCAACAAAAATGAAAAATGAAAAAAAAATATTTGGGGTGTTCAGGCTTCCTAAAAGTAATACCCCGGTATTAGGTTTTGGGGCTATGGTAAGGTTTAAGGTTTTTGGCGTTAGGGTTAAAATCACTGTCCAAAACCTTTGTAGGAACTCTTTTCCAACCTTTTGGAGTTAGCTAGACCAAAAAAAAAAAAAAAGAAAATGAAAAAAAAAATGTTTGGGGTGTGAAGGCTTCCTTAAGTTAATACCCGGGTGTTAGGTTCGGGAATAGGGTAAGGTTGAAGGTTTTTGGCGTTAGGGTTAAAATCACTGTCCAAAATCTTTTTAGGAACATGTTTCAGACCTTTTGGAGTTGGTTACACCAAAAAAAATGTAAAATGAAAAAAGAAATTTGGGGGGTTTTCGGGCTTCCTGAAGGTAATACCCAGGTATTAGGTTATGGGGCTATGGTAAGGTTTAAGGTTTTTGGCGTTAGGGTTAAAATCACTGTCCAAAACCTTTTTAGGAACATGTTTCAGACCTTTTGGAGTTAGTTAGACCAAAAAAAAAAAAGAAACAAAAAAAAAAAAATTTTGGGTGTTCAGGACTCCTGAAGGTTATACAGGTATTATATTAGGTTATGGGGCTTGGGTAAGGTTTAAGGTTTTTGGCGTTAGGGTTAAAATCACTGTCCAAAACCTTTGTAGGAACTCTTTTCCAACCTTTTGGAGTTAGTTAGACCAAAAAAAAAAAGAAAAATGAAAAAAAAAATATTTGGGGTTTTCGGGCTTCCTGAAGGTAATACCCGGGTATTAGGTTTTGTGGCTAAGGAAAGGTTAAAGGTTTTTGGCATTAGGGTTAAAATCACTGTCCAAAACCTTTGTAGGAACTCTTTTCCAACCTTTTGGAATTAGCTAGACCAAAAAAAAAAAAAAGAAAAATGAAAAAAAAAATGTTTGGGGTGTGAAGGCTTCCTTAAGTTAATACCCGGGTGTTAGGTTCGGGAATAGGGTAAGGTTGAAGGTTTTTGGCGTTAGGGTTAAAATCACTGTCCAAAATCTTTTTAGGAACATGTTTCAGACCTTTTGGAGTTGGTTACACCAAAAAAAATGTAAAATGAAAAAAAAAATTTGGGGGGTTTTCGGGCTTCCTGAAGGTAATACCCAGGTATTAGGTTATGGGGCTATGGTAAGGTTTAAGGTTTTTGGCGTTAGGGTTAAAATCACTGTCCAAAACCTTTTTAGGAACATGTTTCAGACCTTTTGGAGTTAGTTAGACCAAAAAAAAAAAAGAAAAAAAAAAAGTATTTTGGGTGTTCAGGACTCCTGAAGGTTATACAGGTATTATATTAGGTTATGGGGCTTGGGTAAGGTTTAAGGTTTTTGGCGTTAGGGTTAAAATCACTGTCCAAAACCTTTGTAGGAACTCTTTTCCAACCTTTTGGAGTTAGTTAGACCAAAAAAAAAAAGAAAAATGAAAAAAAAATATTTGGGGTTTTCGGGCTTCCTGAAGGTAATACCCGGGTATTAGGTTTTGTGGCTAAGGAAAGGTTAAAGGTTTTTGGCATTAGGGTTAAAATCACTGTCCAAAACCTTTGTAGGAACTCTTTTCCAACCTTTTGGAGTTAGTTAGACCAAAAAAAAAAAAGAAAAATGAAAAAAAAATATTTGGGGTTTTCGGGCTTCCTGAAGGTAATACCCGGGTATTAAGTTTTGGGGCAAGGGTAAGGTTTAAGGTTTTTGGCGTTAGGGTTAAAATCACTGTCCAAAACCTTAGTAGGAACTCTTTTCCAACCTTTTGGAGTTGGTTACACCAACAAAAATGTAAAATGAAAAAAAATATTTGGGGTTTTCGGGCTTCCTGAATGTAATACCCGGGTATTAGATTTTAAGGCCAGGGAAAGGTTTAAGTTTTATGGCGTTAGGGTTGAAATCACTGTCCAAAACCTTTGTAGGAACTCATTTCCAATTTTTTGGAGCTAGTTAGACCAAAAAAAAATGAAAAATGAAAAAAAACATATTTGGGGTTTTTCAGGCTTCCTAAAAGTAATACCCCGGTATTAGGTTATGGGGCTATGGTAAGGTTTAAGGTTTTTGGCGTTAGTGTTAAAATCACTTTCCAAAACCTTTGTAGGAACTCTTTTCCAACCTTTTGGAGTTAGCTAGACCAAAAAAATATGAAAAAGGAAAAAAATATATTTGGGGTTTTCGGGCTTCCTGAAGGTAATACCCGGGTATCAAGTTTTGGGGCAAGGGTAAGGTTTAAGGTTTTTGGCGTTAGGGTTAAAATCACTGTCCAAAACCTTAGTAGGAACTCTTTTCCAACCTTTTGGAGTTGGTTACACCAACAAAAATGTAAAATGAAAAAAAATATTTGGGGTTTTCGGGCTTCCTGAATGTAATACCCGGGTATTAGATTTTAAGGCCAGGGAAAGGTTTAAGTTTTATGGCGTTAGGGTTGAAATCACTGTCCAAAACCTTTGTAGGAACTCATTTCCAATTTTTTGGAGCTAGTTAGACCAAAAAAAAAAGAAAAATGAAAAAAAATATTTGGGGTGTTCAGGCTTCCTAAATGTAATACCCGGGTATTAGGTTATGGGGCTATGGTAAGGTTTAAGGTTTTTGGCATTAGGGTTAAAGTCACTGTCCAAAACCTTTGTAAGAACTCTTTTCCAACCTTTTGGAGTTGGTTACACCAACAAAAATGTAAAATGAAAAAAAAAATATATGGGGTGTTCGGGCTTCCTGTGGTAATACCCGGGTATTAGATTTAAAGGCTAGGGTAAGGTTTAAGCTTAATGGCGTTAGGGTTAAAATCACTGTCCAAAACCTTTGTAGGAACTCTTTTCCAACCTTTTGGAGTTAGTTAGACCAAAAAAAAATGAAAAATGAAAAAAAAATATTTGGGGTGTTCAGGCTTCCTAAAAGTAATACCCCGGTATTAGGTTATGGGGCTATGGTAAGGTTTAAAGTTTTTGGCATTAGGTTTAAAATCACTGTCCAAAACCTTTGTAGGAACTCTTTCCCAACCTTTTGGAGTTAGTTAGACCAAAAAAAAAAGAAAAATGAAAAAAAAATGTTTGGGGTTTTCGGGCTTCTTTAATGTAATACCCGGGTATTAGATTTTAAGGCCAGGGTAAGGTTTAAGTTTTTTGGCATTAGGGTTAAAATTACTGTCCAATACCTTTGTAGGAACTCTTTTCCAACCTTTTGGAGTTAGTTAGACCAAAAAAAAAAAGAAAAATGAAAAAAAAATATTTGGGGTGTTCAGGCTTCCTAAAAGTAATACCCGGGTATTAGATTTTAAGGCCAGGGAAAGGTTTAAGTTTTTTGGCGTTAGGGTTAAAATCACTGTCCAAAACCTTTGTAGGAACTCTTTTTCAACCTTTTGGAGTTACTTAGACCAAAAAAATATGAAAAAGGAAAAAAAAATATTTGGGGTTTTCGGTCTTCCTGTGGTAATACCCGGGTATTAGATTTAAAGGCTATGGTAAGGTTTAAGCTTAATGGCGTTAGGGTTAAAATCACTGTCCAAAACCTTTGTAGGAACTCTTTTCCAAACTTTTGGAGTTACTTAGACCAAAAAAAAAAATGAAAAAAGAAAAAAAAATTATTGGGGGTTTTCGGGCTCCCTGAAAGTAATACCCGGGTATTAGGTTTTGGGACTAGGGAAAAGTTTAAGGTTTTTGGCGTTAGGGTTAAAATCACTGTCCAAAACCTTTGTAGGAACTCTTTTCTAACCTTTTGGAGTTAGTTAGACCAAAAAAAAATGAAAAATGAAAAAAAAATATTTGGGGTGTTCAGGCTTCCTAAAAGTAATACCCCACAATTAGGTTTTGGGGCTATGGTAAGGTTTAAGGTTTTTGGCATTAGGTTTGAAATTACTGTCCAAAACCTTTGTAGGAACTCTTTTCCAACCTTTTGGAGTTACTTAGACCAAAAAAAAAATGTAAAATGAAAAAAAAATGTTGGGGGTTTTCGGGCTTCCTGAAGGTAATACCCGGGTATTAGGTTATGGGGCTATGGTATGGTTTAAGGTTTTTGGCATTAGGTTTAGAATCACTGTCCAAAACCTTTGTAGGAACTCTTTTCCAACCTTTTGGAGTTACTTAGACCAAAAAAAAAAGAAAAATGAAAAAAAAATATTTGGGGTGTTCAGGCTTCCTAAAAGTAATACCCGGGTATTAGGTTATGGGGCTATGGTAAGGTTTAAAGTTTTTGGCATTAGGGTAAAAATCACTGTCCAAAACCTTTGTAGGAACTCTTTTCCAACCTTTTGGAGTTAGTTAGACCAAAAAAAAATGTAAAATGAAAAAAAAAAATTTGGGGTGTTCGGGGTTCCTGAAGGTAATACCCGGGTATTAGATTTTAAGGCTAAGGTAAGGTTTAAGTTTTTTGGAGTTAGGGTTAAAATCACTGTCCAAAACCTTTGTAGGAACTCTTTTCCAAACTTTTGGAGTTACTTAGACCAAAAAAAAATGTAAAATGAAAAAAATATATATTTGGGGTGTTCGGGCTTCCTGAAAGTAATACCCGGGTATTAGGTTATGGGGCTAAGGTAAGGTTTAACGTTTTGGCGTTAGGTTTAAAATCACTGTCCAAAACCTTTGTAGGAACTCTTTTCCAACCTTTTGGAGTTAGTTAGACCAAAAAAAGAATGAAAAATGAAAAAAAATATATTTGGGGTTTCCGGGCTTCCTTAATGAAGTAGTATTAGATTTTAAGGCCAGGGTAAGGTTTAAGTTTTTTGGCATTAGGGTTAAAATCACTGTCCAAAACCTTTGTAGGAACTCTTTTCCAACCTTTTGGAGTTAGTTAGACCAAAAAAAAATGAAAAATGAAAAAAAAAATATTTGGGTTTTACGGGCTTCCTGAATGTAATACCCGGGTGTTAGATTTTAAGGCTAGGGTAAGGTTTAAGTTTTTTGGCGTAAGGGTTGAAATCACTGTCCAAAACCTTTGTAGGAACTCTTTTCCAATTTTTTGAAGCTAGTTAGACCAAAAAAAAAAAAAGAAAAATGAAAAAAATATTTCGGGTGGTCAGGCTTCCTCAAAGTAATACCCGGGTATTAGGTTTTGGGGCTATGGTAAGGTTTAAGTTTTTTGGCATTAGGGTTAAAATCACTGTCCGAAACCTTTGTAGGAACTCTTTTCCAACCTTTTGGAGTTAGTTAGACCAAAAAAAAATGAAAAATGAAAAAAAAAATATTTGGGTTTTACGGGCTTCCTGAATGTAATACCCAGGTATTAGATTTTAAGGCTAGGGTAAGGTTTAAGTTTTTTGGCGTTAGGTTTAAAATCACTGTCCAAAACCTTTGTAGGAACTCTTTTCCAACCTTTCTGAGTTGGTTACACCAACAAAAATGTAAAATGAAAAAAAAATATTTGGGGTGTTCGGGCTTCCTGAAGGTAATACCCGGGAATTAGGTTATGGGGCTATGGTAAGGTTTAAGGTTTTTGGCGTTAGGGTTAAAATCACTGTCCAAAACCTTTGTAGGAACTCTTTCCCAACCTTTTGGAGTTAGTAAGACCAAAAAAAAATGAAAAATGAAAAAAAAATATTTTGGGTTCATGGGCTTCCTGAATGTAATATCCAGGTATTAGGTTTTGGGGCTAGGGTAAGGTTTAAGGTTTTTGACATTAGGGTTAAAATCACTGTCCAAAACCTTTGTAAGAACTCTTTTCCAACCTTTTGGAGTTGGTTACACCAACAAAAATGTAAAATGAAAAAAAAAATATATGGGGTGTTCGGGCTTCCTGTGGTAATACCCGGGTATTAGATTTAAAGGCTAGGGTAAGGTTTAAGCTTAATGGCGTTAGGGTTAAAATCACTGTCCAAAACCTTTGTAGGAACTCTTTTCCAACCTTTTGGAGTTAGTTAGACCAAAAAAAAATGAAAAATGAAAAAAAAATATTTGGGGTGTTCAGGCTTCCTAAAAGTAATACCCCGGTATTAGGTTATGGGGCTATGTTAAGGTTTAAAGTTTTTGGCATTAGGTTTAAAATCACTGTCCAAAACCTTTGTAGGAACTCTTTCCCAACCTTTTGGAGTTAGTTAGACCAAAAAAAAAATGAAAAATGAAAAAAAAATATTTGGGGTTTCCGGGCTTCCTTAATGTAGTAGTATTAGATTTTAAGGCCAGGGTAAGGTTTAAGTTTTTTGGCGTTAGGGTTAAAATCACTGTCCAAAACCTTTGTAGGAACTCTTTTCCAACCTTTTGGAGTTAGTTAGACCAAAAAAAAAATGAAAAATGAAAAAAAAATATTTTGGGTTCACGGGCTTCCTGAATGTAATACCCAGGTATTAGATTTTAAGGCTAGGGTAAGTTTTAAGTTTTTTGGCGTTAGGGTTAAAATCACTGTCCAAAACCTTTGTAGGAACTCTTTTCCAACCTTTCTGAGTTGGTTACACCAACAAAAATGTAAAATGAAAAAAAAATATTTGGGGTGTTCGGGCTTCCTGAAGGTAATACCCGGGAATTAGGTTATGGGGCTATGGTAAGGTTTAAGGTTTTTGGCGTTAGGTTTAAAATCACTGTCCAAAACCTTTGTAGGAACTCTTTTCCAACCTTTTGGAGTTAGTTAGACCAAAAAAAAATGAAAAATGAAAAAAAAATATTTTGGGTTCATGGGCTTCCTGAATGTAATATCCAGGTATTAGGTTTTGGGGCTAGGGTAAGGTTTAAGGTTTTTGACATTAGGGTTAAAATCACTGTCCAAAACCTTTGTAAGAACTCTTTTCCAACCTTTTGGAGTTGGTTACACCAACAAAAATGTAAAATGAAAAAAAAAATATATGGGGTGTTCGGTCTTCCTGTGGTAATACCCGGGTATTAGATTTAAAGGCTAGGGTAAGGTTTAAGCTTAATGGCGTTAGGGTTAAAATCACTGTCCAAAACCTTTGTAGGAACTCTTTTCCAACCTTTTGGAGTTAGTTAGACCAAAAAAAAATGAAAAATGAAAAAAAAATATTTGGGGTGTTCAGGCTTCCTAAAAGTAATACCCCGGTATTAGGTTATGGGGCTATGGTAAGGTTTAAAGTTTTTGGCATTAGGTTTAAAATCACTGTCCAAAACCTTTGTAGGAACTCTTTCCCAACCTTTTGGAGTTAGTTAGACCAAAAAAAAAATGAAAAATGAAAAAAAAATGTTTGGGGTTTTCGGGCTTCCTTAATGTAATACCCGGGTATTAGATTTTAAGGCCAGGGTAAGGTTTAAGTTTTTTGGCGTTAGGGTTAAAATCACTGTCCAAAACCTTTGTAGGAACTCTTTTCCAACCTTTTGGAGTTACTTAGACCAAAAAAATATGAAAAAGGAAAAAAAAATATTTGGGGTTTTCGGTCTTCCTGTGGTAATACCCGGGTATTAGATTTAAAGGCTATGGTAAGGTTTAAGCTTAATGGCGTTAGGGTTAAAATCACTGTCCAAAACCTTTGTAGGAACTCTTTTCCAAACTTTTGGAGTTACTTAGACCAAAAAAAAAAATGAAAAAAGAAAAAAAAATTATTGGGGGTTTTCGGGCTCCCTGAAAGTAATACCCGGGTATTAGGTTTTGGGACTAGGGAAAAGTTTAAGGTTTTTGGCGTTAGGGTTAAAATCACTGTCCAAAACCTTTGTAGGAACTCTTTTCTAACCTTTTGGAGTTAGTTAGACCAAAAAAAAATGAAAAATGAAAAAAAAATATTTGGGGTGTTCAGGCTTCCTAAAAGTAATACCCCGGTATTAGGTTATGGGGCTATGGTATGGTTTAAGGTTTTTGGCATTAGGTTTAAAATCACTGTCCAAAACCTTTGTAGGAACTCTTTTCCAACCTTTTGGAGTTACTTAGACCAAAAAAAAATGTAAAATGAAAAAAAAATGTTGGGGGTTTTCGGGCTTCCTGAAGGTAATACCCGGGTATTAGGTTATGGGGCTATGGTATGGTTTAAGGTTTTTGGCATTAGGTTTAAAATCACTGTCCAAAACCTTTGTAGGAACTCTTTTCCAACCTTTTGGAGTTACTTAGACCAAAAAAAAAAGAAAAATGAAAAAAAAATATTTGGGGTGTTCAGGCTTCCTAAAAGTAATACCCGGGTATTAGGTTATGGGGCTATGGTAAGGTTTAAAGTTTTTGGCATTAGGGTTAAAATCACTGTCCAAAACCTTTGTAGGAACTCTTTCCCAACCTTTTGGAGTTAGTTAGACCAAAAAAAATGTAAAATGAAAAAAAAATGTTGGGGGTTTTCGGGCTTCCTGAAGGTAATACCCGGGTATTAGGTTATGGGGCTATGGTAAGGTTTAAAGTTTTTGGCATTAGGGTTAAAATCACTGTCCAAAACCTTTGTAGGAACTCTTTTCCAACCTTTTGGAGTTAGTTAGACCAAAAAAAAATGAAAAATGAAAAAAAAATGTTTGGGGTTTTCGGGCTTCCTGAATGTAATACCCGGGTATTAGATTTTAAGGCTAGGGTAAGGTTTAAGTTTTATGGCGTTAGGGTTAAAATCACTGTCCAAAACCTTTGTAGGAACTCTTTTCCTACCTTTTGGAGTTAGTTAGACCAAAAAAAAATGAAAAATGAAAAAAAAATATTTGGGGTGTTCAGGCTTCCTAAAAGTAATACCCCGGTATTAGGTTTTGGGGCTATGGTAAGGTTTAAGGTTTTTGGCGTTAGGGTTAAAATCACTGTCCAAAACCTTTGTAGGAACTCTTTTCCAACCTTTTGGAGTTAGTTAGACAAAAAAAGAATGAAAAATGAAAAAAAAATTTTGGCGTTTTCCGGGCTTCCTTAATGTAATACCCGGGTATTAGATTTTAAGGCCAGGGTAAGGTTTAAGTTTTTTGGCATTAGGGTTAAAATCCCTGTTCAAAACCTTTTTAGGAACTCTTTTCCAACCTTTTGGAGTTGGTTTCACCAACAAAAATGTAAAATGAAAAAAAAATATTTGGGGTTTTCCGGCTTCCTGAATGTAATACCCGGGTATTAGATTTTAAGGCCAGGGTAAGGTTTAAGTTTTTTGGCATTAGGGTTAAAATCCCTGTTCAAAACCTTTTTAGGAACTCTTTTCCAACCTTTTGGAGTTGGTTTCACCAACAAAAATGTAAAATGAAAAAAAGAATATTTGGGGTTTTCCGGCTTCCTAAATGTAATACCCGGGTATTAGATTTTAAGGCTAGGGTAAGGTTTAAGTTTTTTGGTGTTAGGGTTGAAATCACTGTCCAAAACCTTTGTAGGAACTCTTTTCCAATTTTTTGGAGCTAGTTAGACCAAAAAAAAAAGAAAAATAAAAAAAAATATTTCGGGTGGTCAGGCTTCCTCAAAGTAATACCCGGGTATTAGGTTTTGGGGTTAGGGAAAGGTCTAAGGTTTTTGGCGTTAGGGTTAAAATCACTGTCCAAAACCTTTGTAGGAACTCTTTTCCAACCTTTTGGAGTTGGTTACACTAACAAAAATGTAAAATGAAAAAAAAATATTTGGTGTGTTCGGGCTTCCTGAAGGTAATACCCGGGTATTAGATTTTAAGGCTAGGGTAAGGTTTAAGTTTTTTGGAGTTAGGGTTAAAATCACTGTCCAAAACCTTTGTAGGAACTCTTTTCCAACCTTTTGGAGTTGGTTACACCAACAAAAATGTAAAATAAAAAAAATATATATTTGGGGTGTTCGGGCTTCCTGAAAGTAATACCCGGGTATTAGGTTATGGGGCTAAGGTAAGGTTTAACGTTTTGGCGTTAGGTTTAAAATCACTGTCCAAAACCTTTGTAGGAACTCTTTTCCAACCTTTTGGAGTTAGTTAGACCAAAAAAAGAATGAAAAATGAAAAAAAATATATTTGGGGTTTCCGGGCTTCCTTAATTAAGTAGTATTAGATTTTAAGGCCAGGGTAAGGTTTAAGTTTTTTGGCATTAGGGTTAAAATCACTGTCCAAAACCTTTGTAGGAACTCTTTTCCAACCTTTTGGAGTTAGTTAGACCAAAAAAAAATGAAAAATGAAAAAAAAAAAATTTGGGTTTTACGGGCTTCCTGAATGTAATACCCGGGTGTTAGATTTTAAGGCTAGGGTAAGGTTTAAGTTTTTTGGCGTAAGGGTTGAAATCACTGTCCAAAACCTTTGTAGGAACTCTTTTCCAATTTTTTGGAGCTAGTTAGACCAAAAAAAAAAAGAAAAATGAAAAAAAAATATTTCGGGTGGTCAGGCTTCCTCAAAGTAATACCCCGGTATTAGGTTTTGGGGCTATGGTAAGGTTTAAGTTTTTTGGCATTAGGGTTAAAATCACTGTCCAAAACCTTTGTAGGAACTCTTTTCCAACCTTTTGGAGTTAGTTAGACCAAAAAAAAATGAAAAATGAAAAAAAAAATATTTGGGGTTTACGGGCTTCCTGAATGTAATACCCAGGTATTAGATTTTAAGGCTAGGGTAAGTTTTAAGTTTTTTGGCGTTAGGGTTAAAATCACTGTCCAAAACCTTTGTAGGAACTCTTTTCCAACCTTTCTGAGTTGGTTACACCAACAAAAATGAAAAATGAAAAAAAAATATTTTGGGTTCATGGGCTTCCTGAATGTAATATCCAGGTATTAGGTTTTGGGGCTAGGGTAAGGTTTAAGGTTTTTGACATTAGGGTTAAAATCACTGTCCAAAACCTTTGTAGGAACTCTTTTCCAACCTTTCTGAGTTGGTTACACCAACAAAAATGTAAAATGAAAAAAAAATATTTGGGGTGTTCGGGCTTCCTGAAGGTAATACCCGGGAATTAGGTTATGGGGCTATGGTAAGTTTTAAGGTTTTTGGCGTTAGGGTTAAAATCACTGTCCAAAACCTTTGTAGGAACTCTTTTCCAACCTTTTGGAGTTGGTTTCACCAACAAAAATGTAAAATGAAGAAAAAAATATTTGGGGTGTTCGGGCTTCCTGAAGGTAATACCCGGGTATTAGATTTTAAGGCTAGGGTAAGGTTTAAGGTTTTTGGCGTTAGGGTTAAAATCACTGTCCAAAACCTTTGTAGGAACTCTTTTCCAACCTTTTGGAGTTAGTTAGACCAAAAAAAATGAAAAAGAAAAAAAAATTATTGGGGGTTTTCGGGCTCCCTGAAAGTAATACCCGGGTATTAGGTTTTGGGACTAGGGAAAGGTTTAAGGTTTTTGGCATTAGGGTTAAAATCACTGTCCAAAACCTTTGTAGGAACTCTTTTCCAACCTTTTGGAGTTAGTTAGACCAAAAAAAATGAAAAATGAAAAAAAATATATTTGGGGTTTCCGGGCTTCCTTAATGTAGTAGTATTAGATTTTAAGGCCAGGGTAAGGGTTAAGTTTTTTGGCATTAAGGTTAAAATCACTGTCCAAAACCTTTGTAGGAACTCTTTTCCAACCTTTTGGAGTTGGTTTCAACAACAAAAATGTAAAATGAAGAAAAAAATATTTGGGGTGTTCGGGCTTCCTGAAGGTAATACCCGGGTATTAGGTTATGGGGCTATGGTAAGGTTTAAGGTTTATTTCGTTAGGTTTAAAATCACTGTCCAAAACCTTTGTAGGAACTCTTTTCCAACCTTTTGGAGTTAGATAAAAAACAAAATGAAAAATGGAAAAAAAATATTTTGGTTTTCGGGCTTCCTGAAGGTAATACCCAGGTATTAGGTTTTGGGGCTAGGGTAAGGTTTAAAGTTTTTGGCGTTAGGGTTAAAATCACTGTCCAAAACATTTGTAGGAACTCTTTTCCAACCTTTTGTTGTTGGTTACACCAACAAAAATGTAAAATGAAGAAAAAAATATTTGGGGTGTTCGGGTTTCCTGAAGGTAATACCTGGGTATTAGATTTTAAGCTAGGGTAAGATTTAAGGTTTTTGGTGTTATGGTTAAAATCACTGTCCAAAACCTTTGTAGGAACTCTTTTCCAACCTCTTGGAGTTGGTTACACCAATAAAAATGTAAAATGAAAAAAATAATATTTGGGGTGTTCAGGCTTCCTGAAGGTAATACCCGGGTATTAGGTTTTGGGGCTATAGTAAGGTTTAAGGTTTTTGGCGTTAGGGTTAAAATCACTGTCCAAAACCTTAGTAGGAACTCTTTTCCAACCTTTTGGAGTTAGTGTGACCAGAAAAAATGAAAAAAGAAAAAAAAATATTGGGCGTGTTCGGTTTTCCTGAAGGTAATACCTGGATATTAGGTTTTGGGGCTAGGGTAAGGTTTAAGGTTTTTGGCGTTATGGTTAAAATCACTGTCCAAAACCTTTGTAGGAACTCTTTTCCAACCTTTTGGATATAGTTAGACCAATAAAAAATGAAAAAAATAAAAATATTTTGGGTTTTCTGGCTTCCTGAAGGTAATACCCTGGTACTAGTTCATGGTGCTATGGTAAGGTTTAAGGTTTTTGGCGTTAGGTTTAAAATCACTGTCCAAAGCCCTTGTAGGAACTCTTTTCCAACCTTTTGGAGTTGGTTACACCAACAAAAATGTAAAATGAAGAAAAAAATATTTGGGGTGTTCGGGCTTCCTGAAGGTAATACCCGGGTATTAGATTTTTAGGCTAGGGTAAGGTTTAAGGTTTTTGGCGTTAGGGTTAAAATCACTGTCCAAAACCTTTGTAGGAACTCTTTTCCAACCTTTTGGAGTTAGTTAGACCAAAAAAAAAGAAAAAGAAAAAAAAAATTATTGGGGGTTTTCGGGCTCCCTGAAGGTAATACCCGGGTATTAGGTTTTGGGACTAGGGAAAGGTTTAAGGTTTTTGGCGTTAGGGTTAAAATCACTGTCCAAAACCTTTGTAGGAACTCTTTTCCAATTTTTTGGAGCTAGTTAGACCAACAAAAATGTAAAATGAAAAAAAAATATTTGGGGTGTTCGGGCTTCCTGAATGTAATACCCGGGTATTAGATTATGGGGCTATGGTAAGGTTTAAGGTTTTTGGCATTAGGGTTAAAATCACTGTCCAAAACCTTTGTAGGAACTCTTTTCCAAACTTTTGGAGTTAGTTAGACCAAAAAAAAAAAGAAAAATGTAAAAAAAATAATCGGGGTTTTCGGGCTTCCTGAATGTAATACCCGGGTATTAGATTTTAAGGCTATGGTAAGGTTTAAGGTTTTTGGCATTATGGTTAAAATCACTGTCCAAAAACTTTGTTGGAACTCTTTTCCAACCTTTTGGAGTTGGTTACACCAACAAAAATGTAAAATGAAAAAAATATATATTTGGGGTGTTCGGGCTTCCTGAAGGTAATACCCGGGTATTAGGTTATGGGGCTATGGTAAGGTTTAAGGTTTTTAGCATTAGGTTTAAAATCACTGTCCAAAACCTTTGTAGGAACTCTATTCCAACCTTTTGGAGTTGGTTACACCAACAAAAATGTAAAATGAAAAAAATATATATTTCGGGTTTTCTGGCTTCCTAAAGGTAATCCCCGGTTTTAGATTATGGGGCTATGGTAAGGTTTAAGGTTTTTGGCGTTAGGGTTAAAATCACTGTCCAAAACCTTTGTAGGAACTCTTTTCCAACCTTTTCGAGTTAGTTAGACCAAAAAAAAAAAAGAAAAATGAAAAAAAAAATATTTGGGGTTTTCGGGCTTCCTGAATGTAATACCCGGGTATTAGATTTTAAGGCTAGGGTAAGGTTTAAGTTTTTTGGCGTTAGGGTTAAAATCACTGTCCAAAACCTTTGTAGGAACTCTTTTCCAATTTTTTGGAGCTAGTTAGTCCAAAAAAAAAAATGAAAAATGAAAAAATAATATTTGGGGTGTTCAGGCTTCCTAAAAGTAATACCCGGGTATTAGCTTATGGGGTTTGGGAAAGGTTTAAGGTTTTTGGCATTAGGGTTGAAATCACTGTCCAAAACCTTTGTTGGAACTCTTTTCCAACCTTTTGGAGTTGGTTACACCAACAAAAATGTAAAATGAAAAAAAAATATTTGGGGTGTTCGGGCTTCCTGAAGGTAATAACTGGGAATTAAATTATGGGGCTATGGTAAGGTTTAAATTTTTTGGGGTTAGGGTTAAAATCACTGTCCAAAACCTTTGTAGGAACTCTTTTCCAACCTTTTGGAGTTAGTTAGACAAAAAAAAAATGAAAAATGAAAAAAAAATATTTGGGGTGTTCAGGCTTCCTGAATGTAATACCCGGGTATTAGGTTATGGGGCTATGGTAAGGTTTAAGGTTTTTGGCATTAGGGTTAAAATCACTGTCCAAAACCTTTGTAGGAACTCTTTTCCAACCTTTTGGAGTTGGTTACACCAACAAAAATGTAAAATGTGAAACTCAAGTTAACCAAACACGGAAATTCAAGTTCAAAAACACCACAAACTCAAGTTCAACAAACACCACAAACTCAAGTTCAAACACAACACAAACTAGAGTTCAAATAACACACAAAATCAAGTTCAACAAACACACAAAGCCAAGTTCAAAAACACCACACCCTCAAGTTCAAAAACACCACAAACTCAAGATCAAATACACAAGAAACTCAAGTTCAAACACACCACAAACTCAAGTTCAACCAAGACCCAAATCTCAAGTTTAACAAATTCCACACCCTCAAGTTCAAAAACACCACACCCTCAAGTTCAAAAACACCACATACTCAAGTTCAAAAACACCACAAACTCAAGTTCAAAAACACAAGAATCTCAAGTTCAAACATGACAAACTCAAGTTCAAACACGACACAAACTCAAGGTCAACAATCAAACAAACTCAAGTTCAACAAAAACACAAAATCAAGTTCAAAAACACCACAAACTCGAGTTCAAACACAACACACACTGAAGTTCAACAAACACACAAACTGAAGTTCAAAAACACCACAAACTCAAGTTGAAACATGACACAAACTCAAATTCAACAAACACACAAACTCAAATTCAACCAACTCCTAATTCTCAAGTTAAACAATTTCCACAACTTTAAGATCAAAAACGACACAAACTCAGGTTCAAAAACGACACAAACTCAAGTTGAAAAACACCAAAAACTCAAGTTCAACCAATACCCATTTCTCAAGTTTAACAATTTCCACAACCTCAAGTTAAAAAAAAACACAGACTCAAGCACAAAAACGCCACAAACTCAAGTTCAAACATGAAACATACTCAAGTTCAACAAACACACAATCTCAAGTTCAACCAAAAACACCTGACTCTCATGTTTAACAATTGCCACAACCTCAAGTTCAAAAACAACAGAAACTCAAGTTCAAAAAAACACAAACTCAAGTTCACCAAACACGCAAATTCAAGTTCAAAAACACCACAAACTCAAGTTCAACAAACACCACAAACTCAAGTTCAAACACAACACAAACTCAAGTTCAACAAACACACAAATTCAAGTTCAAAAACACCACAAACTCAATTGTAAACACGACACAAAATCAAGTTCAACAAACTCAAGTTCAAACACAACACAAACTAGAGTTCAACCAAGACCCAAAGTCAAGTTCAACAAACACACCCTCAAGTTCAAAAACCACACCCTCAAGTTCAAAAACACCACAAACTCAAGATCAAATACACAACAAACTCAAGTTCAAACATGACAAAACTCAAGTTCAAACACGACAAACTCAAGTTCAAACACGACACAAACTCAAGGTCAACAATCAAACTCAAGATCAACAAAAACACAAAATCAAGTTAAAAAATTCCACAAACTCAAGTTCAAACACAACACAAACTGAAGTTCAAAAAACAAACAAACTCAAGTTCAAAAACGCCAAAAACTCAAGTTGAGAAACAACACAGAATCAATTTCAACAAACACACAAACTCTAGTTCAACCAACAGCTGATTCTCAAGTTTAACAAATTCAACAACCTCTTGTTCAAAAACAACAGAAACTCAAGTTCAACAAACAACATGAACTCAAGTTCAAACATGACACAAACTCAAGTTCAACCAACACCCAAATCTCAAGTTTAACAATTGGCACAACCTCAAGTTCAACAAACACACAAACTCAAGTTTAAACACACAACAAACTCAAGTTCAAAAAATGCCACAAACTCAAGTTCAACAATTGCCACCAATTAAAGTTCACTAAAAACCACAGATTCAATTTCAACAATTGCCACACACTCAAGTTCAAACACACCACAAACTCAAGTTCAAATACGACACAAACTTAAGTTCAACCAACACCCAAATATCAAGTTTAACATTTGCCACAACCTCAAGTTCAACAAACACAGTCAATTTCAACAAACGCCACAAACTCAAGTTAAAACATGAAACATACTCAAGTCAAAAAAACCCACATAATCAAATTCAACATTCACACAAACTCAAGTTCAAAAACGAAACAAACTCAAGTTCAACAAACACACAAACTCAAGTTCAACCACTACCCAATTCTCAAGTTTAACAAATTCCACACCCTCAAGTTCAAAAACACCACAAACTCAAGTTCAAAAAAATGACAAACACAAGTTCAAACATGACACAAACTCAAGTTCAAAAAACGCCACAAACTCAAGTTCAAACACCAAACAAACTCAAGTTCAAAAACACCACAAACTCATGTTCAATAACACAACACAAACTCAAGTTCAACAAAAACCACAAACTCAAGTTCAAACACGACACAAACTTAAGTTGAACAAAAACCACAAACTCAAGTCCAAATACAAGCAAACTCAAGTTCAAACATGACACAAACTATAGTTCAATCAACAACCAAATCTCAAGTTTAACAATTGCCACAACCTTGAGTTAAAAAACCACACAAACTCAAGTTCAACAAACGCCGCAAACTCAAGCAAACTTTTGTATTTGTTAACACTGAAGATGTACAGGTCCAAAGATTCTGAGATGACAAAAACTTTTTTTGAACTATAATACAACAACTCAAGCAGTTTTGTTTTCCTGGAACCTTCTTTTCACCTGTTACTGCTTGAAAAAGTCTACTAATAACCAGGCGTTTTTTAGGAATGAAACTCCCTGTAGCAATTCCTATCTAATTGAAGGCAGAGTACAACTCTACACTCTTCACACTTCCAGGGAGTGCAGTGTTTTCTCCCCTGGCTGTCTCTCTGCCTTTTCTCCATTGACTGCCCTCTGCTGGTGGGGCAGGAAAGCAGCCTTGAGTGGGGGGTGTGGGGGGCTTGGGTGGTGGATTGAGTGGCACACCAAGCAGCTCGGCACACAGCTTCTCCTGGAAAGCCTGGTGTGTCATGAGCTTCCTCTTCTGTGTCACACTGATTTCTTTGTGGAGGATATAGCTGTTTGTTGCAGCTGTATCCACAAGGTGTTGAAACACAGTCATGGGCCATCTTCTGGTCTTCCTGTGGACAGAGTTGGTGCCCAACATCTGGTCAGAAGTGTTCACCCCTCCCATGTACTTGTTGGATGAGGGTCAGGGTCTGCCTCTGTCTTCCAGGCCTTCTGCAGTTGTGGTGAATGACATGCAGGAGCATCACCAGCAGCATCAGGACCACCACTGCTGCTAGATAATCATAAATAAAAAGTACTTATGTATAAAATATTATGAATTCAAATAATGATATCATTATATTAGAACTAGATTTGGGAGTATGCATACTATTTACTTACTGTGTTTGGGATGGAGACACACCCCCTGCCTCCTCCTGCATCTCCATCTTCTCTTCCTCCTCCACAAATTGAGCTGGAAGTCTCCTCTTTCTTGCAGATCTCCTCAACATTTCTGCCTCCACTATTACAATCAATACTAAAGGAACTAGCTAAAAACGGTCGTACTAAGGCAAGAACACGGCACGAAACACGGCAAAACGACACTCAAAACTTATAAAATGAACTCTAACACTATGATAAACAACAATAAATATAATATATACAAAGATTAATATAATATATACAAAGGTAAACAGCTAAATTACCTCTAAAACGCCGCTAAAACTCCGTTAAAACTCCGATGAATCTCCCAGCTCTGCACTCTCTCTGCTCCAAAGTCTCCCTCACGTCATGTGTTTTGATCCGCGAATCAGCACAAGGCCGCTGTCACTACCGTAATGTATCATATATCAGCGCAAAGCTTAGAGTCTCAGCTTTCAGAATCCGTTGGAATTATGTTGATAGCGCAAATGGTTCAAGAATTACGGTACTAAAAGTGCAGCATGTCATTTTCTGTCGCCGACGACAGAGCCGTCGTAAAAGGGTTAAGTTGAACAAATTCCACACCCTCAAGTTCAAATCCGAAACAAACCTCAAGTTCAATAACACAACACAAACTCAAGTTCAAACACAACACAAACTCAAGTTCAAAAAACACCAAAAAATCAAGTTCAAAATCACACAAACTCAAGTTCAACAAAAACCACAAACTCAAGTTCAAACACGACACAAACTATAGTTCAATCAACAACCAAATCTAAAGTTTAACAATTGCCACAACCTTAAGTTCAACAACAACACAAACTCAAGTTCAACAAATGCCACAAACTCAAATTCAAAACATGAAACAAACTCATGTTCAAAAACAATACAAACTTAAGTTCAACTTAAACACAAACTCAAGTTTAACAATTGCCACAACCTCAAGTTCAACAAATTCCACACCCTCAAGTTCAAATCCGAAACAAACTCAAGTTCAATAACACAACACAAACTCAAGTTCAAACACAACACAAACTCAAGTTCAAAAACACCAAAAAATCAAGTTCAAACATGACACAAACTCAAGTTCAACAAAAACCACAAACTCAAGTTCAAACACGACACAAACTATAGTTCAATCAACAACCAAATCTAAAGTTTAACAATTGCCACAACCTTAAGTTCAACAACCACACAAACTCAAGTTCAACAAATGCCACAAACTCAAATTCAAAACATGAAACAAACTCATGTTCAAAAACAATACAAACTTAAGTTCAACTTAAACACAAACTCAAGTTTAACAATTGCCGCAACCTCAAGTTCAACAAATTCCACACCCTCAAGTTCAAATACACCACAAACTCAAGTTCAAAAACATGACAAACACAAGTTCAAACACGACACAAACTCAAGTTCAGAAACACCACCAACTCAAGTTCAACAAATTTCACAAACTAAAGTTCAATAAACAAACAAAATCAAGTTCAAAATCACCACAAACTCAAGTTCAAACATGACACAAACTCAAGTTCAACAAACACCACAAACTCAAGTTCAAACACAACAAAAACTCAAGTTCAACAAACACACAAACTCAAGTTCAAAAAGACCACAAACTCAAGTTCAACAAACCAACAAAATCAAGTTCAAAAACACCACAAACTCAAGTGCAAACATGACACAAACTCAAGCTCAAGAAACACCACAAACTCAAGTTCAAACACAGCAAAAACTTAAGTTCAACAAACACACAAACTCAAGTTCAAAAACACCACAAACTCAATTGCAAACATGACACAATCTCAAGTTCAAACACAACACAAACTTAAGTTCAAAAAACACAATAACTCAAGTTCAACAAAAACCACAAACTCAAGTTCAACCAACACCTGATTCTCAAGTTTCACAATTTCCACAACCTCAAGTAAAAAAACAACAGAAACTCAAAACAAACAACATGAACTCAAGTTCAAACACGACACAAACTCAAGTTCAACCAACACCCAAATTTCAAGTTAAAAAATTACCACAACCTCAAGTTCAACAAACACACAAACTCAAGTTCAAACTCACCACAAACAAGTTTAAACACAACACAGACTTAAGTTCAAAAACAAAAAATTTAAGTTCAACCAATACCCAATTCTCAAGTTTAACAATTTCCACAACCTCAAGTTAAAAAAACCCACAATCTCAAGTTCAAAAACACCACAAACTTAAGTTCAAACACGACACAAACTCAAGTTCAACAAACACACAAACTCAAGTTCATACACTACACAAAACTCAAGTTCAACATACACACAAACTCAAGTGCAAAAACACCACAAACTCAAGTTCAAAAACGACACGAACTCAAGTTCAACAAACACACTAACTAATGTTCAACCAATACCTGATTCTAAAGTTTAACAATTTCCACAACCTCAAGTAAAAAAACAACAGAAACTCAAGTTCAAAAAACACACAAACTCAAGTTCACCAAACACGCAACTCAAGTTCAAGAAACACACAAACTCAAGTTAAACAATTGCCACAACCTAAAGTTCAACAAACACACAAACTTAAGTTCAACAAAACGCCACAAACTCAAGTTCAAACACGAAACAAACTCAAGTTCAAAAACACCACAAACTCAAGTTCAAACACAACACAAACTCAAGTTCAAAAAGACCACAAACTCAAGTTCAAACACGACACAAACTCAAGTTCAACAAACGGCACAAACTCAAGTTCAAACACGAAACAAACTCAAGTTCAACAACACCACAAACTCAAGTTCAAACACGACACAAACTCAAGTTCAACCAACACCCAAATTTCAAGTTCAAAAATTACCACAACCTCAAGTTCAACAAACACACAAACTCAAGTTCAAACTCACCACAAACTCAAGTTTAAACACAACACAGACTCAAGTTCAAGAACAACAAAAATTCAAGTTCAACCAATACCCAATTCTCAAGTTTAACAATTTCCACAACCTCAAGTCAAAAAAAACCACAAACTCAAGTTCAAAAACACCACAAACTCAAGTTCAAACACAACACAAACTCAAGTTCAAAAAGACCACAAACTCAAGTTCAAACATGACACAAACTCAAGTTCAACAAACGGCACAAACTCAAGTTCAAACACGAAACAAACTCAAGTTCAACAACACCACAAACTCAAGTTCAAACACGACACAAACTCAAGTTCAACCAACACCCAAATTTCAAGTTCAAAAATTACCACAACCTCAAGTTCAACAAACACACAAACTCAAGTTCAAACTCACCACAAACTCAAGTTTAAACACAACACAGACTCAAGTTCAAAAACAACAAAAATTCAAGTTCAACCAATACCCAATTCTCAAGTTTAACAATTTCCACAACCTCAAGTCAAAAAAACCCACAAACTCAAGTTCAAAAACACCACAAACTTAAGTTCAAACACGACACAAAATCAAGTTCAACATACACACAAACTCAAGTTCAAAAACGACACAAACTCAAGTTCAACAAACACAGTAACTAATGTTCAACTAATACCTGATTCTGAACTTTAACAATTTCCACAACCTCAAGTAAAAAACAACAGAAACTCAAGTTCAAAAACACCACAAACTCAAGTTCAAACACAACACAAACTCAAGTTCAACAAACACACAACTCAAGTTCAAACATGACACAAACTCAAGTTAAAGAAACACACAAACTCAAGTTTAACAATTGCCACAACCTAAAGATCAACAAACACACAAACTTAAGTTCAACAAACGCCACAAACTCAAGTTCAAACACGAAACAAACTCAAGTTCAAAAACACCACAAACTCAAGTTCAAACACAACACAAACTCAAGTTTAACAAACACCACAAACTCAAGTTCAAACATGACACAAACTCAAGTTCAACAAACGGCACAAACTCAAGTTCAAACACGAAACAAACTCAAGTTCAACAACACCACAAACTCAGGTTCAAACACAACACAAACTCAAGTTCAAACACGACACAAACTCAAGTTCAAACAATACCCAATTCTCAAGTTTAACAAATTCCACAACCTTAAGTTCAAAGACACCAAGAACCCAAGTTCAACCAATACCCAATTCTCAAGTTTAACAATTTTTCTCAACCTCAATTTCAAAAACAACACAGACTCAAGTTAAAAAAAAACACAAACTTAAGTTCAAACAAGACACAAACTCAGGTTCAACAAGAACAACAAACTCAAGTTCAGCCAACACCTGATTGTAATGTTTAAAAATTTTCACAATCTCAAGTTCAAAAAACACACAAACTCAAGTTCAAACACACCACAAACTCAAGGTCAAACACGACACAAACTCGAGTTAGACAAACACACAAACTAAGGTTCAACCAATACCCAATTCTCAAGTTTAACAAATTCCAAACCCTCAAGTTCAAAAACACCACAAACTCAAGTTGAAAAAAAACCCACAAACTCAAGTTCAACCAACACCTGATTCTCAAGTTTAAAAATTTTCACGTTCAAAATTTTCATTTTCAAGTTCAAACTAGGGCCCCGGTGGGGCACTGTTGGGCCCAAGCCATGTCGCGCCGACCCCAGCGCGACCGCCTCCCCCTCCCGATCGCGTTACACTCAAGGTCCAAAGATGGTGTGCACACTTGTCTGTTGTCATTTACCATTATAATGAATAGGAGGCGCAGTTTCTACCAAAATGCTCGCTGCAGACAAACTCCATGTCCTATTTGAAAAAAGTCTGGACCATGAGTGAGGGCACAAACACAGCTAGGATATATCCAAATGGCAAGTTGCTCCTCCTTTCGGTTTTGCCGGGAGAGCGATGCGTTTGAGCCATTGAGCGATGGGCAGGAAAAACTTGACTTTTTTTCCTGCCATGGGGGGTAAGGAAAATGACCAATTTTTTTTTATCAAACATTATAAAAACTGGTTATCTCTTGCAGGGCATCAAAGTCTTGAATATGTGAGAGATTAGTAATATGATTGACTTTGATGCCTTTTAACTTTTTCTGTAGCATCAGATTCAATAGACAACTCCCTTTGGCGCCCCTCAGTGGCCAAAACTACTTTGTCTGCTGTAAAATCAAATTGGATTAAATTTTTTTCCAGATTTATTTTTTTGTACATCTCTTATTTTACTTCTGCCCTGTTCAAAACTAACAAATGTTTCATTGAAAATAATGTTTTTTAACCCTTTAAGAGCCCATTCAAGACATAAAGTCACTAATAAAGCAAAAATTTGAGCCTTTTAACTTTTTCTGTAGCATCAGATTTAATAGACAACTCCCTTTGGCGCCCCTCAGTGGCCATAACTACTTTGTCTGCTGTTAATAGACAACTCCCTTTGGCGCCCCTCAGTGGCCAAAACTACTTTGTCTGCTGTAAAATCAAATTGGATTAATATTTTTTCCAGATTTTTCTTTTGTACATCTCTTATTTTACTTCTGCCCTGTTCAAAACTAGCAAATGTTTCATTGAAAATAGTTTTTTTCAACCCTTTAAGAGCCCATTTAAGATGTAAAGTCACTAATATAGCAAAAATTTGAGCCTTTTAACTTTTTCTGTAGCATCAGATTTAATAGACAACTCCCTTTGGCGCCCCTCAGTGGCCATAACTACTTTGTCTGCTGTTAATAGACAACTCCCTTTGGCGCTACTCAGTGGCCAAAACTACTTTGTCTGCTGTAAAATCATATTGGATTAATATTTTTTCCAGATTTTTTTTTTGTACATCTCTTATTTTACTTCTGCCCTGTTCAAAATTAGCAAATGTTTCATGGAAATTTTTTTAAACCCTTTAAGAGCCCATTTAAGACATAAAGTCACTAATATAGCAAAAATTTGAATGAAAATGACCTTTTTTTTATAAAACATAATCAGAAACTGTTTATCTCTTGCAGGGCATCAAAGTCTTGAATATGTGAGAGATTAGTAATATGATTGACTTTGATGCCTTTTAACTTTTTCTGTAGCATTAGATTTAATAGATAACTAATTTAATGAGGAATCAGTGGCTGGTGTCCTCGAAGGCAAAGAGGAAGGGGGGACTTCCTTCACAGATGTGTTGATGGCTGGACATTGCATCATCCTAGAAAACGTGGAGGCCAGTGAGGACAAAAAAAGTTATAACACTTTTAAGAATGTGGATATTTGGGTCATCTTTGGCGCCCCCTAGAATGTAAACCCTGGGGTGCAGCGTCATGATTTGTACAACTTTGAATGGCCATGGGGTATAGATTGGCCTGAGCAAATTTGGTGTCGGTGGGATGAAAGCCTTAGGAAGAGTAAGCCACATTCCAATGTGTGCGGATTGGCAAAAAATGCGAAATAGTCCTTTAGCCGTACATTTTACAGATACGTGCGCATTGATTTTTTTGTAGATACATGTGATTGTCAATTTTTGTGTAAATATGACAAAGTGTACAGGCGTGACACTCAACAATGTGTATTTTCATCTTAGGAGACAAGAAAAAATGGACTTTTTTATCCTGCCATGGGGGGGGGGGGGCGCTCTTTTGGGGAGTAAAAATTCCTTCACAAATGTGTTGATGGCTGGACATTGCATCATCCTAGAAAACTTGGAGGCCAGTGAGAACAAAAATAAAAAGTTATAAGACTTTTAAGAATGTGGATTTTTGTGTTATCTTTGGCGCCCCCTAGAACTTAAACCGTGGCGTGCAGCATCATGATTTGTACAACTTTGAATGGCCATGGGGTGTAGATTGGCCTGAGCAAATTTGGTGCCGGTGGAACGAAAGCCTTTGGAGGAATAAGCCACATTCCAATGTGTGCGGATGGGCAAAAAATGCAAAAAAGCCCTGTACATTTCACAGATGTGCCCGCGCTGACTTTTTCGTAGACCTTATTGAGACACACATGTGTGTCAATTTTTGTGTCAATATGACAAAGCGTACAGGCGTGACACTCAATAGTGTGAATTTTCACCTTAGGGGGCGCTATGGAGCCATTTTGCATTTTATTGTTTGGGCGACTTCAGGATATCAAATTTTTCATCAGGCCCGGTCATCCTGCCAAATTTCATGAGTTTTCGCCAGTGGGAAGTGGGCCATTTTCCAGTTCAAAGGGATTTCAAAAAAAATAAGAAGACAAGAGGGCTCTCGCAGCTGCTTAGCAGCTACGCTCGGGCCCTAATAAGAAGGGCCAAGTCCATTAATACATCTAAAAACTAATAAAAGAACCTTACAATCAATCCTGAAACAGACCTGAAACGGAGTGGCGATCAGTGAGATAAGAGGTGAACCAGAACAAGTTTTTCCAAGATTTTACTTAAAAATGGTAAGTTGGATGGTTCCACAACCGGGGACCATAAAAACTGAATGCCGCCTCCCCGAGTTTTTGTTTTTGACTTTGGGTAAGGTTAAAAGGCCTGTGCCGGAGGACCTCAGGGTCCACAAGGGTTGATTTGGTAAAAGTACATCAGATAAATAAGAAGGGCCAAGTCCATTAATACATCTAAAAACTAATAAAAGAACCTTACAATCAATCCTGAAACGGACCTGAAACGGAGTGGCGATCAGTGAGATAAGAGATGAATCAGTTAAAAACAATGCCTGAGAGGCCGACCAGGTGCTGAAGTCTATTTAATAAAATGTGATGGTCTACTGCATCAAAGGCGGCGGCAGTTGGATCCAGCAGGACCAAGACTGTGAGGTTGCCATTATCTAAATTGCACCTGATGTCATTCAAAATTTTTAAAAGGGCTGTCTCAGTACTAGGGTTCCTCCTAAATCCTGATTTGCACTTCTCGAAAATACTCTTTGTATTTAAACGATCGTATTTAAATACAAAGATTGCTCTTCTATTTTTTTTTTTTGTGCCAAACACCCACTTTAGGGTGATTTTGTTTTTTTTTGTTTTTTTTCCAGAGTTTTTTGTTTTAAAGGTTTTTTGCCCATTTTAAGGTTTGTTTTTTTTTAGTTTTTTTTTTCTGGCCTGGCACCTATGTCTGGATGAGCTACTCTTAGACTGGTCCCTCCCCCACGACCTGTTTGCCTTGGGTGACACTTCAGAGGCATAAAGCCCCTGACAACATAGCTCCTGGGATCATTGGGACACACAAACCCCTCCACCACGGTAAGGTGGTAGCTCAAGGAGGGGGAAAAAACCCTCCCATGGAGGGGGGAAAAACCATAAGGGTTTTTTTTCTTTTTTTTTTTTCCAAATCATTTACTTGTTGAAGAACAAGTTTTTCCAAGTTTTTACTTAAAAATGGTAAGTTGGATGGTTCCACAACCGGGGACCATAAAAACTGAACGCCGCCTCCCCGTGTGTTTTTGTTTTTGACTTTGGGTAAGGTTAAAAGGCCTGTGCCGGAGGACCTCAGGGTCCGCGAGGGTTGATTTGGTAAAAGTACATCAGATAAATAAGAAGGGCCAAGTCCGTTAATACATCTAAAAACTAATAAAAGAACCTTATAAATCAATCCTGAAACAGATCTGAAACAGAGTGGCGATCAGTGAGATAAGAGGTGAACCAGTTAAAAACAGTGCCTGAGAGGCCGACCAGGTGCTGAAGTCTATTTAATAAAATGTGATGGTCAACTGCATCAAAGGCGGCGGCGGTTAGATCCAGCAGGACCAAGACTGTGAGGTTGCCATTATCTAAATTGCACCTGATGTCATTCAAAATTTTTAAAAGGGCTGTCTCAGTACTGGGGTTCCTCCTAAATCCTGATTTGCACTTCTCTAAAATGCTCTTTGTATTTAAATACAAAGATTGCTCTTCTATTTTTTTTTTGTGCTAAACACCCACTTTGGGGTGTTTTGTTTTTTTTTCCAGAGTTTTTTGTTTCAAAGGTTTTTTGCCCATTTTAAGGTTCGTTTTTTTAGTTTTTTTTTTTGCATCTGAATACTATTAATCAGCAGTAATAGTTTAAAACCATACTTCCCCACACTTGGCACTTCTAGGCATAAGCTAAAATCTTTCTTTACTGAGAGTCTCTTTTCAATACCTTGTGACACAGTGATCAATTGCCCCCGTGTTACCTTTAAACTTTCTTATCTGAGTCATCAGTACATGTCCGCAATGAGCACACAAAATGATGTAAACACAATAAGAAAACAGCTAATTACCTGAAACAATGGCTAAATGATTGGTATGATATATGAGTTCCCACAATGTAGAGCTATTGTGTCGGCTCCTGCTAAAAGATTCCGATTGTCTCTTTCTTGAAGTGTAGCCACTCGCTGAAAGGTTCAAACGATCCTACCCTGGACAGCTGCTCTACTTCCAATTACTAACACGAGATGAGAGCCGTGATGATGTCATAATGATGTCATCACGAAGTTTGTTTACATTCAAATTTTTCACATTTAAATGTAAACAAAAGCACACCCTATAACAATCATGTATTTTTCAAACCTGCTGTTAATCCCACATTGATTTGGGCTGTTTTTGTAATAGAAGCTTTATGAATTGATGTGTGTTGATGAGTTAAATAAGACAACTTAGTATTACACACCAGCTGTCAAACTGAGCTTTACAGACACCATCTTGCCTGTCTGAGTGGTCTGAATACTATTTTTCAGTAGTTAACACCTGTCTACCTCTGTCCATTGTTGAACCAAAATTAAAAAAATAGTTCTCTTTAACCCTTGGAGCATCTTCGGGACAAAAATGGAAATTTTGGGTGTGTTTTTTTGTTCTTCTCTCAGTAACCCGGGATTTAGGGAAAATATGTTTTAGGTGTAATGACCCCCTTTAATAAGGCCAGCTCACTGATCTTAGGTCTCCCTCTGGTAAAGCATTTTTATGATGCAAATCTGTAACTGCGGCCTGCTAACAAACTACAGACATTATCAAGATCCAGTAAAAGATTATCTCTTTGCCTTGGTCATTTTAAAAACAGAACTGAAAAAGTCTGGAGCTGAGAATATTTATTAAAACCTCCAGTTTTACCCTGTTCACAAGAAAATAAAAGGTCCCAAAATTGCAGTTCCTCAAGTGTCCACTTGAGGCTGTCCCCCATTTAAAAATGCTTATCATCAGAGATGTACAACATGTACAACACTAACATTCTTCTGTATGGCTTATTACTCTATTTGAAACAATTACGCAGATATCAAATTTCATGTATTCCATTAACCTCAGTAATCATATACTGGAGCTGGGAATGATATCACACCTGAGCTGATGTTGTGAGCATCATTTACTATACCAGGCAACAACAATACACAACATGATAGCTTGCGCGTGACTGCAACATGACAATGTGCCCACAAGTAAGACTTGTACAATACTAACAGTGTGATTGATCTATTGACACAAAACCAGAATAAGTTTCCAATAATTGCATCAAAAGTGTGGCTGATTTGCAGCCATCTTGGATTTTGAGCTTGGGTTACCTTAAGTTGTTACAGCTTTCTGAGTAAAAATTCAGATTTTAGGGGGGGCACCAGGCGAAGTAACTGACAGAGGCATGTCTAAATGTTAGATTTCTGAGATAAAACAGAGCAAAATATTATTCTTAGTCAATATGTTATGGAAAAATATGCAAAGTTAAAGGTGTGGTGTGGCTGCCTCAGCTTCCTGTGTAAATACAAGTTGGTTGAAGTCAAGGGCTCTACAGTGGTGCAGCTTTAGAGCAAGGGGTTTGAATCCAGTGATGGCTTTTCTCTGTAGAATTTGCATGTTGTAACACTGAACCAGGTTTTCTCTTTTGCCTGCTCTTTCCCACAGTCGTAGTTAGCTGTCAAACTTCTGAGTCGATGCTGAATGTGCAAAATGTAGAGCATGTAGAATACTTTTGCTAGTTTTGACATATGCAATAATAATAATTCTTTGAAATCATGTAAATATGCTGATAGGTGGTACTTGACCCATTATGGCAGGGCTCCACACCTGATGTAGATGGACAGAAAGATCAGACCCGTCAACAGGATTATCAAGTGGGCACCTCCCTTGACAACCCCAAAACACCTCAGAAAGGCAGGTTAAGTCTGGCATCCCACAACCATCCCACCTCATGCTAGTTTCTCGCATTCATCACATGCAACTAGCAAAAAAAAGAGACACTGCAGAGCCAAGTTAGTATGCTCTGCCTCCCTCTGCTCTCCCGTTTCCATAAGAGAAGAAGAGGAGGCTAAAAGGCATGGGTCCATAAGGTGTTGCACAGAAAATCTGCAGCGTGCACTTTCAAAACTATGTGCTCAGGGGCCAGAGTGGTCTCACACTTCCCTGCACAATATGCAGCCTGCAGTCTCCCCCTGCATTCAGGGTCTCTGTACGCTGTTATCTCTTGTCTGTGATGACTGATGTATATTTAGCCACCTCTGTCACCTCACTTCACTGTGTGAATGATCTCATTTTAATACAAACACACAGAGCGAGCAGGGAAATCATTCACACTCACATGAACACACACATTCATGGTCTCTCAGAGTGACAATAGAAACTTCCAGATAAACCATAAACTGGAGCGTCCTGCTAATGAGTGTGAATATTCACTGACCCACATGCCTCTCTCATGATGTCATAAGATTAGACCAATCAGTGACCAGTCAGCAGAGCTGCTCGGCACATGAGAGTTGGTATTTATCAGGATTTTAGCAGAGACCAGCTGATAACTTTTTTTCATTCAAAATTGAAAAACTAAAAACTGAAGCAGCCCATTAACCTTGTCCATGGAGATTTTTCCCTCCGATCTTCTCTGTTTTCTTGATTCCTCTACTTCGTTCCCAGCAGAACCAATGACATCACTCTTTCTCACGCTCTTTGTCCATCTCCTCTTCCTCTGAGCTTGCCCTCTCCTTCTCTCACATCCTCCTGTTTTCCCAGAGGGCTGTAGACACATTGTTGATTTCCTGTCACTTCTGTCACACACAAAATGACTGATTGTCTAAAGCCGCGTTCAGACCATAGACTGTATATACTATGGACAACTTGGTTCCACCTACCACCTGTATACGGATTTGAACCCAAAAAGCTCTCAATATTCCCGGGATTTTTCTTAATTTCCTGAAACCAGTAGCGATGCGCGCATTCGGCCGCGCAGTCGCCAAGAGTCACTGTGATGATGCTTGGCTCAAACAGCGTATCCCTCCTGGGAGAGCTACGCAATCCCTGAACGCCAATAGGCTGTATCAGGTGTCAGTCATAGAAAACATGAACCCCCTAATAACTTTTAAAAATGGAGCTTCACAGAAAAAAGAGGATTTGAGCACAAACTAGTCTTATTGTAACTACATGTCAACATCACAACCAGGGGGGAGAAAAATGTATGCTCTGTGTAACAAATTTCTGACCCAGCGAGGAGGCAGACTCTGTCCATTCTATATACAGCCTATGGTTCAGACCAAATGCGACTTGAAGTGACCTAGTCGTGTAGGTCGCTCACGTAGCGTTGCGTCGCGCCCTGGTTCATTCACACCGGTGCTGCGTCCAAATTGCCAAGTAGTAGTCGAAGTAGTATGTAGCATGTCAGAATTGGCCACCAGAGCGAGTAGCATGCTACTTCAGATACTACTTCAGATACTAGACACTATACACTGGGTGCTAGCATAAATGTCCGTGTCAAAGAGGATTTATGGACACTCAAGTCTTCGGTTATGTTTGTATTTCATATGGCCTCATATTTTGAATAAAAATAGCAATGAAATTTATTTTTATGTGCTTTAGGTTCCTGGCTACTGGAGACTCCTTCAGGACCATTGCCTACAGTTTTCGAGTTGGAGTTTCCACCGTGTCAGGCATCGTGGCAGACACTGTGTCCTGCATCTGGGAGTGCTTGGTGGAGGACTTCATGGCTGTGCCCACCTGTGATGAGTGGATATCCATAGCACAGGGTTTTAGGAGCGGTGGAACTTCCCCTTGTGTTGTGGTGCTGTGGATGGGAAGCACGTGTTTCTGAAGGCTCCTGCCAATTCAGGATCACAGTTTTATAACTATAAGGGAACATTTTCTATTGTTCTCTTGGCAGTTGTAGATGCCAATTATTGCTTCCGAGTGATCGATGTCAGAGGCTTCGGGAGGACCAGTGACGGGTGGATTCTGGCCAACTCTGCGTTTGGTCAGGCCCTCTGTTCTTGCTCCCTCCAACTGCCTCCGGATCGATCACTGCCTGAAGCTGAGCACAGGGGACTCCAACCTTATGTGTTTGTCGCAGATGAGGCCTTCCCTCTCCGGAGGAACCTCATGAGGCCGTATCCAGGGTGCATCCTCCCCAGAGAGAAGCGCATTTTCAACTACCGGCTGTCCAGGGCGCGGCTGGTGGTTGAAAATGCCTATGGCATTCTTTCCACTCAGTGGAGGATGTACCGACGTGCCCTTGGGGTTTCTCCGGACGTTGCAGAGAAGTGTGTGAAGGCCACCTGTGTCCTTCATAACTTCCTGCGTAGGTCTCAGCCTGAAGCTGCCATGAGGTTGGGTGCCATCACGGGTGGTGAGGAACCTCAGGCAGGGCTGGGACGTCTCAAAGCCGCCACAAACAACTATTGAGCAAAAGTCCTACATAAAAGTACAAGAATGTCTCCATAGCTGTGTCTGTGTCCTGCTTCTCATTCTCCTCAGAGTACTGCAAGATACACACACACACACGGTCAGTTTTTACGCACCTGCAAAAACATGCTATATCATATAACAAGATCATTATCATTATTATTATTATTATTATTATTAATTTGTTAGCCCACACGAGGGTAACAAGTGTCATTAAATTTTAAGGGGTGCACAAGGGTAAAGTTAAGTTTATACATTGAAGCACTGCAACCTAGTTATGTTACTTCATGACTGCATGTTAAAGAATGAAGCAAGGCAAAGTTGAGAAAACTTTTTATAACAACAAATATTTATAATATTTATAACAACAATAATATATAATAATAATAATAATAATAATAATAATAATACTAGGGCCCCGTTGGGGCACTGTCGGGCCCGAGCCGTGTCGCGCGCCCCCCCAACGCAATCGCCTCCCCTCCCCATCCCATTCGCGTCCTCTGACGCGTCCTCTGTCCTCTGGTAACGGCCATCACTGCAAAGATCCTTTTCCTTCATCAGCGTTTGCTGTTCTTCCTGCCAGTGTGTGTCGCTTTCACTTACACTTGCCACAGCCAGCCTCATGAGTGCCTGGCCTGGTTTGACCTTTGCTTACCCTGATTGTGTGATCTTGGTATCGGCTACTTGGGAAGTTCCACCGTCGTGGCAAAGCTTTGTTTGCGTGCTGTGCTCAACCACCTATTTTCTATGGATGTGTAAGTTAACCACTTTCTTTTCTTACACAATGACATACTCATACTTATCATTCACTGTTACTGATGTGCTCTGTTAGTATGCATGCAGGAAACCTGATGAATGAAGAAATGCCCAGACTTGCCTACATTTTAATAAATTATGAGGTTTGACATCACTTGAATGGTTTCATTGGACTATGCTTCCATTATTCTAATTCTTTAATAAAAAGAAATTTTGTCCAAAAAGACTGTTGTTGTTATTTCTTCTAATAATTAACATAGTTAACATAATTAACATTCAATATGCGCTCATTACAAACGTGCACACTCTTTGATGATCTGTGAAGCAGAGCTTGAAAGACAGTAGGAGCAGCCCAACAAAGTGTATTTGTAGGAAAGCCGTAAGAGCTATTGAAACGCCGTTTTCACGGGTTGAAAAGGTTAGGGTCTCCACAAAAGGTCAGAGGTCAAATAACATTTGTATCTCAAACTGTGACGTCACAGTCAAGGTCCAAAGATGGTGTGCGCACCTGTCTTTGGTCATTTCCCATTATAATGAATGGGAGGCGCAGTTTCTACCAAAACGCTCGCTGCAGACAAACTACATGTCCTATTTAAAAAAAAACTCTGGACAATGAGTGAGGGCACAAACACAGCTAGGATATATCCAAATGGCAAGTTGCTCCTCCTTACGGCGTTGCCGGGAGAGCGATGCGTTTCAGCCATTGAGCAACACGCAAGAAAACACGACACAAACTCAAGTTCAAAAACAACAAAAACTCAAGTTCAAACACAACACAAACTCAAGTTCAACAAACACAAACTCAAGTTCAACAAACACACAAACTCAAGTTCAACCAACACCTGATTCTCAAGTTTAACAATTCCACAACCCCAGGTTCAAACCAACAGAAATTCAAGTTCAAACAACACACGAATTCAAGTTTACCAAACACACAAATTCAAGTTCAAAAACACCACAAACTCAAGTTCAAACAGGACACAAACTCATATTCAAAAACACCAAAAACTCAAGTTCAACCAATACCCAATTCTCAAGTTTAAAAATTTCCACAACCTCAAGTTCAAAAACAACACCGACTCAAGTTCAAAAACACCACATACTCAAGTTCAAACACGACACAACCTCAAGTTCAAAAAACACACAAACTCAAGTTCAACAAACAACACAAACTCAAGTTCAAACACGACACAATATCAAGTTCAACCAACACCCAATTCTCAATTTTAACATATTCCAAACCCTCAAGTTCAAAAACACCACAAATTCGAGTTCAAAAACACCACAAACTCATGTTCAAACACGACACAAACTCAAGTTCAACAAACGCCACAAACTCAAGTTCAAACACGAAAAAAACTCAGGTTCAAAAACACCACTAACTCAAGTTCAAACACAACACAAACTCAAGTTCAAACAGGACACAAACTCAAGTTCAACAAATGCAGAAAACTCAGGTTCAACAAACAACACAAACTCAAGTTCAAAAACACCACAAACTCAAGTTCAAACACAACATAAACTCAAGTTCAACCAACACACAAACTCAAGTTAAAAAACACACAAATTCAAGTTCAACAAACGCCACAAACTCAAGTTCAAACACGAAACAAACTCAGGTTCAAAAACACCACTAACTCAAGTTCAAACACAACACAAACTCAAGTTCAAACAGGACACAAACTCAAGTTCAACAAATGCAGAAAACTCAGGTTCAACAAACAACACAAACTCAAGTTCACCAAACACCAATAACTCAAGTTCAAACACGACACAAACTCAAGTTCAAAAACACCAAAAACTCAAGTTCAACCAATACCCAATTCTCAAGTTTAAAAATTTCCACAACCTCAAGTTCAAAAACCACACCGACTCAAGTTCAAAAACACCACACACTCAAGTTCAAACACGACACAACCTTAAGTTCAAACACGACACAAAACTCAAGTTCAACCAACACCCAATTCTCAATTTTAAGATATTTCACATCCTCAAGTTCAAAAACACCACAAACTCAAGTTAAAACACGACACAAACTCAAGTTCAACAAACACCACAAACTCAGGTTCAAACACGACACAGTCAAGTTCAAAAAACACACAAACTCAAGTTCAACCAACACCTGATTCTCAAGTTTAACAATATCCACAACCCCAAGTTCAAAAACAACAGAAACTCAAGTTCAAAAAACACACAAATTCAAGTTCACCAAACACTCAAACTCAATTTCACCAAACACCACAAACTCAAGTTCAACCAACACCCAATACTCAATTTTAAGATATTTCACACCCTCAAGTTCAAGAACACCACAAACTCAAGTTCAACAAACACCAAAAACTCAAGTTAAAAAAAAACAAACTCAAGTTCAAAAACACCACATACTCAATTTCAAACACGACACAACCTCAAGTTCAAAAAACACACAAACTCAAGTTCAACCAACACCTGATTCACAAGTTTAAAAATTTTCACAACCTTGTGTTAAAAAACACACAAACTCAAGTTCAACAAAGAACACGGACTCAAGTGCAAACACAACATAAACTCAAGTTCAACCAACACACAAACTCAAGTTCAAAAACACACAAATTCAAGTTCACCCAACACGCAAACTGAAGTTCACCAAACACCAATAACTCAAGTTCAAACACGACACAAACTCAAGTTCAAAAACACCAAAAACTCAAGTTTAACCAATACCCAATTCTGAAGTTTAAAAATTTCCACAACCTCAAGTTCAAAAACCACACCGACTCAAGTTCAAAAACACCACACACTCAAGTTCAAACACGACACAACCTCAAGTTCAAAAAACACACAAACTCAAGTTCAACAAACAACACAAACTCAAGTTCAAACACAACACAAACTCAAGTTCAGACACGACACAAACTCAAGTTCAACAAACGCCACGAACTCAAGTTCAAACACGAAACAAACTCAGGTTCAAAAACACCACTAACTCAAGTTCAAACACAACACAAATTCAAGTTCAACAAACGCCAAAAACTCAAGTTCAAACAAAAAACAAACTCAAGTTCAAAAACACCACAAACTCAAGTTCAAACACAACATAAACTCAAGTTCAACCAACACACAAACTCAGGTTCAAAAACACCACATACTCAAGTTTAAACACAACACAAACTCAAGTTAAAAAAAACCCTCAAACTCAAGTTCAACCAACACCTGATTCTCAGGTTTAAAAATTTTCACAACCTCATGTTCAAAAAACACAAACTCAAATTCAACAAACAACACGAACTCAAGTTCAAACACGACACAAACTCAAGTTCAACCAACACCCAATTCTCAATTTTAAGATATTTCACACCCTCAAGTTCAAGAACACCACAAACTCAAGTTCAACAAACACCAAAAACTCAAGTTAAAAAAAAAACAAACTCAAGTTCAAAAACACCACATACTCAATTTCAAACACGACACAACCTCAAGTTCAAACACAACACAAACTCAAGTTCAACCAACACCCAATTCTCAAGTTCAAGCAACACCTGATTCACAAGTTTAAAAATTTTCACAACCTTCTGTTAAAAAACACACAAACTCAAGTTCAACAAACAACACAAACTCAAGTTCAAACACGACACAAACTCAAGTTCAACCAACACCCAATTCTCAATTTTAAGATATTTCACATCCTCAAGTTCAAAAACACCACAAACTCAAGTTAAAACACGACACAAACTCAAGTTCAACAAACACCACAAACTCAAGTTCAAACACGACACAACCTCAAGTTCAAACACGACACAAACTCAAGTTCAACCAACACCCAATTCTCAATTTTAAGATATTTCACATCCTCAAGTTCAAAAACACCACAAACTCAAGTTAAAACACGACACAAACTCAAGTTCAAAAAACACACAAACTCAAGTTCAACCAACACCTGATTCTCAAGTTTAACAATATCCACAACCCCAAGTTCAAAAACAACAGAAACTCAAGTTCAAAAAACACACAAATTCAAGTTCACCAAACACTCAAACTCAATTTCACCAAACACCACAAACTCAAGTTCAACCAACACCCAATACTCAATTTTAAGATATTTCACACCCTCAAGTTCAAGAACACCACAAACTCAAGTTCAACAAACACCAAAAACTCAAGTTAAAAAAAAACAAACTCAAGTTCAAAAACACCACATACTCAATTTCAAACACGACACAACCTCAAGTTCAAAAAACACACAAACTCAAGTTCAACCAACACCTGATTCACAAGTTTAAAAATTTTCACAACCTCGTGTTAATAAACACACAAACTCAAGTTCAACAAAGAACACGGACTCAAGTGCAAACACAACATAAACTCAAGTTCAACCAACACGCAAACTCAAGTTCACCAAACACCAATAACTCAAGTTCAAACACGACACAAACTCAAGTTCAAAAACACCAAAAACTCAAGTTCAAACACGACACAAACTCAAGTTCAAAAACACCAAAAACTCAAGTTTAACCAATACCCAATTCTGAAGTTTAAAAATTTCCACAACCTCAAGTTCAAAAACCACACCGACTCAAGTTCAACAAACAACACAAACTCAAGTTCAAACACAACACAAACTCAAGTTCAACCAACACCCAATTCTCAATTTTAACATATTCCAAGCCCTCAAGTTCAAAAACACCACAAACTCGAGTTCAAAAACACCACAAACTCATGTTCAGACACGACACAAACTCAAGTTCAACAAACGCCACGAACTCAAGTTCAAACACGAAACAAACTCAGGTTCAAAAACACCACTAACTCAAGTTCAAACACAACACAAATTCAAGTTCAACAAACGCCAAAAACTCAAGTTCAAACAAAAAACAAACTCAAGTTCAAAAACACCACAAACTCAAGTTCAAACACAACATAAACTCAAGTTCAACCAACACACAAACTCAGGTTCAAAAACACCACATACTCAAGTTTAAACACAACACAAACTCAAGTTAAAAAAAACCCCTCAAACTCAAGTTCAACCAACACCTGATTCTCAGGTTTAAAAATTTTCACAACCTCATGTTCAAAAAACACAAACTCAAATTCAACAAACACCCAATTCTCAATTTTAAGATATTTCACACCCTCAAGTTCAAGAACACCACAAACTCAAGTTCAACAAACACCAAAAACTCAAGTTAAAAAAAAAACAAACTCAAGTTCAAAAACACCACATACACAATTTCAAACACGACACAACCTCTAGTTCAAATACAACACAAACTCAAGTTCAACCAACACCCAATTCTCAAGTTCAAGCAACACCTGATTCACAAGTTTAAAAATTTTCACAACCTTCTGTTAAAAAACACACAAACTCAAGTTCAACACAAACTCAAGTTTAACCAACACACAAACTCAAGTTCAACCAACACAAAACTCAAGTTCACCCAACACGCAAACTGAAGTTCACCAAACACCACAAACTCAACTTCAAAAAAACCCACAATCTCAAGTTCAACCAACACCTGATTCACAAGTTTAAAAATTTTCACAACCTCATGTTAAAAAAACACACAAACTCAAGTTCAAACACAACACAAACTCAAGTTCAACCAACACAAACTCAAGTTCAACCAACACACAAACTCAAGTTAAAAAAAAAACACAAACTCAAGTTCAAACACAACACAAACTCAAGTTCAACCAACACCCAATTCTCAATTTTAAGATATTTCACATCCTCAAGTTCAAAAACACCACAAACTCAAGTTAAAACACGACACAAACTAAAGTTCAACAAACACCACAAACTCAAGTTCAAACACGACAAAAACTCAAGTTCAAAAAGCACACAAACTCAAGTTCAACCAACACCTGATTCTCAAGTTTAACAAAATCCACAACCTCAAGTTCAAAAACAACAGAAATTCAAGTTCAACAAACAACACGAACTCAAGTTCACCAAACACTACAAACTCAAGTTCAAACAAGACACAAACTCAAGTTCAACCAACACCCAAATCTCAAGTTTAACAATTGCCACAAACTCAAGTTCAAAAACACAGAAAACTCAAGTTCAAAGACACGACAAACTCAAGATCAAACACTACACAAACTCAAGTTCAACAAACACACAAACTCAAGTTCAACCAATACCCAGTTCTAAAGTTTAACAATTTTCACAACCTTAAGTTCAAAAACAACAGAAACTCAAGTTCAACAAACAACACGAACTCAAGTTCACCAAACACGCAAACTCAAGTTCACCAAACACCACAAACTCAAGTTCAAACACGACACAAACCCAAGTTAAAAAACACGAAAACCTCAGGTTTAACCAATACCCAATTCTCAAGTTTAACAATTTCCAAAACCTCAAGGTAAAAAAAAACACTGACTCAAGTTCAAAAACACCACAACCTCAAGTTAAACAAACACAAAACTCAAGTTCAAACAAACCACAAACTCAAGGTCAAACACGACACAAACTCAAGTTGGACAAACACACAAACTCAAGTTTAAAAACACCACAAACTCAAGTTCAAACACGAAACAAACTCAAGTTTAAAAACACCACAAACTCATATTCAAACACAAAAGAAACTCAAGTTCAACAAACACACAAACTCAAGTTCAAAAACACCACAAACTCAAGTTCAAACGGGAAACAAACTCAAGTTCAACAAACACACAAACTCAAGTTCATCCAACACCCAAATATCAAGTTTAACAATTACCACAACCTCAAGTTAAAAACAACAGATACTCAAGTTCAACAAACAGCACGAACTCAAGTTCACCAAACATGCAAATTCAAGTTCACCAAACACTACAAACTCAAGTTCAAACACGACACAAAATCAAGTTCAACCAACACCCAAATCTCAAGTTAAACAATTGCCACAAACTCAAGCTCAAAAACACCAAAAACTCAAGTTCAAAGACACGACAAACTCAAGTTCAACCAATACCCAATTCTAAAGTTTAACAATTTCCACAACCTCAAGTTCAAAAACAACACAGACTCAAGTTCAAAAACACCACATACTCAAGTTCAAACGCGACACAAACTCTCAACAAAAACCACAAACTCAAGTTCAACCAACGCCTGATTCTAAAGTTTATACATTTTCACAACCACAAGTTCAAAAAACACACAAACTCAAGTTCAACAAAAACACAAACTCAAGTTCAACCAAATCCCAAATCTCAAGTTTAACAATTACCACAACCTCAAGTTCAAACACACAACAAACTCAAGTTCAAACACCAAAAATTCAAGTTCAGCCAATACCCAATTCTCAAGTTTAACAATTTCCACAAGCTCAAGTTTAAAACAAGACAGACTTAAGTTCGAAAACACCAAAAACTGAAGTTTAAACATGACACAAACTCAAGTTTAAAAAAAAGCCACAAACTCAAGTTCAACCAACACCTGATTTTCAACTTTACAAATTTTCACAACCTCAAGTTCAAAAAACACACAAACTCAAGTTCAACAAACAACACAAACTCAAGTTCAAACACGACACAAACTCAAGTTCAACCAACACCCAAATCTCAAATTTAACAATTGCCACAACCTCAAGTTCAACAAACAACACAGACTCAAGTTCAAAAACACCAACTACTCAAGCTCAAACACGACAAAAACTCAAGTTCGACAAAAACCACAAACTCAAGTTTAACAATTTCCACAACCTCAAGTTCAGCCAATACCCAATTCTCAAGTTTAACAATTTCCACAACCTCAAGTTCAAACATGACACAAACTCAAGTTCAACCAACACCCAAATCTCAAGTTTAACATTTGCCACAAACTTAAGTTCAAAAACACCAAAAACTCAAGTTCAAAAACACCACAAACTCAAGTTCAAACACGACAAAACCTCAAGTTCAAACAATACACAAACTCAAGTTCAACAAACACACAAACTCAAGTTCAACCAATACCCAATTCTAAAGTTTAACAATTTCCACAACCTCAAGTTCAAAAACAACACTGACTGAAGTTCAAAAACGACACAAACTCAAGTTCAAACACGACACAAACTCAAGTTCAACAAAAACCACAAACTCAAGTTCAACCAACACCTGATTCTAAAGTTTATACATTTTCACAACCACAGGTTCAAAAAACACACAAACTCAAGTTCAACAAACAACACGAACTCAAGTTCAACAAACACCAAAAACTCAAGTTCAAACACAACAGAAACTCAAGTTAAACAAACAAACAAACTCAAGTTCAAACACAACAGAAACTCAAGTTAAACAAACAAACAAACTCAAGTTCAAAAACACCACAAACTCAAATTCAAACGGGACACAAACTCAAGTTCAACAAACACACAAACTCAAGTTCAACCAACACCTGATTCTCAAGTTTAACAATTTCCACAACCTCAAGTTCAAAAACAACAGAAATTCAAGTTCAACAAACAACACAAACTCAAGTTCACCAAAAACGCAAACTCAAGTTCACCAAACACCACAAACTGAACTTCAAACACGACACAAACTCAAGTTAAAAAACACGAAAACCTCAAGTTCAACCAATACCCAGTTCTAAAGTTTAACAATTTTCACAACCTTAAGTTCAAAAACAACAGAAACTCAAGTTCAACAAACAACACGAACTCAAGTTCACCAAACACGCAAACTCAAGTTCACCAAACACCACAAACTCAAGTTCAAACACGACACAAACTCAAGTTAAAAAACACGAAAACCTCAAGTTTAACCAATACCCAATTCTCAAGTTTAACAATTTCCAAAACCTCAAGGTAAAAAAAACCCAGACTCAAGTTCAAAAACACCACAACCTCAAGTTCAACAAACACAAAACTCAAGTTCAAACAAACCACAAACTCAAGGTCAAACACGATACAAACTCAAGTTGGACAAACACACAAACTCAAGTTTAAAAACACCACAAACTCAAGTTCAAAACCGAAACAAACTCAAGTTTAAAAACACCACAAACTCATATTCAAAAACAACACAAACTTAAGTTCAAATAACACAAAAACTCAAGTTCAAACATGACACAAACTCAAGTTCAAAAAGGACACAAACTCAAGTTCAACAAAAACACAAACTCAAGTATAAAAATTGCCACAACCTCAAGTTCAATCAATTCCACACCTTAAACTTAAAAAAACCCACAAACTCAAGTTAAAACACGACACAAACTCAAGTTCAACAAAAATCCCAAATTCAAGTTCAAACACGAAACTCAAGGTCAAATACAACACAAACTCAAGTTCAACAAACACACAAACTCAAGTTCAAAAACACCACAAACTCAAGTTCAAAAACAACACAAACTCAATTGCAAACACGGCAAAATACTCAAGTTCAACAAACACCACAAACTCAAGTTCAAACACAACACAAACTCAAGTTCAACAAACACACAAACTCAAGTTCAAAAACACCACAAACTCAAGTTCAAAAACAACACAAACTCAATTGCAAACACGACAAAAAACTCAAGTTCAACAAACACCACAAACTCAAGTTCAAACACAACACAAACTCAAGTTCAACAATCACACAAACTCAAGTTCAAACACGACAAAAAACTCAAGTTCAACAAACACCACAAACTCAAGTTCAAACACAACACAAACTCAAGTTCAACAATCACACAAACTCAAGTTCAACCAACACACAAACTCAGGTTCAAAAACACCACATACTCAAGTTTAAACACAACACAAACTCAAGTTAAAAAAAACCCTCAAACTCAAGTTCAACCAACACCTGATTCTCAGGTTTAAAAATTTTCACAACCTCATGTTCAAAAAACACAAACTCAAATTCAACAAACAACACGAACTCAAGTTCAAACACAACACAAACTCAAGTTCAACCAACACCCAATTCTCAATTTTAAGATATTTCACACCCTCAAGTTCAAGAACACCACAAACTCAAGTTCAACAAACACACAAACTCAAGTTCAACCAACACCTGATTCTCAAGTTTAACAATTTCCACAACCTCAAGTTCAAAAACAACAGAAATTCAAGTTCAACAAACAACACAAACTCAAGTTCACCAAAAACGCAAACTCAAGTTCACCAAACACCACAAACTGAACTTCAAACACGACACAAACTCAAGTTAAAAAACACGAAAACCTCAAGTTCAACCAATACCCAGTTCTAAAGTTTAACAATTTTCACAACCTTAAGTTAAAAAAAAACAGAAACTCAAGTTCAACAAACAACACGAACTCAAGTTCACCAAACACGCAAACTCAAGTTCACCAAACACCACAAACTCAAGTTCAAACACGACACAAACTCAAGTTAAAAAACACGAAAACCTCAAGTTTAACCAATACCCAATTCTCAAGTTTAACAATTTCCAAAACCTCAAGGTAAAAAAAACCCAGACTCAAGTTCAAAAACACCACAACCTCAAGTTCAACAAACACAAAACTCAAGTTCAAACAAACCACAAACTCAAGGTCAAACACGATACAAACTCAAGTTGGACAAACACACAAACTCAAGTTTAAAAACACCACAAACTCAAGTTCAAAACCGAAACAAACTCAAGTTTAAAAACACCACAAACTCATATTCAAAAACAACACAAACTTAAGTTCAAATAAAAAAAAACTCAAGTTCAAACATGACACAAACTCAAGTTCAAAAAGGACACAAACTCAAGTTCAACAAAAACACAAACTCAAGTATAAAAATTGCCACAACCTCAAGTTCAATCAATTCCACACCTTAAACTTAAAAAAACCCACAAACTCAAGTTAAAACACGACACAAACTCAAGTTCAACAAAAATCCCAAATTCAAGTTCAAACACGAAACTCAAGGTCAAATACAACACAAACTCAAGTTCAACAAACACACAAACTCAAGTTCAAAAACACCACAAACTCAAGTTCAAAAACAACACAAACTCAATTGCAAACACGGCAAAAAACTCAAGTTCAACAAACACCACAAACTCAAGTTCAAACACAACACAAACTCAAGTTCAACAAACACACAAACTCAAGTTCAAAAACACCACAAACTCAAGTTCAAAAACAACACAAACTCAATTGCAAACACGACACAACCTCAAGTTCAAAAAACACCACAAACTCAAGTTCAAACACAACACAAACTCAAGTTCAACAATCACACAAACTCAAGTTCAAACACGACAAAAAACTCAAGTTCAACAAACACCACAAACTCAAGTTCAAACACAACACAAACTCAAGTTCAACAATCACACAAACTCAAGTTCAACCAAAACACAAACTCAGGTTCAAAAACACCACATACTCAAGTTTAAACACAACACAAACTCAAGTTAAAAAAAACCCTCAAACTCAAGTTCAACCAACACCTGATTCTCAGGTTTAAAAATTTTCACAACCTCATGTTCAAAAAACACAAACTCAAATTCAACAAACAACACGAACTCAAGTTCAAACACAACACAAACTCAAGTTCAACCAACACCCAATTCTCAATTTTAAGATATTTCACACCCTCAAGTTCAAGAACACCACAAACTCAAGTTCAACAAACACCAAAAACTCAAGTTAAAAAAAAAACAAACTCAGGTTCAAAAACACCACTAACTCAAGTTCAAACACAACACAAACTCAAGTTCAACCAACACACAAACTCTGGTTCAAAAACACCACATACTCAAGTTTAAACACAACACAAACTCAAGTTAAAAAAAACCCTCAAACTCAAGTTCAACCAACACCTGATTCTCAGGTTTAAAAATTTTCACAACCTCATGTTCAAAAAACACAAACTCAAATTCAACAAACACCCAATTCTCAATTTTAAGATATTTCACACCCTCAAGTTCAACAAACACCAAAAACTCAAGTTAAAAAAAAAACAAACTCAAGTTCAAAAACACCACATACTCAATTTCAAACACGACACAACCTCAAGTTCAAACACAACACAAACTCAAGTTCAACCAACACCCAATTCTCAAGTTCAAGCAACACCTGATTCACAAGTTTAAAAATTTTCACAACCTTCTGTTAAAAAACACACAAACTCAAGTTCAACAAACAACACAAACTCAAGTTCAAACACGACACAAACTCAAGTTCAACCAACACCCAATTCTCAATTTTAAGATATTTCACATCCTCAAGTTCAAAAACACCACAAACTCAAGTTAAAACACGACACAAACTCAAGTTCAACAAACACCACAAACTCAAGTTCAAACACGACACAAACTCAAATTCAAAAACACCAAAAACTCAAGTTCAACCAATACCCAATTCTCAAGTTTAAAAATTTCCACAACTTCAAGTTCAAAAACAACACAGACTCAAGTTCAAAAACACCACATACTCAAGTTTAAACACGACACAAACTCAAGTTCAAAAAACCCCACAAACTCAAGTTCAACCAACACCTAATACAAGTTTAAAAATTTTCACAACCTCATGTTAAAAAAACACACAAACTCAAGTTCAAAAAACAACACGAACTCAAGTTCAAACACAACACAAACTCAAGTTCAACCAACACATAAACTCAAGTTCAAAAACACCGAATTCAAGTTCACCCAACACGCAAACTGAAGGTCACCAAACACCACAAACTCAACTTCAAAAAACCCCACAAACTCAAGTTCAACCAACACCTGATTCAAAAGTTTAAAAGTTTTCACAACCTCATGTTAAAAAAACACACAAACTCAAGTTCAACAAACAACACGAACTCAAGTTCAAACACAACACAAACTCAAGTTCAACCAACACACAAACTCAAGTTTAACCAACACACAAACTCAAGTTCAACCAACACACAAACTCAAGTTCACCCAACACGCAAACTGAAGTTCACCAAACACCACAAACTCAACTTCAAAAAACCCCACAATCTCAAGTTCAACCAACACCTGATTCACAAGTTTTAAAATTTTCACAACCTCATGTTAAAAAAACACACAAACTCAAGTTCAACAAAAAACACGAACTCAAGTTCAAACACAACACAAACTCAAGTTCAACCAACACACAAACTCAAGTTCAACCAACACACAAACTCAAGTTCAACAAACACAAACTCAAGTTAAACCAACACCTGATTCTCAAGTTTAACAATTTCCACAACCCCAAGTTCAAGAACGACAGAAACTCAAGTTCAAAAGACACACCAACTCAAGTTCACCAAACGCGCAAACTCAAGTTCACCAAACACCACATACTCAAGTTCAAAAACGACACAAACTCAAGTTAAAAAACACGAAAAACTCAAGTTCAAACAAAAAACAAACTCAAGTTCAAAAACACCACATACTCAAACACGACACAACCTCAAGTTCAAAAAACACACAAACTCAAGTTCAACAAACAACACAAACTCAAGTTCAAACAAGACACTAACTCAAGTTAAACCAACACCCAATTCTCCATTTTAACATATTCCAAACCCTCAAGTTCAAAAACACCACAGACTCAAGTTCAAAAACACCACATACTCAAGTTCAAACACGACACAAACTCAAGTTCAAAAAACCCCACAAACTCAAGTTCAACCAACACCTGATACACAAGTTTAAAAATTTTCACAACCTCATGTTAAAAAAACACTCATACTCAAGTTGAGAAAACAACACGAACTCAAGTTCAAACACAACACAAACTCAAGTTCAACCAACACACAAACTCAAGTTCAAAAACACCGAATTCAAGTTCACCCAACACGCAAACTGAAGGTCACCAAACACCACAAACTCAACTTCAAAAAACCCCACAAACTCAAGTTCAACCAACACCTGATTCACAAGTTTAAAAATTTTCACTACCTCATGTTAAAAAAACACAAACTCAAGTTCAACAAACAACACGAACTCAAGTTCAACCAACACACAAACTCAAGTTTAACCAACACACAATCTCAAGTTCAACCAACACACAAACTCAAGTTCACCCAACACGCAAACTGAAGTTCACCAAACACCACAAACTCAACTTAAAAAAACCCCACAATCTCAAGTTCAACCAACACCTGATTCACAAATTTAAAAATTTTCACAACCTCATGTTAAAAAAACACACAAACTCAAGTTCAAACACAACACAAACTCAAGTTCAACCAACACAAACTCAAGTTCAACCAACACACAAACTCAAATTAAAAAAAAACACAAACTCAAGTTCAAGCACAACACAAACTCAAGTTCAACCAACACCCAATTCTCAATTTTAAGATATTTCACATCCTCAAGTTCAAAAACACCACAAACTCAAGTTAAAACACGACACAAACTCAAGTTCAACAAACACCACAAACTCAAGTTCAAACATGACACAAACTCAAGTTCAAAAAGCACACAAACTCAAGTTCAACCAACACCTGATTCTCAAGTTTAACAATATCCACAACCTCAAGTTCAAAAACAACAGAAATTCAAGTTCAACAAACAACACGAACTCAAGTTCACCAAACATGCAAATTCAAGTTCACCAAACACTACAAACTCAAGTTCAAACAAGACACAAACTCAAGTTCAACCAACACCCAAATCTCAAGTTTAACAATTGCCACAAACTCAAGTTCAAAAACACAGAAAAATCAAGTTCAAAGACACGACAAACTCAAGATCAAACACTACACAAACTCAAGTTCAACAAACACACAAACTCAAGTTCAACCAATACCCAGTTCTAAAGTTTAACAATTTTCACAACCTTAAGTTCAAAAACAACAGAAACTCAAGTTCAACAAACAACACGAACTCAAGTTCACCAAACACGCAAACTCAAGTTCACCAAACACCACAAACTCAAGTTCAAACACGACACAAACCCAAGTTAAAAAACACGCAAACCTCAGGTTTAACCAATACCCAATTCTCAAGTTTAACAATTTCCAAAACCTCAAGGTAAAAAAAAACACTGACTCTAGTTCAAAAACACCACAACCTCAAGTTCAACAAACACAAAACTCAAGTTCAAACAAACCACAAACTCAAGGTCAAACACGACACAAACTCAAGTTGGACAAACACACAAACTCAAGTTTAAAAACACCACAAACTCAAGTTCAAACACGAAACAAACTCAAGTTTAAAAACACCACAAACTCAAGTTCAAACACAAAAGAAACTCAAGTTCAACAAACACACAAACTCAAGTTCAAAAACACCACAAACTCAAGTTCAAACGGGAAACAAACTCAAGTTCAACAAACACACAAACTCAAGTTCAACCAACACCCAAATCTCAAGTTTAACAATTACCACAACCTCAAGTTAAAAACAACAGATACTCAAGTTCAACAAACAGCACGAACTCAAGTTCACCAAACATGCAAATTCAAGTTCACCAAACACTACAAACTCAAGTTCAAACACGACACAAAATCAAGTTCAACCAACACCCAAATCTCAAGTTAAACAATTGCCACAAACTCAAGCTCAAAAACACCAAAAACTCAAGTTCAAAGACACGACAAACTCAAGTTCAACCAATACCCAATTCTAAAGTTTAACAATTTCCACAACCTCAAGTTCAAAAACAACACAGACTCAAGTTCAAAAACACCACATACTCAAGTTCAAACGCGACACAAACTCTCAACAAAAACCACAAACTCAAGTTCAACCAACGCCTGATTCTAAAGTTTATACATTTTCACAACCACAAGTTCAAAAAACACACAAACTCAAGTTCAACAAACAACACGAACTCAAGTTCAACAAAAACACAAACTCAAGTTCAACCAAATCCCAAATCTCAAGTTTAACAATTACCACAACCTCAAGTTCAAACACACAACAAACTCAAGTTCAAACACCAAAAATTCAAGTTCAGCCAATACCCAATTCTCAAGTTTAACAATTTCCACAAGCTCAAGTTTAAAACAAGACAGACTTAAGTTCGAAAACACCAAAAACTGAAGTTTAAACATGACACAAACTCAAGTTTAAAAAAAAGCCACAAACTCAAGTTCAACCAACACCTGATTTTCAACTTTACAAATTTTCACAACCTCAAGTTCAAAAAACACACAAACTCAAGTTCAACAAACAACACAAACTCAAGTTCAACCAAATCCCAAATCTCAAGTTTAACAATTTCCACAACCTCAAGTTCAGCCAATACCCAATTCTCAAGTTTAACAATTTCCACAACCTCAAGTTCAAACATGACACAAACTCAAGTTCAACCAACACCCAAATCTCAAGTTTAACATTTGCAACAAACTCAAGTTCAAAAACACCAAAAACTCAAGTTCAAAAACACCACAAACTCAAGTTCAAACACGACAAAACCTCAAGTTCAAACAATACACAAACTCAAGTTCAACAAACACACAAACTCAAGTTCAACCAATACCCAATTCTAAAGTTTAACAATTTCCACAACCTCAAGTTCAAAAACAACACTGACTGAAGTTCAAAAACGACACAAACTCAAGTTCAAACACGACACAAACTCAAGTTCAACAAAAACCACAAACTCAAGTTCAACCAACACCTGATTCTAAAGTTTATAAATTTTCACAACCACAAGTTCAAAAAACACACAAACTCAAGTTCAACAAACAACACGAACTCAAGTTCAACAAACAAACTCAAGTTCAACCAAAACACCAAAACCTCAAGTTTAACAATTACCACAACCTCAAGTTCAAACACACAACAAACTCAAGTTCAAACACGAGACAAACTAAAGTTCAAAAACACCAAAAACTCAAGTTCAGCTAATACCCAATTCTCAAGTTTAACAATTTCCACAAGCTCAAGTTTAAAAACAAGACAGACTTAAGTTCAAAAACACCAAAAACTGAAGTTCAAACACGACACAAACTCAAGTTTAAAAAAAAGCCACAAACTCAAGTTCAACCAACACCTGATTTTCAACTTTATAAATTTTCACAACCTCAAGTTCAAAAAACACACAAACTCAAGTTCAACAAACACCAAAAACTCAAGTTCAAACACAACAGAAACTCAAGTTAAACAAACAAACAAACTCAAGTTCAAACACAACAGAAACTCAAGTTAAACAAACAAACAAACTCAAGTTCAAAAACACCACAAACTCAAATTCAAACGGGACACAAACTCAAGTTCAACAAACACACAAACTCAAGTTCAACCAACACCTGATTCTCAAGTTTAACAATTTCCACAACCTCAAGTTCAAAAACAACAGAAATTCAAGTTCAACAAACAACACAAACTCAAGTTCACCAAAAACGCAAACTCAAGTTCACCAAACACCACAAACTGAAGTTCAAACACGACACAAACTCAAGTTAAAAAACACGAAAACCTCAAGTTCAACCAATACCCAGTTCTAAAGTTTAACAATTTTCACAACCTTAAGTTCAAAAACAACAGAAACTCAAGTTCAACAAACAACACGAACTCAAGTTCACCAAACACGCAAACTCAAGTTCACCAAACACCACAAACTCAAGTTCAAACACGACACAAACTCAAGTTAAAAAACACGAAAACCTCAAGTTTAACCAATACCCAATTCTCAAGTTTAACAATTTCCAAAACCTCAAGGTAAAAAAAACCCAGACTCAAGTTCAAAAACACCACAACCTCAAGTTCAACAAACACAAAACTCAAGTTCAAACAAACCACAAACTCAAGGTCAAACACGATACAAACTCAAGTTGGACAAACACACAAACTCAAGTTTAAAAACACCACAAACTCAAGTTCAAACACGAAACAAACTCAAGTTTAAAAACACCACAAACTCATATTCAAAAACAACACAAACTTAAGTTCAAATAACACAAAAACTCAAGTTCAAACACGACACAAACTCAAGTTCAAAAAGGACACAAACTCAAGTTCAACAAAAACACAAACTCAAGTATAAAAATTGCCACAACCTCAAGTTCAACCAATTCCACACCTTAAACTTAAAAAAAGCCACAAACTCAAGTTCAACCAACACCTGATTTTCAACTTTATAAATTTTCACAACCTCAAGTTCAAAAAACACACAAACTCAAGTTCAACAAACACCAAAAACTCAAGTTCAAACACAACAGAAACTCAAGTTAAACAAACAAACAAACTCAAGTTCAAACACAACAGAAACTCAAGTTAAACAAACAAACAAACTCAAGTTCAAAAACACCACAAACTCAAATTCAAACGGGACACAAACTCAAGTTCAACAAACACACAAACTCAAGTTCAACCAACACCTGATTCTCAAGTTTAACAATTTCCACAACCTCAAGTTCAAAAACAACAGAAATTCAAGTTCAACAAACAACACAAACTCAAGTTCACCAAAAACGCAAACTCAAGTTCACCAAACACCACAAACTGAACTTCAAACACGACACAAACTCAAGTTAAAAAACACGAAAACCTCAAGTTCAACCAATACCCAGTTCTAAAGTTTAACAATTTTCACAACCTTAAGTTCAAAAACAACAGAAACTCAAGTTCAACAAACAACACGAACTCAAGTTCACCAAACACGCAAACTCAAGTTCACCAAACACCACAAACTCAAGTTCAAACACGACACAAACTCAAGTTAAAAAACACGAAAACCTCAAGTTTAACCAATACCCAATTCTCAAGTTTAACAATTTCCAAAACCTCAAGGTAAAAAAAAACCCAGACTCAAGTTCAAAAACACCACAACCTCAAGTTCAACAAACACAAAACTCAAGTTCAAACAAACCACAAACTCAAGGTCAAACACGATACAAACTCAAGTTGGACAAACACACAAACTCAAGTTTAAAAACACCACAAACTCAAGTTCAAACACGAAACAAACTCAAGTTTAAAAACACCACAAACTCATATTCAAAAACAACACAAACTTAAGTTCAAATAACACAAAAACTCAAGTTCAAACACGACACAAACTCAAGTTCAAAAAGGACACAAACTCAAGTTCAACAAAAACACAAACTCAAGTATAAAAATTGCCACAACCTCAAGTTCAACCAATTCCACACCTTAAACTTAAAAAAACCCACAAACTCAAGTTTAAACACGACACAAACTCAAGTTCAAAAAAAATCACAAATTCAAGTTCAAACACGAAACTCAAGGTCAAATACAACACAAACTCAAGTTCAACAAACACACAAACTCAAGTTCAAAAACACCACAAACTCAAGTTCAAAAACAACACAAACTCAATTGCAAACACGGCAAAAAACTCAAGTTCAACAAACACCACAAACTCAAGTTCAAACACAACACAAACTCAAGTTCAACAAACACACAAACTCAAGTTCAAAAACACCACAAACTCAAGTTCAAAAACAACACAAACTCAATTGCAAACACGACAAAAAACTCAAGTTCAACAAACACCACAAACTCAAGTTCAAACACAACACAAACTCAAGTTCAACAATCACACAAACTCAAGTTCAAACACGACACAAACTCAAGTTCAACAAACACCACAAACTCAAGTTCAAACACAACACAAACTCAAGTTCAACAAACACACAAACTCAAGCTCAAAAACACCACAAACTCAAGTTCAAAAACAACACAAACTCAATTGCAAACACGACAAAAAACTCAAGTTCAACAAACACCACAAACTCAAGTTCAAACACAACACAAACTCAAGTTCAACAAACACACAAACTCAAGTTCAAAAACACCACAAACTCAAGTTCATAAACAACACAAACTCAATTGCAAACACGACAAAAAACTCAAGTTCAACAAACACCACAAACTCAAGTTCAAACACAACACAAACTCAAGTTCAACAATCACACAAACTCAAGTTCAAAAACACCACAAACTCAAGTTCAAAAACAACACAAACTCAATTGCAAACACGACAAAAAACTCAAATTCAACAAACACCACAAACTTAAGTTCAAACACAACACAAACTCAAGTTCAACAAACACACAAACTCAAGTTCAAAAACACCACAAACTCAAGTTCAAAAACAACACAAACTCAATTGCAAACACGACAAAAAACTCAAGTTCAACAAACACCACAAACTCAAGTTCAAACACAACACAAACTCAAGTTCAACAATCACACAAACTCAAGTTCAAACACGACACAAACTCAAGTTCAACAAACACCACAAACTTAAGTTCAAACACGAAACTCAAGTTCAAAAAGACCACAAACTCAAGTTCAACAAACACACAAAATCAAGTTCAAACACACCAAAACCTCAAGTTCAAAAACAATACTGACTCAAGTTCAAAAACACCACATACTTCAGTTCAAATACAACACAAACTTAAGTTCAGCAAACACCACAAACTCAATTTCAAATCCAAAAATAAACTCAAGTTCAAAAACACGACACAAACTCAAGTTCAAACACACCACAAACTCATGTTCAAAAACAACACGAACTCAAGTTCAACAAACACTCAAACTTAAGTTCAAGACCACAAACTCAAGTTCAAATCCGAAACAAACTCAAGTTTAATTTCACGACACAAACTCAAGTTCAAACAACAACCAAATCTCAAGTTTAACAATTGCCACAACCTCAATTTCAACAATCACACAAACTCAAGTTCAACAAACGCCACAAACTAAAGTTCAAACATGAAACAAACTCATGTTCAAAAACAACACATACTTAGGTTTAACAAACAAAAGAACTCAAGTTCAAACAAAATGAACTCAAGTTAAACTAAAACAGAAACTCAAGTTTAACGATTGCCACAACCTCAAATTCAAAAAATTCCACACCCTCAACTTCTAAAAAAAATCACAAACTCAAGTTCAAAAACACCACAAACTCAAGTTCAAACATGACACCTACTCAAATTCAAAATCACCACATACTCAAGTTCAAAAACACCAAAAACTCAAGTTCAAAAACACCACAAACTCAAGTGCAAACATGACACAAACTCAAGTTCAACAAACACCACAAACTCAAGTTCAAACACAACACAAACTCAAGTTCAACAACCACACAAACTCAAGTTAAAAAAAACACAAACTCAATTGTAAAAACAAAACAAACTCAATCTTAACAAACACCACAAACTCAAGTTCAAACACAACTCAAAATCAAGTTCAACAATCACACAAAATCAAGTTCAAATATAGAAAAAGCTAGAGTTAAAAACACTCACAAACTCAAGTTTAACAATTTTCACAACCTCAATTTGATAAAAATTCCACATCCTCAACTTCAAAAAAATCACAAACTCAAGTTCAAAAACACCACAAACTCAAGTTCAAACATAACACCTACTCAAATTCAAAATCACCACAAACTCAAGTTCAACAAACATACAAAATCAAGTTCAAAAACACCACAAACTCAAGTGCAAATATGACACCTACTCAAATTCAAAATCACCACAAACTCAAGTTCAACAAACATACAAAATCAAGTTCAAAAACACCACAAACTCAAGTGCAAACATGACACAAACTCAAGTTCAACAAACACCACAAACCCAAGTTCAAACACAACACAAACTCAAGTTCAACAACCACACAAACTCAAGTTAAAAAAACCCACAAACTCAATTGTAAAAACAAAACAAACTCAAGTTCAACAAACACCACAAACTCAAGTTCAAACACAACTCAAACTCAAGTTCAACAATCACACAAAATCAAGTTCAAATATGGAAAAAGCTAGAGTTAAAAACACTCACAAACTCAAGTTTAACAATTTCCACAACCTCAATTTGAAAAAATTCCACATCCTCAGCTTCAAAAAAACCACAAAATCAAGTTCAAGAACACCACAAACTCAAGTTCAAACATGACACAAACTCAAGTTCAACAAAAACAACAAACTCAAATTCAAACACGAAACTCAAGTTCAAAAGCACCACCAACTTAAGTTCAAAAACACCACAAACTCAAGTTCAACACGACACAAACTCAATTTCAACAAAGACCACACATACAAGTTAAAACACAACACAAACTCAAGTTCAAAAAACACACAAACTCAAGTTCAAAAACACCACAAACTCAAGTTCAACAAAAACCACAAACTCAAGTTCAAACACAAAACAAACTCAAGTTCAAACACGACACAAACCATAGTTATACCAACAACCAAATTTCAAGTTTAACAATTGCAACAACCTCAAGTTCAACAACCACACAAACTCAAGTTCAACAAACGCCACAAACTCAAGTTCAAACATGAAAAATAACTCAAGTTCAACAATCACACAAACTCAAGTTAAAACACGACACAAACTCAAGTTCAACAAACACCACAAACTCAAGTTCAAACACAACACAAACTCAAGTTCAACAAACACACAAACTCAAGCTCAAAAACACCACAAACTCAAGTTCAAAAACAACACAAACTCAATTGCAAACACGACAAAAAACTCAAGTTCAACAAACACCACAAACTCAAGTTCAAACACAACACAAACTCAAGTTCAACAAACACACAAACTCAAGTTCAAAAACACCACAAACTCAAGTTCATAAACAACACAAACTCAATTGCAAACACGACAAAAAACTCAAGTTCAACAAACACCACAAACTCAAGTTCAAACACAACACAAACTCAAGTTCAACAATCACACAAACTCAAGCTCAAAAACACCACAAACTCAAGTTCAAAAACAACACAAACTCAATTGCAAACACGACAAAAAACTCAAATTCAACAAACACCACAAACTCAAGTTCAAACACAACACAAACTCAAGTTCAACAAACACACAAACTCAAGTTCAAAAACACCACAAACTCAATTTCAAATCCAAAAATAAACTCAAGTTCAAAAACACGACACAAACTCAAGTTCAAACACACCACAAACTCATGTTCAAAAACAACACGAACTCAAGTTCAACAAACACTCAAACTTAAGTTCAAGACCATAAACTCAAGTTCAAATCCGAAACAAACTCAAGTTTAATTTCACGACACAAACTCAAGTTCAAACAACAACCAAATCTCAAGTTTAACAATTGCCACAACCTCAATTTCAACAATCACACAAACTCAAGTTCAACAAACGCCACAAACTAAAGTTCAAACATGAAACAAACTCATGTTCAAAAACAACACATACTTAGGTTTAACAAACAAAAGAACTCAAGTTCAAACAAAATGAACTCAAGTTAAACTAAAACAGAAACTCAAGTTTAACGATTGCCACAACCTCAAATTCAAAAAATTCCACACCCTCAACTTCAAAAAAATCACAAACTCAAGTTCAAAAACACCACAAACTCAAGTTCAAACATGACACCTACTCAAATTCAAAATCACCACAAACTCAAGTTCAAAAACACCAAAAACTCAAGTTCAAAAACACCACAAACTCAAGTGCAAACATGACACAAACTCAAGTTCAACAAACACCACAAACTCAAGTTCAAACACAACACAAACTCAAGTTCAACAACCACACAAACTCAAGTTAAAAAAAACACAAACTCAATTGTAAAAACAAAACAAACTCAATCTTAACAAACACCACAAACTCAAGTTCAAACACAACTCAAAATCAAGTTCAACAATCACACAAAATCAAGTTCAAATATGGAAAAAGCTAGAGTTAAAAACACTCACAAACTCAAGTTTAACAATTTTCACAACCTCAATTTGAAAAAATTCCACATCCTCAACTTCAAAAAAATCACAAACTCAAGTTCAAAAACACCACAAACTCAAGTTCAAACATAACACCTACTCAAATTCAAAATCACCACAAACTCAAGTTCAACAAACATACAAAATCAAGTTCAAAAACACCACAAACTCAAGTGCAAATATGACACCTACTCAAATTCAAAATCACCACAAACTCAAGTTCAACAAACATACAAAATCAAGTTCAAAAACACCACAAACTCAAGTGCAAACATGACACAAACTCAAGTTCAACAAACACCACAAACCCAAGTTCAAACACAACACAAACTCAAGTTCAACAACCACACAAACTCAAGTTAAAAAAACCCACAAACTCAATTGTAAAAACAAAACAAACTCAAGTTCAACAAACACCACAAACTCAAGTTCAAACACAACTCAAACTCAAGTTCAACAATCACACAAAATCAAGTTCAAATATGGAAAAAGCTAGAGTTAAAAACACTCACAAACTCAAGTTTAACAATTTCCACAACCTCAATTTGAAAAAATTCCACATCCTCAGCTTCAAAAAAACCACAAACTCAAGTTCAAGAACACCACAAACTCAAGTTCAAACACGACACAAACTCAAGTTCAACAAAAACAACAAACTCAAATTCAAACACGAAACTCAAGTTCAAAAGCACCACCAACTTAAGTTCAAAAACACCACAAACTCAAGTTCAACACGACACAAACTCAATTTCAACAAAGACCACACATACAAGTTAAAACACAACACAAACTCAAGTTCAAAAAACACACAAACTCAAGTTCAAAAACACCACAAACTCAAGTTCAACAAAAACCACAAACTCAAGTTCAAACACAAAACAAACTCAAGTTCAAACACGACACAAACCATAGTTATACCAACAACCAAATTTCAAGTTTAACAATTGCAACAACCTCAAGTTCAACAACCACACAAACTCAAGTTCAACAAACGCCACAAACTCAAGTTCAAACATGAAAAATAACTCAAGTTCAACAATCACACAAACTCAAGTTAAAACACGACACAAACTCAAGTTCAACAAACACCACAAACTCAAGTTCAAACACAACACAAACTCAAGTTCAACAAACACACAAACTCAAGCTCAAAAACACCACAACCTCAAGTTCAAAAACAACACAAACTCAATTGCAAACACGACAAAAAACTCAAGTGCAAACACGACACAAACTCAAGTTCAAACACAACACAAACTCAAGTTCAACAAACACACAAACTCAAGTTCAAAAACACCACAAACTCAAGTTCATAAACAACACAAACTCAATTGCAAACACGACAAAAAACTCAAGTTCAACAAACACCACAAACTCAAGTTCAAACACAACACAAACTTCAAGTTCAACAATCACACAAACTCAAGCTCAAAAACACCACAAACTCAAGTTCAAAAACAACACAAACTCAATTGCAAACACGACAAAAAACTCAAATTCAACAAACACCACAAACTCAAGTTCAAACACAACACAAACTCAAGTTCAACAAACACACAAACTCAAGTTCAAAAACACCACAAACTCAAGTTCAAAAACAACACAAACTCAATTGCAAACACGACAAAAAACTCAAGTTCAACAAACACCAAAAACTCAAGTTCAAACACAACACAAACTCAAGTTCAACAATCACACAAACTCAAGTTCAAACACGACACAAACTCAAGTTCAACAAACACCACAAACTTGAGTTCAAACACGAAACTCAAGTTCAAAAAGACCACAAACTCAAGTTCAACAAACACACAAAATCAAGTTCAAACACACCAAAACCTCAAGTTCAAAAACAATACTGACTCAAGTTCAAAAACACCACATACTTCAGTTCAAATACAACACAAACTTAAGTTCAGCAAACACCACAAACTCAATTTCAAATCCAAAAATAAACTCAAGTTCAAAAACACGACACAAACTCAAGTTCAAACACACCACAAACTCATGTTCAAAAACAACACGAACTCAAGTTCAACAAACACTCAAACTTAAGTTCAAGACCATAAACTCAAGTTCAAATCCGAAACAAACTCAAGTTTAATTTCACGACACAAACTCAAGTTCAAACAACAACCAAATCTCAAGTTTAACAATTGCCACAACCTCAATTTCAACAATCACACAAACTCAAGTTCAACAAACGCCACAAACTAAAGTTCAAACATGAAACAAACTCATGTTCAAAAACAACACATACTTAGGTTTAACAAACAAAAGAACTCAAGTTCAAACAAAATAAACTCAAGTTAAACTAAAACAGAAACTCAAGTTTAACGATTGCCACAACCTCAAATTCAAAAAATTCCACACCCTCAACTTCAAAAAAATCACAAACTCAAGTTCAAAAACACCACAAACTCAAGTTCAAACATGACACCTACTCAAATTCAAAATCACCACAAACTCAAGTTCAAAAACACCAAAAACTCAAGTTCAAACACAACACAAACTCAAGTTCAACAATCACACAAACTCAAGCTCAAAAACACCACAAACTCAAGTTCAAACACAACACAAACTCAAGTTCAACAACCACACAAACTCAAGTTAAAAAAAACACAAACTCAATTGTAAAAACAAAACAAACTCAATCTTAACAAACACCACAAACTCAAGTTCAAACACAACTCAAAATCAAGTTCAACAATCACACAAGCTAGAGTTAAAAACACTCACAAACTCAAGTTTAACAATTTTCACAACCTCAATTTGATAAAAATTCCACATCCTCAACTTCAAAAAAATCACAAACTCAAGTTCAAAAACACCACAAACTCAAGTTCAAACATAACACCTACTCAAATTCAAAATCACCACAAACTCAAGTTCAACAAACATACAAAATCAAGTTCAAAAACACCACAAACTCAAGTGCAAATATGACACCTACTCAAATTCAAAATCACCACAAACTCAAGTTCAACAAACATACAAAATCAAGTTCAAAAACACCACAAACTCAAGTTGCAAACATGACACAAACTCAAGTTCAACAAACACCACAAACCCAAGTTCAAACACAACACAAACTCAAGTTCAACAACCACACAAACTCAAGTTAAAAAAACCCACAAACTCAATTGTAAAAACAAAACAAACTCAAGTTCAACAAACACCACAAACTCAAGTTCAAACACAACTCAAACTCAAGTTCAACAATCACACAAAATCAAGTTCAAATATGGAAAAAGCTAGAGTTAAAAACACTCACAAACTCAAGTTTAACAATTTCCACAACCTCAATTTGAAAAAATTCCACATCCTCAGCTTAAAAAAAACCACAAAATCAAGTTCAAGAACACCACAAACTCAAGTTCAAACATGACACAAACTCAAGTTCAACAAAAACAACAAACTCAAATTCAAACACGAAACTCAAGTTCAAAAGCACCACCAACTTAAGTTCAAAAACACCACAAACTCAAGTTCAACACGACACAAACTCAATTTCAACAAAGACCACACATACAAGTTAAAACACAACACAAACTCAAGTTCAAAAAACACACAAACTCAAGTTCAAAAACACCACAAACTCAAGTTCAACAAAAACCACAAACTCAAGTTCAAACACAAAACAAACTCAAGTTCAAACACGACACAAACCATAGTTCAACCAACAACCAAATTTCAAGTTTAACAATTGCAACAACCTCAAGTTCAACAACCACACAAACTCAAGTTCAACAAACGCCACAAACTCAAGTTCAAACATGAAAAATAACTCATGTTCAAAAACAACACAAAGTTAAGTTCAACAAACACAAAAACTCAAGTTCAAACACGACACAATCTCAAGTTCAACTAAAACCACAAACTCAAGTTCAAACACAAAACAAACTCAAGTTCAAACACGACACAAACTATAGTTCAACCAACAACCAAATCTCAAGTTTAACAATTGCCACAACCTCAAGTTCAACAACCACTCAAACTCAAGTTTAACAAACGCAACAAACTCAAGTACAAACATGAAACAAACTCATGTTCAAAAACAACACAAACTTAAGTTCAACAAACACAAAAACTCAAGTTCAAACACGACACAAACTCAAGTTCAACAAAAACACAAACTCAAGTTTAACAATTTCCACAACCTCAAGTACAACAAATTCCACATCCTCAACTTCAAAAATACCAAACTCAAGTTCAAAAAGACCACAAACTCAAGTTCAAACACGACACAAACTCAAGTTCAAAAAAACCACAAACTAAATTTCAAACACGAAACTCAAGTTCAAAAACACCACCAACTTAAGTTCAAAAACACCACAAACTCAAGTTCAACACGACACAAACTCAATTTCAACAAAGACCACACATACAAGTTAAAACACAACACAAACTCAAGTTCAAAAAACACACAAACTCAAGTTCAAAAACACCACAACCTCAAGTTCAAAAACAACACAAACTCAATTGCAAACACGACACAAACTCAAGTTCAAACACAAAACAAACTCAAGTTCAACAATCACACAAACTCAAGTTCAAATACGACACAAACTAGAGTTCAAATAACACACAAACTCAAGTTTAACAATTTCCACAACCTCAAGTACAAAAAATTCCACATCCTCAACTTTAAAAATACAACAAACTCAAGTTAAAAAAGACCACAAACTTAAGTTAAAACACGACACAAACTCAAGTTCAAAAACACCACCAACTCAAGTTCAAAAAACACACAAACTCAAGTTCAAAAACACCAAAATCTCAAGTTCAAACACAACATAATCTAAAGTTCAACAAACACACTAACTCAAGTTCAAAAACAACAAAAACTCAAGTTCAACCAACACCCAAATCTCAAGTTTAAGAATTGCCACACCCTCAAGTTCAACAAACACACAAACTCAAGTTCAAAAAGACCACAAACTCTAGTTCAAACACGAAACCAACTCAAGTTCAAAAACACCACAAACTCAAGTTCAAACACGACACAAACTCAAGTTCAAATCCGAAACCAACTCAAGTTCAATAACACATCACAAACTCAAGTTCAAAAACACCAAAAAATCAAGTTCAAACATGACACAAACTCAAGTTCAACAAAAACCACAAACTCAAGTTCAAACACAAAACAAACTCAAGTTCAAACACGACACAAACCATAGTTCAACCAACAACCAAATTTCAAGTTTAACAATTGCAACAAACTCAAGTTCAACAAACACCACAAACTCAAGTTCAACGACACAAAGTCAATTTCAAAAACACCAATAACTCAAGTTCAAACACAGCATAAACTTAAGTTTAACAAACACACTAACTGAAGTTCAAAAACACCACAAACTCAAGTTCAAAAACAACAAAAACTCAAGTTCAACCAACACCCAAATCTCAAGTTTAACAATTGCCACACCCTCAAGTTCAACAAACACATAAAACTCAAGTTCAAACACACCACAAACTCAAGTTCTAAAACAACACAGACTCAAGTTCAACCAACAACTCATTCTCAAGTTTAAATATTTTCACAACCTCGAGTTCAAAAAACACAAAAACTCACGTTCAACAAACAACATGAACTCAAGTTCAAACACAACACAAACTCAAGTTCAACCAACACCCAAATCTCAAGTTTAACAATTGCCACAACCTCAAGTTCAAAAACACACAGTCAATTTCAACAAACGCCACAAACTCAAGTTCAAATATGAAAAATACTCAAGTCAAAAAAACACAAAAAATCAAATTCAACAAACACAAAAACTGAAGTTCAAAAACACCACAAACTCAAGTTGGACAATTGCCACACCCTCAAGTTCAACAAACACACAAACTCAAGTTCAAAAACACGACCAACTCAAGTTCAAACACGACACATACTCAAGTTCAAAAAATGCCACAAACTCTAGTTCAAACACGAAACCAACTCAAGTTCAAAAACACCACAAACTCATGTTCAAACACAACAATAACTCAAATTCAACAAACACAAAAACTCAAGTTCAAAAACACCACAAACTAAAGTTGGACAATTGCCACACCCTCAAGTTCAACAAACACACAAACTCAAGTTCAAAAACACGACCAACTCAAGTTCAAACACGACACATACTCAAGTTCAAAAAATGCCACAAACTCTAGTTCAAACACGAAACCAACTCAAGTTCGAAAACACCACAAACTCATGTTCAAACACAACAATAACTCAAGTTCAACAAACAAAAAAACTCAAGTTCAAAAACACCACAAACTAAAGTTGAAACACACGGCACGAACTCAAATTCAACAGACACACAAGCTCAAATTCAACCAACACCTGATTCTCAAGTTTAACAATTTCCACAACCTCTAGTTCAAAAACAACAGAAACGCAAGTTCAAAAAAGACACAAACTCAAGTTCAAAACAGCAAAAACTCAAGTTCAACCAATACCCATTTCTCAAGTTTAACAATTTCCACAACCTCAAGTTCAAAAACAACACAGAATCAAGTTCAAAGAAACCACAAACTCAAGTTCAAAAACACCATAAACTCAAGTTTCACAAAAACCACAATCTCAAGTTCAACCAACACCTGATTCTCAAGTTTGAAAATTTTCACATCCTCAACTTCAAAAATTTCACAAACTCAAGTTAAACAAACAACACGAACTCATGTTCAAAAACGACACGAACTCAAGTTCAACCAACAACCAAATCTCAAGTTTTACAATTGCCACACCCTCAAGTTCAACAAACACACAAACTCAAGTTCAAAAATACCACAACCTCAAGTTCAACAAAAACCACAAACTCAAGTTCAAACAAGAAATTCAAGTTGAAAAAGACCACCAACTCAAGTTCAAAAAGACCACAAATTCAAGTTCAACAAACACCACAAACTCAAGTTCAAACACAACACAAACTCAAGTTAAACTAACACACAAACTCAAGTTTAATAATAGCCAAAACCTCAAGTTCAAATAATTCCACACCCTCAACTTAAAAAAAAACACAAACACAAGTTCAAAAACACCACAGACTCAAGTTCAAAAAACATACAAAATCAAGTTCAAAAACACCACAAACTCAAGTGCAAACACGACACAAACTCAAGTTCAACAAACACCACAAACTCAAGTTCAAACATAACAAATTCAAGTTTGACAAACACACAAACTCAAGTTTAAAAACACCACAAACTCAAGTTCAAAAACACCACAAACTCAATTGCAAACACAACACAAACTCAAGTTCAAACACAACACAAACTCAAGTTCAACAATCACACAAACTGAAGTTCAAATACGACACACACTAGAGTTCAAATAACACACAAACTCAAGTTTAACAATTTCCACAACCTTGAGTACAACAAATTCCAAATCCTCAACTTCAACTTCAAAAATAACACAAACTCAATTTCAAGAAGACCACAAACTCAAGTTAAAACATGACACAAACTCAAATTTAACAAAAACCACAAACTCTGTTTCAAACACAAAACTCAAGTTCAAAAACACCACCAACTCAAGTTCAAAAAACACACAAACTCAAGTTTAACAAACACACAAAATCAAGTTCAAACAAAAACCACAAACTCAAGTTCAAAAACACCACAAAATCAAGTTGTAATACGACACAAACTCAAATTCAACAAACACCACAAACTCAAGTTCAAACACAACAAATTCAAGTTCAAAAACACCACAAACTCAAGTTAAAAAACACCACAAACTCAAGTTCAAACACAACAAAAACTTAAGTTCAACCAACACCCAGATCTCAAGTTTAACAATTGCCACACCCTCAAGTTTAACAAACACACAAACTCAAGTTTAAAAACACCACAAACTCAATTTCAAGAAGACCACAAACTCAAGTTCAAACACAACACAAACTCAAGTTCAACAATCACACAAACTGAAGTTCAAATACAACACACACTAGAGTTCAAATAACACACAAACTCAAGTTTAACAATTTCCACAACCTTGAGTACAACAAATTCCACATCCTCAACTTCAAAAAACACACAAACTCAATTTCAAGAAGACCACAAACTCAAGTTAAAACATGACACAAACTCAAGTTTAACAAAAACCACAAACTCTGGTTCAAACACGAAACTCAAGTTCAAAAACACCACCAACTCAAGTTCAAAAAACACACAAACTCAAGTTTAACAAACACACAAAATCAAGTTCAAACAAAAACCACAAACTCAGGTTCAAAAACACCACAAAATCAAGTTCAAACACACACAAACTCAAATTCAACAAACACCACAAACTCAAGTTCATACACAAAAAAACTTAAGTTCAACCAACACCCAGATCTCAAGTTTAACAATTGCCACACCCTCAAGTTTAAAAAACACACAAACTCAAGTTCATAAAAAACACCACTAACTCAAGTGCAAACACGACACAAACTCAAGTTCAACTAAAACACAAACTCAAGTTTAACAATTGCCACAACCTCAAATTCAACAAATTCCACACCCTCAACTTAAAAAAAACCACAAACTCAAGTTAAAAACAACACAAAATCAAGATCAAACATGACACAAACTCAAGTTCAACAAAAACCACAAACTCAAGTTCAAACACAAGCTTATGTTCATTAACACCACCAACTCAAGTTCAAAAACACCACAAACTCAAGTTCAACATACACACAAAATCAAGATCAAAAACACCAAAAACTCAAGTGCAAACACGCCACAAACTCAAGTTCAACAAACACCACAAACTTAAGTTCAAAAACACCACAAACTCAAGTTCAACACGACACAAACTCAATTTCAACAAAGACCACACATACAAGTTAAAACACAACACAAACTCAAGTTCAAAAAACACACAAACTCAAGTTCAAAAACACCACAACCTCAAGTTCAAAAACAACACAAACTCAATTGCAAACACGACACAAACTCAAGTTCAAACACAAAACAAACTCAAGTTCAACAATCACACAAACTCAAGTTCAAATACGACACAAACTAGAGTTCAAATAACACACAAACTCAAGTTTAACAATTTCCACAACCTCAAGTACAAAAAATTCCACATCCTCAACTTCAAAAATACAACAAACTCAAGTTAAAAAAGACCACAAACTTAAGTTAAAACACGACACAAACTCAAGTTCAAAAACACCACCAACTCAAGTTCAAAAAACACACAAACTCAAGTTCAAAAACACCAAAATCTCAAGTTCAAACACAACATAATCTAAAGTTCAACAAACACACTAACTCAAGTTCAAAAACAACAAAAACTCAAGTTCAACCAACACCCAAATCTCAAGTTTAAGAATTGCCACACCCTCAAGTTCAACAAACACACAAACTCAAGTTCAAAAAGACCACAAACTCTAGTTCAAACACGAAACCAACTCAAGTTCAAAAACACCACAAACTCAAGTTCAAACACGAAACAAACTCAAGTTCAAATCCGAAACCAACTCAAGTTCAATAACACATCACAAACTCAAGTTCAAAAACACCAAAAAATCAAGTTCAAACATGACACAAACTCAAGTTCAAACACAAAACAAACTCAAGTTCAAACACGACACAAACCATAGTTCAACCAACAACCAAATTTCAAGTTTAACAATTGCAACAACCTCAAGTTCAACAACCACACAAACTCAAGTTCAACAAACGCCACAAACTCAAGTTCAAACATGAAAAATAACTCATGTTCAAAAACAACACAAAGTTAAGTTCAACAAACACAAAAACTCAAGTTCAAACACGACACAAACTCAAGTTCAAACACGACACAAACCATAGTTCAACCAACAACCAAATTTCAAGTTTAACAATTGCAACAACCTCAAGTTCAACAACCACACAAACTCAAGTTCAACAAACGCCACAAACTCAAGTTCAAACATGAAAAATAACTCATGTTCAAAAACAACACAAAGTTAAGTTCAACAAACACAAAAACTCAAGTTCAAACACGACACAAACTCAAGTTCAACTAAAACCACAAACTCAAGTTCAAACACAAAACAAACTCAAGTTCAGACACGACACAAACTATAGTTCAACCAACAACCAAATCTCAAGTTTAACAATTGCCACAACCTCAAGTTCAACAACCACTCAAACTCAAGTTTAACAAACGCAACAAACTCAAGTACGAACATGAAACAAACTCATGTTCAAAAACAACACAAACTTAAGTTCAACAAACACAAAAACTCAAGTTCAAACACGACACAAACTCAAGTTCAACAAAAACACAAACTCAAGTTTAACAATTTCCACAACCTCAAGTACAACAAATTCCACATCCTCAACTTCAAAAATACCAAACTCAAGTTCAAAAAGACCACAAACTCAAGTTCAAACACGACACAAACTCAAGTTCAAAAAAACCACAAACTAAATTTCAAACACGAAACTCAAGTTCAAAAACACCACCAACTTAAGTTCAAAAACACCACAAACTCAAGTTCAACATACACACAAAATCAAGATCAAAAACACCAAAAACTCAAGTGCAAACACGACACAAACTCAAGTTCAACAAACACCACAAACTCAAGTTCAACGACACAAAGTCAATTTCAAAAACACCAATAACTCAAGTTCAAACACAGCATAAACTAAAGTTTAACAAACACACTAACTGAAGTTCAAAAACACCACAAACTCAAGTTCAAAAACAACAAAAACTCAAGTGCAACCAACACCCAAATCTCAAGTTTAACAATTGCCACACCCTCAAGTTCAAAAACACCACGTACTCAAGTTCAAACACGACACAAACTCAAGTTCAACCAAAACCACAAACTCAAGTTCAACCAACAACTCATTCTCAAGTTTAAATATTTTCACAACCTCGAGTTCAAAAAACACAAAAACTCACGTTCAACAAACAACATGAACTCAAGTTCAAACACAACACAAACTCAAGTTCAACCAACACCCAAATCTCAAGTTTAACAATTGCCACAACCTCAAGTTCAAAAACACACAGTCAATTTCAACAAACGCCACAAACTCAAGTTCAAATATGAAAAATACTCAAGTCAAAAAAACCCAAAAAATCAAATTCAACAAACACAAAAACTGAAGTTCAAAAACACCACAAACTCAAGTTGGACAATTGCCACACCCTCAAGTTCAACAAACACACAAACTCAAGTTCAAAAACACGACCAACTCAAGTTCAAACACGACACATACTCAAGTTCAAAAAATGCCACAAACTCTAGTTCAAACACGAAACCAACTCAAGTTCGAAAACACCACAAACTCATGTTCAAACACAACAATAACTCAAGTTCAACAAACAAAAAAACTCAAGTTCAAAAACACCACAAACTCAAGTTGAAACACGGCACGAACTCAAATTCAACAGACACACAAGCTCAAATTCAACCAACACCTGATTCTCAAGTTTAACAATTTCCACAACCTCTAGTTCAAAAACAACAGAAACGCAAGTTCAAAAAAGACACAAACTCAAGTTCAAAACAGCAAAAACTCAAGTTCAACCAATACCCATTTCTCAAGTTTAACAATTTCCACAACCTCAAGTTCAAAAACAACACAGAATCAAGTTCAAAGAAACCACAAACTCAAGTTCAAAAACACCATAAACTCAAGTTTCACAAAAAACCACAATCTCAAGTTCAACCAACACCTGATTCTCAAGTTTGAAAATTTTCACATCCTCAACTTCAAAAATTTCACAAACTCAAGTTCAACCAACAACCAAATCTCAAGTTTTACAATTGCCACACCCTCAAGTTCAACAAACACACAAACTCAAGTTCAAAAATACCACAACCTCAAGTTCAACAAAAACCACAAACTCAAGTTCAAACAAGAAATTCAAGTTGAAAAAGACCACCAACTCAAGTTCAAAAAGACCACAAATTCAAGTTCAACAAACACCACAAACTCAAGTTCAAACACGACACAAACTCAAGTTAAACTAACACACAAACTCAAGTTTAATAATAGCCAAAACCTCAAGTTCAAATAATTCCACAACCTCAACTTAAAAAAAAACACAAACACAAGTTCAAAAACACCACAGACTCAAGTTCAAAAAACATACAAAATCAAGTTCAAAAACACCACAAACTCAAGTGCAAACACGACACAAACTCAAGTTCAACAAACACCACAAACTCAAGTTCAAACCTAACAAATTCAAGTTTGACAAACACACAAACTCAAGTTCAAAAACACCACAAACTCAAGTTCAAAAACACCACAAACTCAATTGCAAACACAACACAAACTCAAGTTCAAACACAACACAAACTCAAGTTCAACAATCACACAAACTGAAGTTCAAATACGACACACACTAGAGTTCAAATAACACACAAACTCAAGTTTAACAATTTCCACAACCTTGAGTACAACAAATTCCAAATCCTCAACTTCAAAAATAACACAAACTCAATTTCAAGAAGACCACAAACTCAAGTTAAAACATGACACAAACTCAAATTTAACAAAAACCACAAACTCTGGTTCAAACACGAAACTCAAGTTCAAAAACACCACCAACTCAAGTTCAAAAAACACACAAACTCAAGTTTAACAAACACACAAAATCAAGTTCAAACAAAAACCACAAACTCAAGTTCAAAAACACCACAAAATCAAGTTGTAATACGACACAAACTCAAATTCAACAAACACCACAAACTCAAGTTCAAACACAACAAATTCAAGTTCAAAAACACCACAAACTCAAGTTAAAAAACACCACAAACTCAAGTTCAAACACAACAAAAACTTAAGTTCAACCAACACCCAGATCTCAAGTTTAACAATTGCCACACCCTCAAGTTTAACAAACACACAAACTCAAGTTCAAACAAAAACCACAAACTCAGGTTCAAAAACACCACAAAATCAAGTTCAAACACACACAAACTCAAATTCAACAAACACCACAAACTCAAGTTCAAACACAAAAAAACTTAAGTTCAACCAACACCCAGATCTCAAGTTTAACAATTGCCACACCCTCAAGTTTAACAAACACACAAACTCAAGTGCAAACACGACACAAACTCAAGTTCAACAATCACACAAACTCAAGTTCAAATACGACACAAACTAGAGTTCAAATAACACACAAACTCAAGTTTAACAATTTCCACAACCTCAAGTACAAAAAATTCCACATCCTCAACTTCAAAAATACAACAAACTCAAGTTAAAAAAGACCACAAACTTAAGTTAAAACACGACACAAACTCAAGTTCAAAAACACCACCAACTCAAGTTCAAAAAACACACAAACTCAAGTTCAAAAACACCAAAATCTCAAGTTCAAACACAACATAATCTAAAGTTCAACAAACACACTAACTCAAGTTCAAAAACAACAAAAACTCAAGTTCAACCAACACCCAAATCTCAAGTTTAAGAATTGCCACACCCTCAAGTTCAACAAACACACAAACTCAAGTTCAAAAAGACCACAAACTCTAGTTCAAACACGAAACCAACTCAAGTTCAAAAACACCACAAACTCAAGTTCAAACACGAAACAAACTCAAGTTCAAATCCGAAACCAACTCAAGTTCAATAACACATCACAAACTCAAGTTCAAAAACACCAAAAAATCAAGTTCAAACATGACACAAACTCAAGTTCAAACACAAAACAAACTCAAGTTCAAACACAAAACAAACTCAAGTTCAAACACGACACAAACCATAGTTCAACCAACAACCAAATTTCAAGTTTAACAATTGCAACAACCTCAAGTTCAACAACCACACAAACTCAAGTTCAACAAACGCCACAAACTCAAGTTCAAACATGAAAAATAACTCATGTTCAAAAACAACACAAAGTTAAGTTCAACAAACACAAAAACTCAAGTTCAAACACGACACAAACTCAAGTTCAAACACGACACAAACCATAGTTCAACCAACAACCAAATTTCAAGTTTAACAATTGCAACAACCTCAAGTTCAACAACCACACAAACTCAAGTTCAACAAACGCCACAAACTCAAGTTCAAACATGAAAAATAACTCATGTTCAAAAACAACACAAAGTTAATTTCAACAAACACAAAAACTCAAGTTCAAACACGACACAAACTCAAGTTCAACTAAAACCACAAACTCAAGTTCAAACACAAAACAAACTCAAGTTCAAACACGACACAAACTATAGTTCAACCAACAACCAAATCTCAAGTTTAACAATTGCCACAACCTCAAGTTCAACAACCACTCAAACTCAAGTTTAACAAACGCAACAAACTCAAGTACGAACATGAAACAAACTCATGTTCAAAAACAACACAAACTTAAGTTCAACAAACACAAAAACTCAAGTTCAAACACGACACAAACTCAAGTTCAACAAAAACACAAACTCAAGTTTAACAATTTCCACAACCTCAAGTACAACAAATTCCACATCCTCAACTTCAAAAATACCAAACTCAAGTTCAAAAAGACCACAAACTCAAGTTCAAACACGACACAAACTCAAGTTCAAAAAAACCACAAACTAAATTTCAAACACGAAACTCAAGTTCAAAAACACCACCAACTTAAGTTCAAAAACACCACAAACTCAAGTTCAACATACACACAAAATCAAGATCAAAAACACCAAAAACTCAAGTGCAAACACGACACAAACTCAAGTTCAACAAACACCACAAACTCAAGTTCAACGACACAAAGTCAGTTTCAAAAACACCAATAACTCAAGTTCAAACACAGCATAAACTAAAGTTTAACAAACACACTAACTGAAGTTCAAAAACACCACAAACTCAAGTTCAAAAACAACAAAAACTCAAGTTCAACCAACACCCAAATCTCAAGTTTAACAATTGCCACACCCTCAAGTTCAACAAACACACAAACTCAAGTTCAAACACACCACAAACTCAAGTTCTAAAACAACACAGACTCAAGTTCAAAAACACCACGTACTCAAGTTCAAACACGACACAAACTCAAGTTCAACCAAAACCACAAACTCAAGTTCAACCAACAACTCATTCTCAAGTTTAAATATTTTCACAACCTCGAGTTCAAAAAACACAAAAACTCACGTTCAACAAACAACATGAACTCAAGTTCAAACACAACACAAACTCAAGTTCAACCAACACCCAAATCTCAAGTTTAACAATTGCCACAACCTCAAGTTCAAAAACACACAGTCAATTTCAACAAACGCCACAAACTCAAGTTCAAATATGAAAAATACTCAAGTCAAAAAAACACAAAAAATCAAATTCAACAAACACAAAAACTGAAGTTCAAAAACACCACAAACTCAAGTTGGACAATTGCCACACCCTCAAGTTCAACAAACACACAAACTCAAGTTCAAAAACACGACCAACTCAAGTTCAAACACGACACATACTCAAGTTCAAAAAATGCCACAAACTCTAGTTCAAACACGAAACCAACTCAAGTTCGAAAACACCACAAACTCATGTTCAAACACAACAATAACTCAAGTTCAACAAACAAAAAAACTCAAGTTCAAAAACACCACAAACTCAAGTTGAAACACGGCACGAACTCAAATTCAACAGACACACAAGCTCAAATTCAACCAACACCTGATTCTCAAGTTTAACAATTTCCACAACCTCTAGTTCAAAAACAACAGAAACGCAAGTTCAAAAAAGACACAAACTCAAGTTCAAAACAGCAAAAACTCAAGTTCAACCAATACCCATTTCTCAAGTTTAACAATTTCCACAACCTCAAGTTCAAAAACAACACAGAATCAAGTTCAAAGAAACCACAAACTCAAGTTCAAAAACACCATAAACTCAAGTTTCACAAAAAACCACAATCTCAAGTTCAACCAACACCTGATTCTCAAGTTTGAAAATTTTCACATCCTCAACTTCAAAAATTTCACAAACTCAAGTTCAACCAACAACCAAATCTCAAGTTTTACAATTGCCACACCCTCAAGTTCAACAAACACACAAACTCAAGTTCAAAAATACCACAACCTCAAGTTCAACAAAAACCACAAACTCAAGTTCAAACAAGAAATTCAAGTTGAAAAAGACCACCAACTCAAGTTCAAAAAGACCACAAATTCAAGTTCAACAAACACCACAAACTCAAGTTCAAACACGACACAAACTCAAGTTAAACTAACACACAAACTCAAGTTTAATAATAGCCAAAACCTCAAGTTCAAATAATTCCACAACCTCAACTTAAAAAAAACACAAACACAAGTTCAAAAACACCACAGACTCAAATTCAAAAAACATACAAAATCAAGTTCAAAAACACCACAAACTCAAGTGCAAACACGACACAAACTCAAGTTCAACAAACACCACAAACTCAAGTTCAAACATAACAAATTCAAGTTTGACAAACACACAAACTCAAGTTCAAAAACACCACAAACTCAAGTTCAAAAACACCACAAACTCAATTGCAAACACAACACAAACTCAAGTTCAAACACAACACAAACTCAAGTTCAACAATCACACAAACTGAAGTTCAAATACGACACACACTAGAGTTCAAATAACACACAAACTCAAGTTTAACAATTTCCACAACCTTGAGTACAACAAATTCCAAATCCTCAACTTCAAAAATAACACAAACTCAATTTCAAGAAGACCAACAAACTCAAGTTAAAAAATGACACAAACTCAAATTTAACAAAAACCACAAACTCTGGTTCAAACACGAAACTCAAGTTCAAAAACACCACCAACTCAAGTTCAAAAAACACACAAACTCAAGTTTAACAAACACACAAAATCAAGTTCAAACAAAAACCACAAACTCAAGTTCAAAAACACCACAAAATCAAGTTGTAATACGACACAAACTCAAATTCAACAAACACCACAAACTCAAGTTCAAACACAACAAATTCAAGTTCAAAAACACCACAAACTCAAGTTAAAAAACACCACAAACTCAAGTTAAAAAACACCACAAACTCAAGTTCAAACACAACAAAAACTTAAGTTCAACCAACACCCAGATCTCAAGTTTAACAATTGCCACACCCTCAAGTTTAACAAACACACAAACTCAAGTTTAAAAACACCACAAACTCAATTTCAAGAAGACCACAAACTCAAGTTCAAACACAACACAAACTCAAGTTCAACAATCACACAAACTGAAGTTCAAATACAACACACACTAGAGTTCAAATAACACACAAACTCAAGTTTAACAATTTCCACAACCTTGAGTACAACAAAGTCCACATCCTCAACTTCAAAAAACACACAAACTCAATTTCAAGAAGACCACAAACTCAAGTTAAAACATGACACAAACTCAAGTTTAACAAAAACCACAAACTCTGGTTCAAACACGAAACTCAAGTTCAAAAACACCACCAACTCAAGTTCAAAAAACACACAAACTCAAGTTTAACAAACACACAAAATCAAGTTAAAAAAAACCCACAAACTCAAGTTCAAAAACACCACAAATTCAAGTTCAAAAACACCACAAACTCAAGTTCAAAAACACCACAAACTCAAGTTCAAACACAAGAAAAACTTAAGTTCAACCAACACCCAGATCTCAAGTTTAACAATTGCCACACCCTCAAGTTTAACAAACACACAAACTCAAGTTCATAAAAAAAACCACTAACTCAAGTGCAAACACGACACAAACTCAAGTTCAACTAAAACACAAACTCAAGTTTAACAATTGCCACAACCTCAAATTCAACAAATTCCACACCCTCAACTTAAAAAAAACCACAAACTCAAGTTAAAAACAACACAAAATCAAGTTCAAACATGACACAAACTCAAGTTCAACAAAAACCACAAACTCAAGTTCAAACACAAGCTTAAGTTCATTAACACCACCAACTCAAGTTCAAAAACACCACAAACTCAAGTTCAACATACACACAAAATCAAGATCAAAAACACCACAAACTCAAGTGCAAACACGCCACAAACTCAAGTTCAACAAACACCACAAACTCAAGTTCAAACACAAAACTCAAGCTCAAATACACCACCAAGTCAAGATCAAAAACACCAAAAACTCAAGTGCAAACACGACACAAACTCAAGTTCAACAAACACCACAAACTCAAGTTCAAACAAGACACAAGCCCAAGTTCAAACACAACACAAACTCAAGTTCAAACACACAGTCAATTTCAAAAACACCAAAAACTCAAGTTCAAAAACAGCATAAACTAAAGTTAAACAAACACACTTAAAACTCAAGTTCAACCAACACCCAAATCTCAAGTTTAACATTTGCCAAAACCTTAATTTCAAAAACACCACAAACTCAAGTTCAAACACGCCACAAACTCAAGTTCAACAAACACACAAAGTCAAGTTCAAAAACACCGCAAACTCAAGTTCAAACACGCCACAAACTCAAGTTCAACCAACACACAAAGTCAAGTTCAAACACGCCACAAACTCAAGTTCAACCAACACACAAAGTCAAGTTCAAAAACACCACAAACTCAAGTTCAACCAACACCCAAGTCGCAAGTTTAACAATTGCCACAAACTTCAGTTCAAAAACACACAAGCTCAAGCTCAAAAACACCACAAACTCAAGTTCAAAATGCAACACTAACTCAAGTTCAACCAAATCCCAAATCTCAAATTTTACAATTTCCACAACCTCAAGTTCAAAAACACCACAAACTCAAGTTCAAACATGCGACAAACTCAAATTTGCCAAATACCACAATCTCAAGTTCAACCAACACCCAAATCTCAAGTTTAACAATTGCCACAACCTCAAGTTCAAATACAACACAAACTCAAGTTCAGACACGACACAAACTCAGGTGCAAAAACACCACAAACTCAACTTCAACAATTGCCACCAACTAAAGTTTAGAGAAAAATACAGACTCAAGTTCAACAATTGCCAAAAACTCAAGTTCAACAAACACCACAATCTTAAGTTCAACAAATTCCAAAATTTCAAGTTCAACAAATGACCTAAACTCACATTTAACAATTGCCAAAAACTAAAGTTCAACAAACTCAAGTTAAAAAAAGGGCCACAAACTGAAGTTCAAAAACACCACAAACTCAAGTTCAAAAAACACACAACCTCAAGTTCAAAAACACCACAAACTCAATTTCAAACACGATACAAACTCAGGTTCAGCAAACACCACAAACTCAAGTTCAACAAATGTCACAGTTTCAAGTTCAACCAACACCCAAATCTCAAGTTTAAGAATTGCAAGAACCTCAAATTCAAACATGCCAAAAACTCAAGTTCAAGAAAAACACAAACTCAGGTTAAAAAAAACCACAACCTCAAGTTCAAAAAACACCACAAACTCAAGTTCAACAAACACACATACTCAAGTTCAAAAAACACACAAGCTCAAGTTCAACAAAAAACCACAAACTCAAGTTCAATAAATGTGAAAATTTTAAGTTCAACCAACACCCAAATCTCAAGTTTAAAAATTGCAACAACCTCAAATTCAAACACGCTACAAACTCAAAAATCAAGTTAAAGAATTGCCACCAACTTAAGTTCACTAAAAACCACAGACTCAAGTTCAACAATTGCCACAACCTCAAGTTCAAAAACACCACAACCTGGAGTGCAAACACATCACAAACTCAAGTTCAACAAATGCCACAAACTCAAGTTCAACATTTGCCACAAACTTAATTTCAATCTACTCAAGTTCATAAGTTGCCAAAAACTTAAGTTCAAAAAACACACAAACTCTAGTTCAAAAAATCCAAAAACAAAAGTTCAAACAAGACAAAAACTCAAGATCAACCAACACCCAAACCTCAAGTTTAACAATTGCCACAACCTCAAGTTCAAAGACAGCAGAAACTCAAGTTCAAACACGCCACAAACTCATTTTCAAACAGGACACAAACTCAAGTTCAAAAACACCACAAACTCAAGTTCAAACACATCACAAACTCAAGTTCAACAAATGCCACAAACTCAAGTTCAAAGATGCCACCAACTAGAGTTCACTAAAAATCACAAACTCAAGTTGAACAAAGACCACAAACTCAAGTTCAACAAACTCAAGTTCATAAAGTGCCACAAACTTTAGATAAAAAAACACACAAGCTTAAATTCAAACACGAAACAAACTCAAGTTCAAAAAACACCACAAACTCAAGTTCAACCAACACCCAAATCTCAAGTTTAACAATTGCCACAACCTCAAGTTCAAAAACAACACAAACTCAAGTTCAAACATGCCACAAACTCATTTTCAAACACGCCACAAACTCAAGTTGAAACACGACAAAAATTCAAGTTCAAAAACACCACACAAACTGAAGTTCAAAAACAACACAAACTCAAGTTCAACAAAAACCACAAACTCAAGTTCAAACACAAGCTCAAGTTCAATAACACCACCAACTCAAGTTCAAAAACACCACAAACTCAAGTTCAACATACACACAAAATCAAGACCAAAACTCAAGTGCAAACACACAAAGTCAATTTCAAAAACACCAAAAACTCAAGTTCAAACACAGCATAAACTAAAGTTTAACAAACACACTTACTGAAGTTTAAAAACTCCACAATCTCAAGTTCAAAAACAAGACAAAAACTCAAGTTCAACCAACACCCAAATCTCAAGTTTAAAAATTGCAACAACCTCAAATTCAAACACGCTACAAACTCAAAAATCAAGTTCAACAATTGCCACAACCTCAAGTTCAACAAACACAGAAACTCAAGTTCAAAAACACCACAACCTGGTGTGCAAACACGACACAAACTCAAGTTAAAAAAAAACCACAAACTCAAGTGCAACATTTGCCACAAACTTAATTTCAATATACTCAAGTTCATAAGTTGCCACAAACTTAAGTTCAAAAAACACACAAACTCTAGTTCAAAAAATCCAAAAACAAAAGTTCAAACAAGACACAAACTCAAGATCAACCAACACCCAAACCTCAAGTTTAACAATTGCCACAACCTCAAGTTCAAAGACAGCAGAAACTCAAGTTCAAACACGCCACAAACTCAAGTTCAAACACGACACAAACTCAAGTTCAAAAACACCAAAAAACTCAAGTTCAAACACATCACAAACTCAAGTTCAACAAATGCCACAAACTCAAGTTCAAAGATGCCACCAACTAGAGTTCACTAAAAACCATAAACTCAAGTTGAACAAAGACCACAAACTCAAGTTCAAGAAACTCAAGTTCATAAATTGCCACAAACTTAAGGTTAAAAAAACACACAAGCTCAAATTCAAACACGACACAAACTCAAGTTCAAAAAACACCACAAACTCAAGTTCAACCAACACCGAAATCTCAAGTTTAACAATTTCCACAACCTCAAGTTCAAAAAACACCACAAACTCAAGTTCAAACACGCCACAAACTCAAGTTCAAACACGACACAAATTCAAGTTCAAAAACACCACACAAACTGAAGTTCAAAAACAACAGAAACTCAAGTTCAACAAACACCACAAACTCAAGTTCAAACAAGACACAAGCCCAAGTTCAACAATTTCAACAAACTCAAGTTCAAAAAACACCAGAACCTCAAGTTCAAAAAACATAATAAACTCAATTTCAAATATGCCACAAACTCAAATTCAATGAACACCACAAACTCAAGTTCAACCAACACCCGATTCTCAAGTTTAACAATTGCCACAATCTCAAGTTAAAAAAAACACAAACTCAAGTTCAAACACTTCACAAACTCAAGTTCAACAAACGCCACAAACTCAAGTTCAACAAACGCCACAAACTCAAGGTCAACAATTGCCACCAACTAAAGTTCACTTAAAACCACAGACTCAAGTTCAACAATTGCCAAAAAATCAAGCCAAACAAACTCAAGTTCATAAGTTGCCACAAACTTCAAACACGACACAAACTCAAGTTCAAAAACACCACAAACTCAAGTTCAAAAACGACACAAACTCAAGTTCAACAAACAAAACTAACTATTTAGAGTAATTTTGAGGCGTTTGAGAGGTTATTTTTACACTTACCCTTGTGGTCCTAAGTTGTTGTTGATGTGAGGCGTTTCTTTTCCAGTAGTCTAAAATCTGCTGGAGGGGGGAAAAGGTTCCAGCTGTCCAGCCGTGGCGGCAGCGGTGTGTCTTAAGTCCGGGGTCCAGGTTTGCTGGGACTCGGTGCTGTCGGCGGGTCGAAGCTAGGTGGTGGGCGGCTTGGAGTGATGGAGGTGCGGCGTCTTCTTTTAGGTGGCGGCGCAGCGTCTACTTCGAGGCAGTGGTACGTCTTCTTGGCCCTGTGGTCTGTGCTTTGTCTCGATTACAGGAACAAGCATTGCTCTTTAGTGCACAACACTTAAATGTGCTTTTGACAAAAGAAGACATCCCCAGAGTTGGGCTCGAGTCATGGTTTGTGCTGTTCCTCTCAGACATGGTTGTGTTCTCTTCTCGATGTTTGTATTCCAGAATGGATGTCTCTTGGTTGTATTTTAAACTTTCAAGTTAATTTTAATGTAGTTTATTGTTTTAAATTGAGTTTTGCTACATTAAATTTGTATACACTCGCAAGGGATTGTGGGTATTTTAGTTCTGAGGGATGAGAGCCTAAGGAATCAATCTTCCTGTTACAGCAAAGGATTGTGGGTAAAACCGTGAGTGAGTGAGGTACTTCCTTTCTGGCACGAGAGCCTTGGGAATCAATCTCCCTGTTGTAGCAAAGGATTGTGGTTAAAACCGTGAGTGAGGGAGGTACATTTTTCCTGGCATGAGAACCTCAGGAGTCAGTCCTTCCTAAGAAAAAAGAGGGGAGGGGGGAAGAAAAACAAAAGCACAGGAACCCTAAAATAAAATAAAATAAAATAAAATAAGATAATATAAAACAATTAAAAAAATAAAAAAATAAAAGAAGAACAAAAGTGGATTGCAAAAGGGAAAGGGGAAGAAAAAAGGAAAAAAAGAAGTGTCAAGAGCAAATAGCAAAAATCAGAAGTGAGCTTAGAAACAGAGAACAGTTCCCTAAAAGAAAGACAGAAATGTAAATTTGATCAATGTCCTAAGGGAAAATCTGTACGTGTGTGTGTGTGTTCTTTTTTGCTAACTTAGTCTGGTGTCACTGATGGTCAGTTATTGATAAGTATTTATTATTTAAATTTTTGATGAAGTTGTTTGTAGTGGGGTTAGCTGGCTAATTTTAGAGTGTTAAAAAAGATGTTAGAAGGGGAGGATTTAGGGGGCACGGCGGTTCCCCTTCAGGTCTCTCTTAATCCTCCATATAGGTGACCCAACAGGGGTTACCCCCCGGCCGGGGTAGGCCTAGGCTGAAGATCACCTATTTGTCCTCTGTGAAGGTGACAATAAAGGGGCAGGGGAGGGAATAAGAAAGAGGGGGGGGGGGTGTTAGAGAGAGGGGGAGAGATGAGGGAGAGAGATGAGGGAGAGAGAGAGAGAGAGAGAGAGAGAGAGAGTGTGTGTGTGTGTGTGTGTGTGTGTGTGTGTGTGTGTGTGTGTGTGTGTGTGTGTGTGTGTGTGTGTGTGTGTGTGAGAGAGAGGGAGAGGGGGGTTTAAGGGAGAGGTGGAGATGGTGGAAAATAAAGATTGGTGAGGGGGATTTGGTGGCGGATGAAACATCCCATAGCTCCCCAGCTCTCACCATCCATGTGAGGAGAGTGAGCAAGGGACATAGTCCCCCGACCCGACTAGGTCTAGGCTGTAAACGTGGAAGTGAGAGTTCTCTAGGCAGAGTTTTGGGTTTGGTTTGAGCTGAGTTGGTCAGTTGATTATTGATTACTATTTTAAGTTCTAAAAGTGGATAGAGTCAAAAAGTCACAGAGGATTGTGGTGGGAGCAGGTGGTCCGTCTGGCACCATTCTGCTCATGCAGGGATTCGAGTGATAGAAAGAGAATAGATCTTGCCACCGTGACTCGCCATTGAGACTCTCCTCACCTTCTGGTTTTCATCCTCTGATAGGAGAGAGAGGTACAGGTCAGGAGAGAGGGAGAAAAGGAGGGAGGCAGGGTGGGGTCAGGAGTTAATTTGTCTTGAAAAGTATTTATCTTTTCGTAATTGCTGTTAGGGTTTAGATGTTTCTTGTTTAGTTATTTGGGGAATGTAGTGTTAGTATAGGTTCCAAGGTGGAGGATTCTTTGGAATTCACTCTCACCCTTGAAACTGGAAGATCTTAGATTCTATAAAGGGGGTGGGGGAGGGGGGGGTTAGAGGTCGTGTGCACAGAAGGAGCATGGGCTTAGACTATTCTCAGAATGATATTGTGACAAGTCTGTCCGAAGGCAATTGGCAGGTTAGGTGTGGGTAAGAGATACAGTGATAGCCCCCGCTTTCGTCGGTTGACTTGGCAGTTTGGGGTAGGCTGATCAAGGGCTTGAACTGGCCGGCGCATGTCAACCTGTCACATGTTCCAGTCGAGTCTACTAGCTCAATCTGTGTGTAAAAATTATGTGTTAGTAGAAAGTTTAATGACTCAGCTCAGTTGGTATGCTATGCTGTCTATCTTTTAGACTATGTGTTTGTAGAGCAATATTATGTATATATTATGTTACAGGGCTAGGAAAAGGTCAAAGGTTTTTGGCGTTAGGGTTAAAATCACTGTCCAAAACCTTTTTAGGAACATGTTTCAGACCTTTTGGAGTTGGTTACACCAAAAAAAAAATGTAAAATGAAAAAAAAGTATTTGGGGTGTTCGGGCTTCCTGAAGGTAATTAGGTTATGGGGCTATGGTTAAAATCAAGTGAGGGTTAAAATCACTGTCCAAAACCTTTGTAGGAACTCTTTTCCAACCTTTTGGAGTTAGTTAGACCAAAAAAAAAGAAAAAGAAAAAAAAAATATTTGGGGTTTTCAGACTTCCTGAAGGAAATACCCAGGTATTAGGTTTTTTGGGCTATGGTAAGGTTAAGGTTTTTGGCATTAGCGTTAAAATCACTGTCCAACACCTTTTTAGGAACACGTTTCAGACCTTTTGGAGTTAGTCACACCAAAAAGAAATGAAAAATGAACAAAAATTTTTGGGGTGTTCGGGCTTCCTGAAGATAATTCCTGAGTATTAGGTTATGGGGCTAAGGTAAGGTTTAAGGTTTTTGGCGAGAGGGTTAAATCACTGACAAAACCTTTGTAGGAACTCTTTTCCAACCTTTTGGAGTTAGTTAGACCAAATAAAAATGAAAAATAAAATAAAACTAGGGCCCCGGTGGGGCACTGTCGGGCCCAAGCCGCGTCGCGCCGCCCCCAGCGCGACCACCTCCCCCTCCCGATCGCGTCACACTCAAGGTCCAAAGATGGTGTGCGCACTTGTCTGTGGTCATTTCCCATTTTAATGAATGGGAGGCGCAGTTTCTACCAAAACACTCGCTGCAGACAAACTACATGTCCTATTTGAAAAAAGTGTGGACCATGAGTGAGGGCACAAACACAGCTAGGATATATCCAAACGGCAAGTTGCTCCTCGTTACGGTGTTGCCGGGAGAGCGATGCGATTGAGCCATTGAGTGATGGGCAGGAAAAACTTGACTGTTTCTCCTGCCATGGGGGATGGGGGATGGGGGATGGGGGGGGGATGTGGATTCTTTTAAGAATGTGGATATTTGGGTCATCTTTGGCGCCCCCTAGAACGTAAAGTGTGGGGTGCAGCGTCACGATTTTTACAACTTTGAATGGCCATGGGGTGTAGATTGGCCTGAGCAAATGTGGTGCCGGTGGACAGAAAGCCTTCGGAGGAGTTAGCGAAATTCCAATGTGTGCGGATCGGCAAAAAATGCGGAATAACCCTTTAACCGTACATTTGACAGATACGCGCGCATTGACTTTTTCATAGATCTTATTGAGATACATGTGTGTGTCGGATTTTGTGTCATTTTGCCATAGCGTACAGGCGTGACACTCAACAATGTGTATTTTCACCTTAGGGGACAAGAAAAAATGGACTTTTTTCTCCTGCCATGGGGGGGCGCTCTTTTGGGGAGTGAAAATTCCTTCACAAATGTGTTGATGGCTGGACATTGCATCATCCTAGAAAACTTGGAGGCCAGTGAGGGCAAAAATAAAAAGTTATAAGACTTTTAAATATGTGGATTTTAGGGTTATCTTTGGCGCCCCCTAGAACCTAAACCGTGGGGTGCAGCGTCATGATTTGAATAACTTTTAATGGCCATGGGGTGTAGATTGGCCTGAGCAAATGTGGTGCCGGTGGAACGAAAGCCTTCAAAGGAGTTAGCGAAATTCCAATGTGTGCGGATCGGCAAAAAATGCAAAATAACCCTTTAACCGTACATTTGACAGATACGCCCGCACTGACTTTTTTGTAGATCTTATTGAGATACATGTGTGTGTCAATTTTTGTGTCATTTTGACAAAGCGTACAGGCCTGACAGTCAATAGTGTGAATTTTCACCTTAGGGGGCGCTATGGAGCCATTTTGCATTTTCTTGTTTGGTCGACTTCAGAATATCAAATTTTTCACCAGGCCCGGTCGTCCTGCCAAATTTCATGAGTTTTCGCCAGTGGGAAGTGGGCCATTTTCCAGTTCAAAGGGGAGGAAAAAGAAAAAAGAAACAAAGAAAAACCACTACAGGAATAATAGGGCCTCGCAGCTGCCTAGCATCTACGCTCGGGCCCTAAATATTTGGGGTGTTCGAGCTTCCTGAAGGTAATACCAGGGTATTTGGTTTTGGGGCTTTGGAAAGGTTTAAGGTTTTTGGCGTTAGGGTTAAAATCACTTTTCAAAACCTTTTTAGGAACACGTTTCAGACCTTTTGGAGTTGGTTACACTAAAAAAAATGTAAAAAGAAAAAAAAAATATTTCTGGCTTCCTATTAGGTTATGGGGCTTTGGAAAGGTTTAAGGTTTTTGGCATTAGGGTTAGCATTTGGCATTAGGGTTAAAAATCACTGTCCAAAACCTTTGTAGGAACTCTTTTCCAACCTTTTGGAGTTAGTTAGACCAAAAAAAAAGGAAAAAAAAAAAAATATTTGGGGTGTTCGGGCTTCCTGAAGGTAAAACCCGTATTAGGTTATGGGGCTTTGGAAAGGTTTAAGGTTTTTGCCGTCAGGGTTAAAATCACTGTCCAAAACCTTTTTAGAAACATGTTTCAGAACTTTTGGAGTTGGTTACACCAAATAAAAATGTAAAATGAAAAAAAAGTATTTGGGGTGTTTGGGCTTCCTGAAGGTAATTAGGTTATGGGGCTATGGTTAAAATCAAGTGAGGGTTAAAATCACTGTCCAAAACCTTTGTAGGAACTCTTTTCCAACCTTTTGGAGTTAGTTAGACCAAAAAAAAAAAAAAAAGAAAAAAAAAATATTTGGGGTTTTCAGACTTCCTGAAGGAAATACCCAGGTATTAGGTTTTTGGGGCTATGGTAAGGTTAAGGTTTTTGGCATTAGCGTTAAAATCACTGTCCAACACCTTTTTAGGAACACGTTTCAGAACTTTTGGAGTTGGTTACACCAAAAAAAATGTAAAATGAAAAAAAAATATTTGGGGTGTCAGGCTTCCTGAAGGTAATACCCGGGTATTAGGTTATGGGGCAAGGGAAAGGTTTAAGGTTTTTGGCGTTAGGGATATAATCACTGTCCAAAACCTTTGTAGGAACTCTTTTCCAAGCTTTTGGAGTTAGTCACACCAAAAAGAAATGAAAAATGAACAAAAATTTTTGGGGTGTTCGGGCTTCCTGAAGATAATTCCTGAGTATTAGGTTATGGGGCTAAGGTAAGGTTTAAGGTTTTTGGCGAGAGGGTTAAATCACTGACAAAACCTTTGTAGGAACTCTTTTCCAACCTTTTGGAGTTGGTTAGACCAAAAAAAAAGAAAAATGAAAAAAAAATATTTGGGGTTTTCGGGCTTCCTTACGGTAATACCCGGGTATTAGGATATTGGGCTTTGGAAAGGTTGAAGGTTTTTGGCGTGAGGGTTAAAATCACTGTCCAAAACCTTTTTAGGAACTCTTTTCCAACCTTTTGGAGTTAGTTAGACCAAATAAAAATGAAAAATAAAATAAAAATATTTGGGGTGTTCGGGCTTCCTGAAGGTAATACCAGGGTATTTGGTTTTGGGGCTTTGGAAAGGTTTAAGGTTTTTGGCGTTAGGGTTAAAATCACTTTTCAAAACCTTTTTAGGAACACGTTTCAGACCTTTTGGAGTTGGTTACACTAAAAAAAATGTAAAAAGAAAAAAAAATATTTCTGGCTTCCTATTAGGTTATGGGGCTTTGGAAAGGTTTAAGGTTTTTGGCATTAGGGTTAGCATTTGGCATTAGGGTTAAAAATCACTGTCCAAAACCTTTGTAGGAACTCTTTTCCAACCTTTTGGAGTTAGTTAGACCAAAAAAAAAGGAAAAATAAAAAAAAATATTTGGGGTGTTCGGGCTTCCTGAAGGTAAAACCCGTATTAGGTTAAGGGGCTTTGGAAAGGTTTAAGTTTTTGCCACAGGGTTAAAATCACTGTCCAAAACCTTTTTAGAAACATGTTTCAGAACTTTTGGAGTTGGTTACACCAAATAAATATGTAAAATGAAAAAAAAATATTTGGGGTGTTCCGGCTTCCACACAGGTATTAGGTTATGGGGCTAGGGTAAGGTTTTAGGTTTTTGGCGTTCGATTAAAATCACTGTCCAAATCCTTTGTAGGAACTCTTTTCCAACCTTTTGGAGTTAGTTAGACCAAAAAAAAAAGAAAAAAGAAAAAGAAATATTTGGGGTTTTCGGGCTTCCTGAAGGTAATAAGTATTAGGTTATGGGGCTAGAGTAAGGTTTAGAGTTTTGGCGTTAGGTTTAAAATCACTGTCCAAAACCTTTTTAGGAACATGTTTCAGACCTTTTGGACTTGGTTACACCAAAAAAAAATGTAAAATGAAAAAAAAGTATTTGGGGTGTTTCGGGCTTCCTGAAGGTAATACCTGGGTATTAGGTTATGGGGCTATGGAAATGTTCAAGGCTTTTGGTGTTAGGGTTAAAATCACTGTCCAAAACGTTTGTAGAAAGTCTTTTCCAAGCTTTTGGAGTTAGTTACACCAAAAAAAAAAACGAAAAATGAAAAAAAAATATTTGGGGTTTTCGGGCTTCCTGAAGGTACTACCCAGGTATTAGGTTTTGGGGCTAGGGTAAGGTTTAAGGTTTTTGGTGTTAATGTTAAAATCACTGTCCAAAACCTTTTTAGGAACTCTTTTCCAACCTTTTGGAGTTAGTTAGACCAAAAAAAAAGAAAAAGAAAAAATATATATTTGGGGTGTTCGGGCTTCCTGAAGGTAATACTCGAGTATTAGGTTATGGGGCTAGGGAATGGTTAAAGGTTTTTGGCGTTAGGGTTAAAATCAGTGACCAAAACCTTTTTAGGAACATGTTTCAGACCATTTGGAGTTGATAACACTAAAAAAAATGTAAAAAGAAAAAAAAATATTTGGGGTGTCTGGGCTTCCTGAAGGTAATACCCGGGTATTAGGTTATGGGGCTTGGGAAAGGTTTAAGGTTTTTGGCATTAGGGTTAAAAATCACTGTCCAAAACCTTTGTAGGAACTCTTTTCCAACCTTTTGGAGTTAGTTAGACCAAAAAAAAAAGAAAAAAGAAAAATAAATATTTGGGGTTTTCGGGCTTCCTGAAGGTAATAAGTATTAGGTTATGGGGCTAGGGTAAGGTTTAAGGTTTTTGGCGTTAGGGTTAAAATCACTGTCCAAAACCTTTTAAGGAACATGTTTCAGACCTTTTTAGTTGGTTACACCAAAAAAATGTGAAAATAAAAAAAAATATTTGGGGTGTTCGGGCTTCCTGAAGGTAAAACCCGGGTATTAGATTATGGGGCTATGGTAAGGTTTAAGGTTTTTGGTGTAAGGGTTAAAATCAGTGTCCAAAACCTTTGTAGGAACTCTTTTCCAACCTTTTGGAGTTAGTTAGACCAAAAAAAAATTAAAAATAAAAAAATATATATTTGGGGTGTTTGGGCTTCCTGAAGGTAATATTAGGTTATTAGGTTATGGGGCTATGGTAAGGTTTAAGGTTTTTGGCGTTAGGGTGAAAATCACTGTCCAAAACCTTTTTAGGAACATGTTTCAGACCTTCTGGAGTTAGATAAAAAAAAATGAAAAATGAAAAAAAAATGTTTGCGGCGTTAGGGCTTCCTTCAGGTAATACCCGGGTATTAGGTTATGGGGCTATGGTAAGGTTTAAGGTTTTTGGTGTCAGGGTTAAATACCCGATATTAAGTTTGAAAATTGCCACAACCTCAAGTTCAACAAACACACAAACTCAAGTTCAACAAACACCAAAAAATCAAGTTCAAACACCAAAAAAACTCAAGTTCAAAAAAACCACAAACTCAAGTTCAAACACACCACAAACTCAAGTTTAAAACGACACAAACTCAAGTTCAACAAGCACATAAACTCAAGTTCAACCAATATCGTATTCTCAAGTTTAACAAATTCCACATACACAAGTTAAAAAACGACACAAACTCAAATTCAGCAAAAACCACAAACTCAAGTTCAAACAACACCTGATTCTCAAGTTTATAAATTTTCACAACCTCAAGATCTAAAAACACACAAACTCAAGTTCAACATACAACACAAACTTAAGTCCAAACACGAGAAAAACTCAAGTTCAACCAAAACCCAAATCTCAAGTTTAACAATTGCCACAACCTCAAGTTCAACAAACACACAATAACAAGTTCAACAAACAACACAAACTTAAGTTCAAACACAAAACTCAATTGCAAAAATGACAAAAACTCAAGTTCAACAATCACACAAACTCAAGTTCAAACACAGCACAAACTGGAGTTCAAATAACACACAAACTCAAGTTTAACAAACACACAAAATCAAGTTCAGAAACACCACAAACTCAAGTTCAAACACACAACAAACTCAAGTTCAAACACGACACATACTCAAGTTCAAAAAACGCCACAAACTCAAGTTCAAACACTAAAACAAAATCAAGTTCGAAAACACCACAAACTCATGTTCAAATACAACACAAACTCAAGTTCAACAAACAAACAAACTCAAGTTCAACAAACACCACAAACTCATGTTCAAACACAACACAAACTCAAGTTCAACAAACACACAACCTGAAGTTCAAAAACACAAGTAACTCATGTTCAAACACAACAAAAACTCAAGTTCAACAAACACACAAACTCAAATTCAACACACACACACTCAAATTTAACCAACACCTGATTATCAGGTTTAACAATTTCCACAACTTCTATTTCAAAAAATAGAGAAACTCAAGTTAAAAAAAAACACAGACTCAACTTCACCAAACACGCAAATTCAAGTTATAAACACCACAAACTCAAGTTCAAATACGACACAAACTCAAGTTCAAAAACACCAAAAACTTAAGTTCAACCAATACCCATTTCTCAAGTTTAACAATTTCCACAACATCAAGTTCAAAAACAACACAGACTCAAGTTAAAAAAAACCACAAACTTAAGTTCAAAAACACCAAATACTCAAGTTTAACAAAAACCACAATCTAAAGTTCAACCAACACGTGATTCTCAAGTTTAAAAATTTTCACATCCTCAACTTCAAAAATTACACAAACTCAAGTTCAACAAACAACACGAACTCATGTTCAAACACGACACAAACTCAAGTTCAACCAACAACCAAATCTCAAGTTCAAAAACAACACTGACTCAAGTTTAAAACACCAAATACTGAAGTTCAAATATGACACAAAATCGAGTTCAACAAACACACAAACTCAAGTTCAACAAACGCGACAAACTCAAGTTCAAATCCGAAACAATCTCAAGTTCAATAACACGACACAAACTCAAGTTCAAACACAACACAAACTCAAGTTCAAAAACACCAAAAAATCAAGTTCAGACACGATACAAACTCAAGTTCATCAAAAACCACAAACTCAAGTTCAAACACGTAACAAACTCAAGTTCAAACACGACACAAACTATAGTTTAATCAACAACCAAATCTCAGGTTAAACAATTGCCACAACCTTAAGTTCAACAACCACACAAAATCAAGTTCAACAAACGCCACAAACTCAAGTTCAAATCCAAAACAAACTCAAGTTCAATAACACGACACAAACTCAAGTTCAAACACAACACAAACTCAAGTTCAAAAACACCAAAAAATCAAGTTCAAACATGACACAAACTCAAGTTCAACAAACACCACAAACTCAAGTTCAAACACGAAACTCAAGTTCAAAAACACCACCAACCCAAATTCAAAATGACCACAAACTCAAGTTCAACAAACACACAAAATCAAGTTCAAAAACGCCACAAACTCAAGTGCAAACACGACACAAACTCTAGTTCAACAAACACCACAAACTCAAGTTCAAACACAACACAAACTTAAGTTAAAAAAACACACAAACTCAAGTTAAAACACGACACGAACTCAAGTTCAACAAGAACCACAAACTCAGGTTCAAACACGAAACTCAAGTTCAAAAACACCACCAACTAAAGTTCAAAAAGACCACAAACTCAAGTTCAACAAACACACAAAATCAAGTTCAAAAACACCACAAACTCAAGTGCAAACACGACACAAACTCTAGTTCAACAAACACTGCAAACTCAAGTTCAAACACAACACAAACTCAAGTTCAACAAACACACAAACTCAAGTTCAAAAACACCAAACTCAATTGCAAACACGACACAAACTCAAGTTCAACAAACACCACAAACTCAAGTTCAAACATGAAACACACTCAGGTTCAAACATGACACAAACTATAGTTCAACCAACAACCAAATCTCAAGTTTTACAATTGCCACAACGTCAAGTTTAACAACCACACAAACTCAAGTTCAAAAATGAAACAAACTCATGTTCAAAAACATCACAATCTTACGTTCAACAAACACAAAAACGTAAGTTCAAACACGACACAAACAAGTTCAACCAAAACAGAAAGTCAAATTTTACAATTGCCACAACCTCAAGTTCAACAAACTCCATACCCTCAACTTCAAAAAAACCACAAACTCAAGTTCAAAAACACCACAAACTCAAGTTCAAACACAACACAAACTCAAGTTCAACAAAAACCACAAACTCAAGTTCAAACACGAAACTCAAGTTCAGAAACACCACCAAATCAAGTTCAACAAATTTCACAAACTCAAGTTCAACAAACAAACAAAATAAAGTTCAAACACAACACAAACTCAAGTGCAAACACGACACAAACTCAAGTTCAACAAACACCACAAACTCAAGTTCAAACACGAAACTCAAGTTCAAAAACACCACCAACTCAAGTTCAAAATGACCACAAACTCAAGTTCAACAAACACACAAAATCAAGTTCAAAAACGCCACAAACTCAAGTGCAAACACGACACAAACTCAAGTTCAACAAACACCACAAACTCAAGTTCAAACACAACACAAACTTAAGTTAAAAAAACACAAACTCAAGTTAAAACACGACACGAACTCAAGTTCAACAAAAACCACAAACTCAGGTTCAAACACGAAACTCAAGTTCAAAAACACCACCAACTAAAGTTCAAAAAGACCACAAACTCAAGTTCAACAAAGACACAAAATCAAGTTCAAAAACACCACAAACTCAAGTGCAAACACGACACAAACTCTAGTTCAACAAACACTACAAACTCAAGTTCAAACACAACACAAACTCAAGTTCAACAAACACACAAACTCAAGTTCAAAAACACCAAACTTAATTGCAAACACGACACAAACTCAAGTTCAACAAACACCACAAACTCAAGTTCAAACATGAAACACACTCAGGTTCAAACATGACACAAACTATAGTTCAACCAACAACCAAATCTCAAGTTTTACAATTGCCACAACGTCAAGTTTAACAACCACACAAACTCAAGTTCAACAACCACCACAAACTCAAGTTCAAAAATGAAACAAACTCATGTTCAAAAACATCACAAACTTACGTTCAACAAACACAAAAACTTAAGTTCAAACACGACACAAACAAGTTCAACCAAAACAGAAAGTCAAGTTTTACAATTGCCACAACCTCAAGTTCAACAAATTCCACACCCTCAACTTCAAAAAAACCACAAACTCAAGTTCAAAAACACCACAAACTCAAGTTCAAACACAACACAAACTCAAGTTCAACAAAAACCACAAACTCAAGTTCAAACACGAAACTCAAGTTCAGAAACACCACCAACTCAAGTTCAACAAAAACCACAAACTCAAGTTCAACAAACAATCAAAATCAAGTTCAAACACAACACAAACTCAAGTGCAAACACGACACAAACTCAAGTTCAAACACGAAACTCAAGTTCAAAAACACCACCAACTAAAGTTCAAAAAGACCACAAACTCAAGTTCAACAAAGACACAAAATCAAGTTCAAAAACACCATTAACTCAAGTGCAAACACGACACAAACTCAAGTTCAACAAACACCACAAACTCAAGTTCAAACACAACACAAACTCAAGTTCAACAAACACACAAAGTCAAGTTCAAAAACACCACAAACTCAATTGCAAACACGACACAAACTCAAGTTCAACAAACACCACAAACTCAAGTTCAAACACGAAACACACTCAAGTTCAAACATGACACAAACTATAGTTCAAGCAACAACCAAATCTCAAGTTTTACAATTGCCACAACCTCAAGTTTAAAAACCACACAAACTCAAGTTCAACAAACACCACAAACTCAAGTTCAAACATGAAACAAACTCATGTTCAAAAACAACACAAACTTAAGTTGAACAAACACAAACTCAAGTTCAAACATACTCAAACTCAAGTTCAAAAACACCTGTAACGGTTCGCACGGTCACACGGTCGCACCAAAATATATGTAGCGTTTTGAAATGAGCCTCACAAGGCCGCACCAAAATAATACTGTAGAGTTTTTGGTGTTTGTTGAACTTGAGTTTGTGTCGTGTTTGCACTTGAGTTTGTGGTGTTTTTGAACTTGATTTATTTTGTTTGTTGAACTTGAGTTTGTGGTCTTTTTGAACTTGAGTTAGTGGTGTTTCTGAACTTGAGATTCATGTTTGAACTTCAGTTTGTGGTTTTTGTTGAACTTGAGTTTGTGTCGATTTTGAACTTGAGTTTGGGGTTATTTTGAAGTTGAGGGTGTGGAATTTGTTGAACTTGAGGTTGTGGCAATTGTTAAACTTGAGTTTGTGTTTTAGCTGAACTTGAGTTTGTGTCGTGTTTGAACTTGAGTTTGTTTTGTGTTTGAACTTGAGTTTGTGTGTTTTTTTAACTTAAGTTTGTGTTGTGTTTGAACTTGAGTTTGTGTTGTGTTTGCAATTGAGTTTGTGGTGTTTTTGAACTTGAGTTTGTGTGTTTGTTGAACTTGAGTTTGTGTTGTGTTTGAACTTGAGTTTGTGGTATTTTTGAACTTGATTTTGTGTGTTTGTTGAACTTGAGTTTGTGGTCTTTTTGAACTTGAGTTGGTGGTGTTTCTGAACTTGAGTTTGTGTTTGAACTTGAGTTTGTGGTTTTTGTTGAACTTGAGTTCATGTCATGTTTTAACTTGAGTTTGTGTGTTTGTTGAACTTAAGTTTGTGTTGGGTTTGAACTTGAGTTTGTGGTGTTTGTTGAACTAGAGTTTGTGTCATGTTTGCACTTGAGTTTGTGGTGTTTTTGAACTTGATTTTGTGTGTTTGTTGAACTTGAGTTTGTGGTCATTTTGAACTTGAGTTGGTGGTGTTTTTGAACTTGAGTTTCGTGTTTGAACTTGAGTTTGTGGTGTTTGTTGAACTTGAGTTTGTATCGTGTTTCCACTTGAGTTTGTGTTGTGCTTGAACTTTATTTTGTTTGTTTGTTGAACTTGAGTTTGTGAAATTTTTTGAACTTAAGTTTGTGGTGTTTTTTAACTTGAGTTTGGTGTCTGAACTTCAGTTTGTGGTTTTTGTTGAACTTGAGTTTGTGTCATGTTTGAACTTGAGTTTGTGGTGTTGTTGAACTTGAGTTTGTGGTTTTTTTTAAGTTGAGGGTGTGGAATTTGTTGAACTTGAGGTTGTGGCAATTGTTAAACTTGAGTTTGTGTTTTAGCTGAACTTGAGTTTGTGTCATGTTTGAACTTGAGTTTTTGTGTTTGTTTAACTTAAGTTTGTGTTGTGTTTGTAACTTGAGTTTTTGTGTTTGTTTAACTTAAGTTTGTGTCGTGTATAACTTGAGTTTGTTTTGTGTTTGAACTTGAGTTTGTGGTGTTTGTTGAACTTGAGTTTGTGTCATGTTTGCAATTGAGTTTGTGGTTTTTTTTAACTTGAGTTTGTGTGTTTGTTGAACTTGAGTTTGAGTCGTATTTGAACTTGAGTTTGTGGTCTTTTTGAACTTTAGTTGGTGGTGTTTTTGAACTTGAGTTTCGTGTTTGAACTTGAGTTTGTGGTTTTTGTTGAACTTGAGTTTGTGTCGTGTTTTAACTTGAGTTTGTGTGTTTTTTTAACTTAAGTTTGTGTTGTGTTTGAACTTGAGTTTGTGGTGTTTGTTGAACTAGAGTTTGTTTTTGAACTTGAGGTTGTGGAAATTGTTAAACTCGCCCTCCTCGAGCCATCATGAAGGCGGAGGTGGCGGGGGTAGAGCAGCAATGAACAGAATCCCCCCGGAACAGGAGCGCTTCAAGGGTAGCGGAGCAATTAGCTGGCACGAGGGTGGAGCTGGGGTGGCAGTGTGTTGCTGGTTTGCTGTCAGAGCAGAGGAAGAGGCTGGGTTAGTGCAGTTTTAAATAAGGCACACAAGGCCGCACCAAAATAATACTGTAGTGATTGGAATTTATAATAAATGTCTGAAGATTAATAATCTCAAATTGTGACATTTATGCACTCGTTGAAAGGGGCACCACCCACCCTTAATGGTGGGAAAATAAAGAAAACAAAAGTTTAATTCAGAAATCAAACATCAAGTCAGTTTTAATTAATCAGTCTCATATCTAAAGTCGAAATTCTCATTTCAGGGACTCCACTTCTGGAAGAACACTAACAGACAGGAACTTAGAAAAATAATGAAAAACGAGACTCGAGCAGAGAAAACTTTCAAAAATGGCTTCGCGAAATTAAAGAAAAATCAATCAAAGGCTTAATCTTGAATTGCTATGTGCACAAAAAGTTGAAGTTTCAAAACTTGAACTAAGACGATGTTAAAGAAAAATCAACGTGAATCAACACGTAGCGTAAAACTTAGTAGACTAAGAAAAGTTCTAAGAGAAAACAAAGAAACGCACCACAGAAGGGTGTGGGCAGAAGAGTGGGTACAAGAGAGGAAGGAAGTGATGGAGAAGAGTGAACAAGAGGAAGAAGGGATCAGACTAGAAGCATAAGAGGAAGAGCAACCCCACTTCACTGGTTTTATCTTCTCACACTGGGAGTGTCTCCGGCGTGTGTGTGTGAGACAGAGGAGGGGTCGTGTGGTCTTTGATTATTTGATCTAACTTATTCTTTTGGCTGGCAAAAGAGTCAGATCTGATACTCACTCACTATGATTAATATCATTGAATGCTTGGTTTCATGATAAATAATTTGATACTAAACACATATGAATGAAGTGTAGGATCACATCAAACATTCTCATTATGTTTTAAGTATCACATTGAACATGCTAAATTACTCTGAAATGAAACAGATAGTAACACATGGAAACTGTGAACAACAAAAGAGTAAATACATGTGAGTGAACGTCATCATGATTAATAATGGATTCTAAATACTCACATTCAGGTTATTCAATGACATTATAACCACCTAATGGTTAAAAATACTAAATAAACATCTACAATATAAACCAAACATTTTTAAGCTATTTCTGTTACCTAGAGTTAAGTTATGATTCATAGTCGATAAATTTAACTCTTAAAAGTTCATGAAACAGTCTGAAAAGCTGTTGGTCTAAAGAAACTAAAGAATAAAGGATTTATTCTGTCAGATAAGATAACTCGGCTTCTGGAGCACATAGAACAATGGGAAACGTCTCATTTTAACACAAATTTCATGATTAGACAGATTAGTACATTGCTGAATGCATGAGATGTCAGGATCAGTCTTTTTTATTTTTTCACCAAAGGAATGCAGTCTTTATCAGTGCATGGTCGAGCAGGGTTTTACGACCGAGGTCTGGAGGTCAGTGTCCCCCCTTTTCCTGGGGTCCGTACGTTCACACACTTTAAGAAGGTAAATCTCAAATGGGAGATCTGGGTTGAGACGTTAATCTTTATTTAGATGGTCAGTAATGGAGTCAGTTTGAAAGGTAATAAAAACTCTGTCTCTGTTCGCCGAACTGACCAATCATGAAGAGTCAGAGGTTTAGTCAACCTCCGGTTGGGTCAGTAACGGTAACCTGAAAGTGCAAACAAGTCTGGAAAGATTTATATCCTGTTTCCTGGGACCAGATAAGGAAACTTTCCTGTGAGGAATGTGTGAGTTTCACACCCAGGGTTGTCTTGATTGCTACACACCACAAACTCAAGTTCAACAAAAACCACAAACTCAAGTTCAAACACGAAACTCAAGTTCAAAAACACCACCAACTCAAGTTCAAAAAGACCACAAACTCAAGTTCAACAAACAAACAAAATCAAGTTCAAAAACACCACAAACTCAATTGCAAACACGACACAAACTCAAGTTCAACAAACACCACAAACTCAAGTTCAAACACGAAACTCAAGTTCAAAAACACCACCAACTCAAGTTCAAAAAGACCACGAACTCAAGTTAAAAAAACACACAAAATCAAATTAAAAAAACCACAAACTCAAGTGCAAACACGACACAAACTCAAGTTCAACAAACCCAATTCTCAAGTTCAACAATTTCCGCAAACTCAAGTTCAAAAAAACACCACCAACTCAGGTTACGAAACACCACAAAGTCAAGTTCAAACAAGACACAAACTCAAGTTCAACAAACACCACAAACTCAAGTTCAAACACAAAACAAACTCAAGTTCAAACACGAAACAAACTCAAATTCAACTAAAACACAAACTTAAGTCTAACAATTGCCACAACCTCAAGTTCAACAAATTCCACACCCTTAACTTAAAAATAACCACAAACTCAAGTTCAAAAACACCACAAACTCAAGTTCAAAATCGACACAAACTCAAGTTCAACAAAAACCACAAACTCAAGTTCAAACATGAATCTCAAGTTCAGAAACACCACTAACTCAAGTTCAACAAACACCACAAACTCAAGTTCAACAAACAAACAAAATCAAGTTCAAAAACACCACAAACTCAAGTGCAAACACGACACAAACTCAAGTTCAACAAACACCAAAAACTCAAGTTTAAACACGAAACTCAAGTTCAAAAACACCACCAACTCAAGTTCAAAAAGACCACAAACTCAAGTTCAACAAACACACAAAATCAAGTTCAAAAACACCTCAAACTCAAGTGCAAACACGACACAAACTCAAGTTCAACAAACACCACAAACTCAAGTTCAAACATGACACAGACTCAAGTTCAAACACAACACAAACTCAAGTTCAACAAACACACAAAGTCAAGTTTAAAAACACCAAAAACTCAAGTTCAAACAAAACATAAACTCAAGTTCAACAAACACACTAACTTTCACTTTCCCCCCCACCAACGTGGAGAACGGGGGCCCTGAACAGAACCTCGCGTGCGCTTCCTGCTATCGCATTTCATGATGGCTCGTGAAGGGCAGGAAGGGTCTCTTCCTGCCTCAGGCTTCCACACAAGCACGTGGAAGGGCAGGGACCCAGAACAGAATCATGCCGCCAAATCTAACTTGCACAATAAAGCTTAAAATTTTGACAGTGTACCTGACTGAAATAAAGCATAGTGTTAGTTCTGTCAGGACACAACGTCAAGCGCTGATCCACAGCCACTGGCTAGTAGCCGCCTCAACCAGATGATAATCAGCTGATTCACACCTAGCTCCTATTGGTTCTTTGCCTATAGAGTGCCTTGTTTAAAACTGCACTAACCCAGCCTCTTCCTCTGCTCTGACAGCAAACCAGCAACACACTGCCACCCAAGCTCCACCCTCGTGCCAGCTAATTGCTCCGCTACCCTTGAAGCGCTCCTGTTCCGGGGGGATTCTGTTCATTGCTGCTCTACCCCCGCCACCTCTGCCTTCATGATGGCTCGAGGAGGGCGAGTTTAACAATTTCCACAACCTCAAGTTCAAAAACAACACAAACTCAAGTTCAACAAACAAACATACTCAAACTGAAGTTCAAAAACACCACAAACTCAAGTTAAAAAAAACCCACAAACTCAAGTTCAAACACGAAACTCAAGTTCAAAAACACCACCAACTAAAGTTCAAAAAGACCACAAACTCAAGTTCAACAAACAAACAAAATCAAGTTCAAAAACACCACAAACTCAAGTGCAAACACGACACAAACTTAAGTTCAACAAACTCAAGTTCAAACACGAAACTCAAGTTCAAAAACACCACCAACTAAAGTTCAAAAAGACCACAAACTCAAGTTCAACAAACAAACAAAATCAAGTTCAAAAACACCACAAACTCAAGTGCAAACACGACACAAACTCAAGTTCAACAAACTCAAGTTCAAACACGAAACTCAAGTTCAAAAACACCACCAACTCAGGTTACGAAACACCACAAAGTCGAGTTCAAACAAGACACAAACTCAAGTTCAATGAACACCACATACACAAGTTCAACAAATGTCAAAGTTTTAAGTTCAACCAAACCGAAATCTAAAGTTTAACTATTGCCAAAACCTGAAGTTAGAAAAACAAAAAAAATTCAGGTTAAAACACGTCACAAACTCAAGTACAAACACGACACAAACTCAAGTTAAACCAAATCACAAATCTCAAGTTTGACAATTGCCACAACCTCAACTTCAAAAACAACAGAAACTCAAGTTAAAACATGCCACAAACTCAAGTTAAACAAACACATAAACTTAAGTTCAAAAACACCTTAAAATCAAGTTCAACCAAAACCCAAATCTCAAATTTAACAATTGCCACAAACTTAAGTTCAAAAAACAGACAAACTCAAGTTCAAAAACACGACAAACTCAAGTTCAAAAAACACACAAACTCAAGTTTAACAATTGCCACAATCTTAGTTTCAAAAACACACAAACTCAAGTTAAAAAAACACACAAAATCAAATTCAAAAACACCACAAACTCAAGTGCAAACATGACACAAACTCAAGTTCAACAAACACCCAATTCTCAAGTTCAACAATTTCCGCAAACTCAAGTTTAACAATTGCCACAAACTTAAGTTCAAAAAACACACAAAATCAAGTTCAAAAAACACCACATCGTCAAGTTCAAACAAGACACAAAGTCAAGTTAAATGAACACCACAAACTCAAGTTCAACAAATGTCAAAGTTTTAAGTTCAACCAACACCCAAATCTAAAGTTTAACAATTGCCAAAACCTCAAGTTAAAAAACAACAAAAATTCCAGTTAAAACATGCCACAAACTCAAGTTCAACAAAGGCCACAAACTCAAGTTCAAAAACACCACAAACTCAAGTTCAACCAACACATAAATCTCAAGTTTAACAATTGCCACAACCTTAAGTTCAAAAAACACACAAACTAAAGTTCAAAAACACCAAAGACTCAAGTTCAAACAAGAAACACAAACTCAAGTTCAAAAACACCAAAAAGTCAAGTTCAAACAAGACACAAACTCAAGTTAAATGAACACCACAAAGTCAAGTTCAACAATTGTCAAAGTTTTAAGTTCAACCAACACCCAATTCTAAAGATTAACAATTGCCAAAAACTCAAGTTAAAAAACAACAGAAATTCAAGTTAAAACACGCCACAAACTCAAGTAAGACAAACAAACAATCTCAAGTTCAAACAGGACACAAACTCAAGTTCAACCAGCATCCAAATCTTAAGTTTAACAATTGCCACAACCTCAAGCTAAAAAACAATTGTAACTCAAGTTAAAACACGCCACAAACTCAAGTTAGACAAACAAACTCAAGTTCAACCAGCACCCAAATCTTAAGTTTAACAATTGCCACAACCTCAAATTAAAAAACAACAGTAACTCAAGTTCAAAGACGACACAAACTCAAGTTCAAACACGACACAAACTCAAGTTCAACCAAATCCCAAATCTCAAGTTTAACAATTGCCACAACCTTAAGTTCAAAAAACACACAAACTAAAGTTCAAAAACACCAAAGACTCAAGTTCAAACAAGAAACACAAACTCAAGTTCAAAAACACCAAAAAGTCAAGTTCAAACAAGACACAAACTCAAGTTAAATGAACACCACAAAGTCAAGTTCAACAATTGTCAAAGTTTTAGGTTCAACCAACACCCAATTCTAAAGATTAACAATTGCCAAAAACCCAAGTTAAAAAAGAACAGAAATTCAAGTTAAAACACGCCACAAACTCAAGTTAGACAAACAAACAATCTCAAGTTCAAACAGGACACAAACTCAAGTTCAACCAGCATCCAAATCTTAAGTTTAACAATTGCCACAACCTCAAGTTAAAAAACAATTGTAACTCAAGTTAAAACACGCCACAAACTCAAGTTCAAACAGGACACAAACTCAAGTTCAACCAGCACCCAAATCTTAAGTTTCACAATTGCCACAACCTCAAATTAAAAAACAACAGTAACTCAAGTTCAAAGACGACACAAACTCAAGTTCAAACACGACACAAACTCAAGTTCAACCAAATCCCAAGTCTCAAGTTTAACAATTTCCACAACCTCAAGTTCAAAAAACCAACAGAAACTCAAGTTCAAACACGCCACAAACTCAAGTACAACAAACGCCACAAACTCAAGTTCAACAATTGCCACCAACTTAAGTTCAGGGAAATATACAGAGTCAAGTTCAACAATTGCCACAAACTCAAATTCAACAAACACCACAATCTTAAGTTCAAAAAATGCCAAAATTTCAAATTCAACAAATGACCTAAACTCACATTTAACAATTGCCAAAAACTCAAGTTCAACAAACTCAAGTTCAAAAATTGCAACAAACTCAAGTTCAAAAAACACACAAATTCAAGTTCAAAAATACCACAACACCGAATCTGAAGTTCAACCAACACCCAAATCTCAAGTTCAACAATTGCCACAACCTCAACTTCAAAAACACCACAATCTCAAGTTCAAACACAACACAAACTAAGGTTCAACAAACACACAAACTCAAGTTTAACCATTACCCAATTCTCAGTTTTAACAATTTCCACATCCTCAAGTTCAAAAACACCACAAACTCAAGTTCTAAACGACACAAACTGAAGTTCAACAAACACACGAACTCAAGTTCAATCAATACCCAATTCTCAAGTTAAACAATTTCAAAAACCTCAAGTTCAAAAACAAAACAAACTCAAGTTCAAACACGCCAAAAACTCAATTTCAACATACAGACAAACTCAAGTTCAAAAACACGCCACAAACTCAAGTTCAACAAACACCACAATCTTAAGTTCAAAAAATGCCAAAATTTCAAATTCAATTAATGACCAAAACTCACATTTAACAATTGCCAAAAACTCAAGTTCAACAAATTCAAGTTCAAAAATTGCAACAAACTCAAGTTCAAAAAACACACAAATTCAAGTTCAAAAACACCACAACACCAAATCTGAAGTTCAACCAACACCCAAATCTCTAGTTTTATAATTGCCACAACCTCAACTTCAAAAACACCACAAACTCAAGTTCAGACACACCACAAACTCAAGTTCAACAAACACACAAACTCAAGTTCTAAAACACCACAACACCAAATCTGAAGTTCAACCAACACCCAAATCTCAAGTTTAACAATTGCAACAACTTCTAGTTAAAAAAAAAAACAAACTCAAGTTCAAACACGCTAAAAACTCAATTTCAACATACAGACAAACTCAAGTTCAAAAACACGCCACAAACTCAAGTTCAACAAACACCACAATCTTAAGTTCAAAAAATGCCAAAATTTCAAATTCAACAAATGACCTAAACTCACAGTTAACAATTGCCAAAAACTCAAGTTCAACAAACTCAAGTTCAAAAATTGCGTCAAACTCAAGTTCAAAAAACACACAAATTCAAGTTCAAAAACACCACAACACCGAATCTGAAGTTCAACCAACACCCAAATCTCTAGTTTTACAATTGCCACAACCTCAACTTCAAAAACACCACAAACTCAAGTTCAAACACGCCACAAACTCAAGTTCAACAAACACACAATCTCAAGTTCTAAAACACCACAACACTGAATCTGAAGTTCAACCAACACCCAAATCTCAAGTTTAACAATTGCCACAACCTCAACTTCAAAAACATCACAAACTCAAGTTCAAACACGCCACAAACTAAAGTTCAACAAACACACAAACTCAAGTTCTAAAACAGATTTAACAGGTTGCCAAAAACACAAGAAGACTCTAACCTAGAGTTAATTTCACAGCGAAATAAAAGATCTGCTCATATAGGGCAAGAAAAGAAATAAAATATGACAACTCAGCTCTAGTGCTGAGTACAAAAGGAAAGAAGCTAGGCGTGTGCAAAAATAATATGCCTCACAAAGCTACGAAAGTCCCAAATCACAAAGACGCTAAGTCTGAGAAAGAGGCACGGGAGCTCCACTGGTTACAGCGTGCTCCCTGATCTGCAGGTCTGCTGGCGTTTTATCCACTCCTCCAAGTGGCTCCTCACAATTGGTGGAAGCCTTCAGCTAGTCAGTCTCTGCCGTCTCCGGGTGGAGGTGATCAGGCACTTAATTCCATCTGCAGCTACGGCAACCTGATTGCTGCAGGCAGCACGCACACACAGGCACACTCACACTCACACACACACACACACACACACACACACACATATACACACAAAGGAAGACCCAAGATTTACCACACTATGGCGGCGGCTGTAACACCCCTCCCCTTAAAGGGGACCTGCCACCAAAATTTCATACCCATTTTTATCATTTTTTCATAATCCTTGATGTCCTCTGATCATGTTTGCAACATAATTTTAGCTGAAAAGTTATTTGATGGTTTGTTTTAGTATGCCTAAAAAACGTGAAGCCTGCTGTGCTCTGATTGGCTCAGCAGTGGAGGTTCGGATTTCGGTTTATCCATTGTTATTATGCTAATGCTAATAGCATATGCTAATGTGTGCTAAAGTAAGGTGCCCAGATGTCTGTAATGATATTCGATGCGGCGGTGCAGGGGCTGCGTGATCACAGACAAAGTCTCGGTACTATTTAGTAGCAGCACATGCCCCTTGTAATAACCCCCGTAAGAACTGTTGTTCAGGACTGCTAACTTGTGCTTCCTACCTATTTGGCTACTGTAATAACCGTTGTTCGAGCCCACATGCAACATTTTTGCTCTCATTCATGAAACGCTTAAATCTGAGACATTTTCGGGGACAGCTTTTCCCAGGGATAGGTCATCCAATACGGAGACTGTAACCACAAAAAAGACTTTTCAGAAAATGGCAATGCACTAGCCAGTCTAACAGATTGAGAGCCACCGGTGTCCCTCAAAATGCGTACTGGGCACTGATCAGCAGTCTTACCTGTCAGAGATACATACCCGTCGAAAATGAATGGCTCAAAACATGGATATGGGCAAACAGAAGAAACAGCATTAGATTCTACACGTCTCAGATTTAATGAACCCAACGCCTTTAGGGGGCAATCCGTTACCATTCTGTTTTTTCCTGTTTAAGGAGGGGCAGTTTTCAATGAGGTGTCCAGTTTTATGACAATAGTTACAACTTTTTTCATCTCTTCTTTGGAACACTCTGGCTTGTCCACTCTGTGGTGCCGGAGCACGAGGCTTTTCATAAGCAGACAGGAACACAGGTTTGTGGGTTAGCACAAATTCGTCAGCCAGTACATAAGCTGCAGAGAGAGATGAAACTTTGTGTTCATTTAGATACACAACAATGCGCTCTGGCAGACATTTCTTAAATTCTTCCAGAAGTACTAGTTCATGGAGTGAACTGAAATCAGCAGCTTTACTAGCATTGCACCATTTATCGAAGAGGGTTCCTTTTTCCCTTGCGAACTCAACATACGTCTGTTCAGGGCCCCTTGTGTGGTTCCGAAATCTTTGCTTGTAAGCTTCAGGGACTAATTCATAGGCACGTAAAATAGACATCTTCACATTTTCATAGTTTCAGCTCTCCGCTAAAGGTAGAGCAGCTACAGCTTCTTGTGCTTTACCGTGGATCTTACATCGAAGAAGTAGTGGCCACACATCATAAGGCCACTGAAGTGCAGTCGCAATGTGTTCAAATGCCAGGAAATAGCTGTCAACTTCAGAGTCTCTGAATGGTGGAACAAGAGAAATATGCTTACCAATGTCAAAGGACTCTAAGGTAGAGCTGGTGGAAGGAGGTGAAATTCTTGCATCTGCAGATGCATCCAGTGCCGGAGTTGCTTTCAGCTGAGCTTCTAGCTTCAGCTGACGTAGTCGGACTGCTTTATCGGCCTCGATCTCCATTTCCCGGATCTCGAGCCTCAGCTTTGCTTGCCGGCTCTCGGCTTTCTCCTGGGCCTCCATCTGGAGTCGTGCCAGCCTGACTTTCAGTCTGGCCTCACCCAGAGAATCAGTGCTGAATGAGGAGGGAGGATCGTAGCGAGGCAAGATAAAGGGAGTTTTGGGCTGAGCACACACTTCACTGAACTAACCTTTGTGCAGGGTAATCAGCCGCAGCCTCAGACCCAGGTGCGCACACAGGTGACTCAGGGAGCACCGGCAAAACAATTAAACCTAATTCCACCAACTTACCTATGACTAGAGATTTTAATTCTTTTTTCAGGATTGATTTGGCAAACAGGACATTGAAGTGCACAGCTATCTTGACCAAATTATCCTTTCTGCACTTATTAATCTGATCAAGCGACGGATTTACCAAGAAGCTGTCAAGATCAAAAGATGCCATTTTACCTACCTAAGCACACACACAATAATCTTACCTTTATTAACAATAACTTTTCGAAATTCCGGGTCTCCTTTAACAGATTAAGATCCCGGACGAGCCCCCATTTATGTTACTACCAGCTCGTTAGAGGAGAAGGGAAGCAACATAAAAACAACCAGATGTTAAGTGATCAATTCAAGTTATTTATTAACAAAAGCTAAAATTGGCAATAACAAAAAAAGAGAGGCAGCAAAGGCCTTAAAGGAGATTTAACAGGTTGCCAAAAACACAAGAAGACTCTAACCTAGAGTTAATTTCACAGCAAAGTAAAAGATCTGCTCACATAGGGCAAGAAAAGAAATAAAATACGACAACTCAGCTCTAGTGCTGAGTACAAAAGGAAAGAAGCTAGGCATGTGCAAAAATAATATGCCTCACAAAGCTACGAAAGTCCCAAATCACAAAGACGCTAAGTCTGAGAAACAGGCATGGGAGCTCCACTGGTTACAGCGTGCTCCCTGATCTGCAGGTCTGCTGGCGTTTTATCCACTCCTCTAAGTGGCTCCAGGGAAGACCCAAGATTTGCCACACTAAGGCGGCGGCCGTAATAGTAAGGTCTAAGGTTTTTGGCAAAATCACTGTCCAAGACCTTTCTAGGACCATGTTTCAGACCTTTTGGAGTTAGTTAGTCCAGAAAAAAAACGAAAAATGAAAAAAAAAAGGTTTGGGGTGTTAGGGCTTCCTTAAGATAATAACCGGGTATTGTGTTACGGGGCTAGGGTAAGGTTTAAGGTTTTTGGGGATAGGGTTAAAATCACTGTCCAAGACCTTTTTAGGAACATGTTTCAGACTTTTTGGAGTTAGTTAGTCCAAATAAAAAAAATGAAAAATGAAAAAAATAATAATTGGGGTGTTAGGGCTTCCTTTAGATAATACCTGTGTATTGGATTACGGGGCTAGGGTAAGGTTTAAGATTTTGGGCGTTAGGGTTAAAATCACTGTCCAACACCTTTTTAGGAACATGTTTTAGACCTTTTAGATTAAGTTAGACCAAAAAAAAGAGAAATAGAAAAAAAAAATTTTGTGGTGTAAGGGCTTCCTGTAGGTAATACCCAGGTATTGGGTTACAGGGCTAGGGAAAGGTTGAAGGTTTTTGGTATTAGGGTCAGTACCACTGTCCAAAACCTTATTGGGAACTTTTTTCCAAACCTTTTGAGTTACTTAGAACAAAAAAAACGAAAAAAAAGAAAAATGAAAAAAAATAATAATTTGGGGTGTTAGGGCTTCCTTTAGGTAGTACCCGGGTATTGGGTTAAGGGGTTAGGGTAAGGTTTAAGGTTTTTTGGGTTAGGGTTAAAATCACTGTCCAAGACCTTTTTAGGAACATTTTTCAAAACTTTGAAGTTAGTTAGACCAAAAAAAAAAAATGAAAAGAAAAAAATGTCTTTGGGTGTTAGGGCTTCCTTTAGGTACTACCGGGGTATTGGGTTACGGGGCTAGAGTAAGGTTAAAGGTTTTTGGGGTTAGGGTTAAAGTCATTGTCCAAGACCTTTTTAGGAACATGTTTCAAACCTTTTGGAGTAAATTAGACCAAAAAACCCGAAAAATCAAAAAAAAAAAAAATGTTTGGGGTGTTAGGGCTTTCTTTAGGCACTACCCGGGTATTAGGTTACACGGCTAGGGTAAGGTGTAAGGTTTTTGGGGTTAGGGTTAAAATCACTGTCCAAAACCTTTTTAGGAACATGTTTCAGACCTTTTGGAGTTAATGTAGTGATTTGAATTTATAATAAATGTCTGGAGATTAATAATCTCAAGTTATGACATTTATGCACTCGTTGAAAGGGGCACCACCCACCCGTAATGGTGGGAAAATAAAGAAAACTAAAGTTTAATTCAGAAATCAAACATCAAGTCAATCATTAATTAATCAATCTCATATCTTAAGCCGAAATTCTCATTTCAGGGACTCCACTTCTAGAAAAACACTAACAGACAAGAACTTTGAAAAATAATGATCTGTTTATTACAGGATAAATGATGGTACAACATACATGCAATAAATGATGATAAGATAATGAGGATAAATAAAAATAGGTGAATAAATAAAGATTCTGAGTCAGGCTAGGAGCACTAAAATTAATGATAGTGAGTGAATATGCTCTAACATATTAACCTACACTAACTTTGGTGTCGAGATAAACTCTGATGTGGATTTGGAGGAATCTAAGATTACCAGAATAAGTGGATATCTGAGTTATGAATGCATGAGACAGCATCAGCCCTGTTTGGAGCTCTGGAGGTTTGCATACTTAAGTGAGACTGGTCCTTGGAGAAGATGGAACAGGTTCCGAAGGTCCGGGGCTACCGGCGGTTCGAGCGTTTCAGCTCAGAAGACGACTGAAGTCAGCCGAAGAATGGGCCAGGAGTTGTAGCACTCGGGCCTGAAGTAAAGCCGGCGCCTGTGGATGCTCGTTTGGATGCTTCTTTGGTCTCACTCAAAAACTCTGGCACAGAGGATGACCTGGGCTTGCTGGGTTGCGTTCAGAGGTGACTTAGAAATCACGCAGATAACTCAGAAAAATGAGGTTTGATGAGCAGAGATAATTTTCAAAAATGGCTTCGCGAAATTAAAGAAAATTCAATCAAAGGCTTAATCTTGAATTGCTATGCGCACAAAAAGTTGAAGTTTCAAAACTTGAACTAAGACGATGTTAAAGAAAAATCAATGTGAATCAACACATGGTGTAAAACTTAGAAGACTAAGGAAAAGTTCTAAGAGAAAACAAAGAAGAGGACCACAGAAGGGTGTGGACAGAAGAGCGAAAAGGGGAGAAGAGGGAGAAGAGCGCGGCACAAGAGAGTGAGCAACCCCACTCCACTGGTTTTATCTTCTCACACTGGGAGTGTCTCTGGCGTGTGTGTGAGGAGAAAGAGGAGGGGGTCATGTGGTCTCCAAGCAAAGGAGACCTCGGATCTCTGATTATTTGATCTCACTTATACTTTTGGCTGGTAAAAGAGTCAGATCTGATACTCACTCACTATGATTAATATCATTGAATGCTTGGTTTCATGATAAATAATTTGATACTAAACACATATGAATGAAATGTAGGATCACATCAAACATTCTCATTATGTTTTAAGTATCACATTGAACATGCCAAATTATTCTGAAATGAAACAGATAGTACACACAGAAACTGTGAACAACAAAAGAGTAAACACAAGTGAATGAACTTCACCATGATTAGTAATGGATTCTAAATACTCACATTCAGATTATTCAATGACATTATAACCACCTAATGGTTAAAATACGAAATAAACAACTAAAATATGAACCAAACATTTCTAAACAATTTCTGTTACTTAGAGTAAGGTTATGATTCATAGTCAATAAATTTAACTCTTAAAAGTTCATGAAACAGTCTGAAAAGCTGTTGGTCTAAAGAAACTAAAGAATAAAGGATTTATTCTGTCGGAGTGATAACTTGGCTTCTGGAGCACATAGAAAAACGGGAAACCGCATTTTAACACAAATTTCATTATTAGACGGATTAGTACATTGCTGAATGCATAAGATGTCATGATCAGTCATTTGTATTCTTTCACCAAAGGAATGCAGTTTTTATCAGTACATGGTTGAGCAGGGTTTTACGACCGAGGTCTGGAGGTCAGTGTCCCCCCTTATCTTGGGGTCCGTATGTTCACACACTTTAAGACGGTAAATCTCAAATGGGAGATCTGGGTTGAGGTGTTATTATTCATTTAGATGGTCAGCAATGGAGTCAGTTTGAAAGGTAATAAAACTCTGTCTCTGTTCTCCGAATTGACCAATCGTGAAGAGTCAGAGGTTTGGTCAAACTCCGGTCGGGTCAGTTAGGTAACCTGAAAGTGCAAACAAGTCTGGAAAGATTTATATCCTGTGTCCTGGGACCAGATAGGAAAACTTTCCTGCGAGGAATGTGTGAATTTCACATACAGGGTTGTTTTGATTGCTACATTAATAAGACCAAAAAAAAATTGTCAAAAAACTTTTTTGGGGTGTTAGGTCTTCCTTTCGTTAATACCCAGGGTATTGGGTTTCGGGGGTAGGGTAAGGTTTAAGGTTTTCAGTGTTAGGGTTAAAATCACTGTCCAAGACTCTTTTAGGAACATGTTTCATACCTTTTGGAGTTAGTTAGACCAAAAAAACCTGAAAAATGTCAATAATTTTTTTTTTCTGTGATAGGGCTTCCTTTAGGTTTCCTCATAGGTTTAAGGTTTCTTGGGTTTAGGGTCAGAATCACTGTCCAAAACCTTTTTAGGAAATTTTTTCCAACCTTTTGGAGTTAGATAGACTAGAAAAAAAGACGTAAAATGAAAAAAAATGTTTGGGGTGTTAGGGCTTCCTTTAGGTAATACCCGGGTATTGGGCTAGGGTAAGGTTTAAGGTTTTTGGGGTTAGGGTTAAGATCACTATCCAAAACCTTTATAGGAACATGTTTCCAACCTTTTGGAGATAGTTAGACAGAAAAAAAGGAAAAATGAAAAAAATAATTTTGGGTTGTTAGGTCTTCCTTTAGGTAACGCCCTAGTACTGGGTTACGGGGCTAGGGTCAGGTTTAAGGTTTTTGGGGTTAGGGTTAAAATCACTGTCCAAGACTTTTTTAGGAACATGTTTCAAACCTTTTTGAGTTAGTTAGACCAAAAAAAATGAAAAATAGAAAAAAGTTTGGGGTGTAAGGGCTTCATTTAGATAATATCCGGGTATTGGGATACGGGGCTAGGGTAAGGTTTAAGGTTTTTGGTGTTAGGGTTAAAATCACTGTCCAAGACTCTTTTAGGAACATGTTTCATACCTCTTGGAGTTAGTAAGACCAAAAAAAAAACGGAAAAAAAAATGTTTCGGGTGTTAGGGCTTCCTTTAGATAATACCCGGGTATTGTACTATGGGGCCAGGGTAAGATTTAAGGTTTTTGGCGTTAGGGTTAATATCACTGTCAAAAAACCTTTGAGGAACATGTTTCAAACCTTTTGTACTTCATTAGAACAAAAAAAAAAAAAAAAATGTTTAAAAGTATTTGGGGGTGTAAGGGCTTCCTCCAGGTAATTCCAGGGTATTGGGTTACGGGGTGTTGTGGAAAATCCAGCATAAATAATGCACAGGAGACAGGATGATATCTGAAGAACAGCCTGGGCCTCTTTTATTGTACAGATGTAGAAATCAGTACAGATGACAAACAGTCTTGAACAAGACTGAAGGAAACCTCCTTAGCTTTTCTTCTACTCCCGTTTATGCTGTTAGGTGTGTGTGTGTGTGTGTGTTTATTCTGTCATCATGGGTATGTCATACTGTTCTGACCCTCAACTCTTTGTTTAGACTAGTCTTAACTCTCACAGAGATTAAATGTTCCAACAGACAGATAGTTCGGGCTCCTGCAAGACAGCCTTGCTTGCAACCTCACGGTCATTATTTGTAGCTCCTTACTAAAAGACAATTACTCTATATTTCTTAACCTAAATGTATGAAGAGATTCTCTTACACAGTCCCCCCTTTGAAAGTTCTTCCTTTCATAAAACCCTGATCATCATATCAAACACTTAACATCCTTAAGTGATTAAAATAAAACATGTTCAATAAATTCTAAATGCTATGTGTGTGATTTGCTGCATCTAAGACTTAATAATATATGGCATGAAACAAAAATCAAAATGCATTAACCAGTTAAATGAATTATGCAACCTTATAGAATCGTGACATAATTCCTCCAATTATGCAAAAGTTATAAAATTGTGATATCAATTCTCAAGAATTGTAAGAATCAATGTTCATTGGGTTGAATAATGTCTTACTTCGATGTTCAATTTCTCCACCATCATACCATAACTAGGATCATTTCAAATTATATCCGCGCATAAGACTGAAAACCCTGCCAGGCTGTTTCAGCAGGGAAAGAATCTTACGGCCCCGCGCCCTGGCGACCATCCATTTCCTGGATGCGCTGACATAATTTCATTTGCATAGAAAAAGTGTCAACTTCTGATAATACCATTACATTACATTGTAGCAACCTGCGACAAACCCCTTGATTAGTATGTGATTAACTCCAGGATCAATGTGTGATTAGTGTAGTCCTTTAACTCTGCGAATGAAACATGTTCAGTTCATTATCCTAGCTCACTGGATATGTTGTTTGTGTTGCTTAAAGTCCATTGCTCATCATCGTCTCCTTCAAAGTCCAGGAACCGTTCAGGTCCCTCAGTCCCTCCTTGATTAATCACACACTGTGCCAGCTGTTTTGGTGGCATCCCCTGTAGTTCATGGGCCAGTGTTAGGTCCACCATAAGTCCCATCTCCTCCGTCAGCTTCCAACATTGTCTCCAAAGGATGTGTACGATGCAACATGTGAGAAAGGAAATCAGAATTAGAGCTATCACAGCACTCATGGCTGGGCCAAAACGGCTGTCATTCATCTAAAATTTGGACCAACCAGTCCATCAACAGGCCCCCCTTACCAGCATTCTCCCGCATTTCCACTTTTAGCTTTTCTATACAAGGGGCTTGTTTTGTTAGAAATTTATCTGCAACATTACTTTCCAAATCTTGAACACACTCTTTTCTCTTCAAATGCCCAATTTAATGCTGTCTGTACTGTCACGTTAGTGGACTTGTTACATGTAAATATCCTTTAATCTAAACATCTTCACTGAATAATTAACAAATCAAATAAAACAATAATTTCTTTCACATAAATGCTTAACTTTAGGTTAAAAAAAATATTTAAAAAACAGTTCTTCTCTTATTTGTCACAATCTGGCAAAAATCTCTTCCCCATTTACCACCTCCAGTTGTTATTTTATTTTCACATGACTTTTAAACATTCTCTTTACTTCCTATGTGATAAATTTATCTGTAACCTTTCCTTCAATATATCAGATCTACTTAATGTGTAGCACTCTCTTTCTTCATTTTCTTATGTACTTGTTTCCGATTATCTGTAAAAAAAAAAATCTTTTTAATTTTATTTATCTGATTTCCTTAACCTAATTGTAAATCTGTAATAATCTGTGAATGTTGGCATGGGTTCTAGCACTGTCTGGAGTGGTGTGGATTGTGTTTGGGTTGCATCGTACTCACCCGCGATGACAATGTCTCTGACTTCTTCTCACAGCTGTACTGGCACCAGTTTGACCTTCACCTTTCTTCATTGTCTCTAGTCTCTCTCTCAGTCTCTCTCCACATATTGTCCCTCAGCAGCAACACCAGGAAAACAGTTACTTTCAGGACGAGTTGCACAGTCATTTTGGTAGTGTCTCTTATCAAGTCATACTTCCTTGTTTTTCTGGGCAGTCAGCGGTAGATGACGCCACATCATATTGCCCTCTTCCTGCACTGAAGTAAGATGTCACCAGGACCACAGTGTTCAGGTCTTCTCCTCGTTCTTTGTGCCACTCTCCTCAAAGGACGTTGATGTACACCTGGTCGTCTGGCTCGACTGGCCTCCACCTCTTGACTGGGATCAGATTTAGGCATTCCTCCTGCTAATCGATAGATCTTTGCATCGTAGTTAGCTGCCTCATATATTTAATTCACTTAAATTTTTCAGCTGCTCAAGCGAAAAACTTAATTATTTAGCCGCAGTAAAGCATAGCTTTGTAAGTTAGCAATTCATGCAGTGAAAGATTCATCACAGTGCTTTTGATTGTGAAAGCTTATAAGCGCAAGTAACAAAGCATCTTCCTATAGGTTATTGTTAGTGCAAATTTTCTGATCAAATATTTACTTAAGGGATTAACTTTCTTCCCCAAAATGATGTACCAAATCATGCAGTGACAGATTTATTTTGACTCCAAGATCTCTTGATGGTGTTGCTTCTATCCATCGACTGAACCCGCCATCATTACCAACATACATTTTCCTTGGCAGTTTTAATCATGTCCACATTGTCTATAATTGGATGTCTAAAAGCGTCCCTCTGGAACTGGAAAAGTGTCCCACTAATGTTTTATTGGTCTTGTCTTTAATTGTCTCATTATCTCCCCCCTTACACAGTGTGAATCACTGTTTGTTAATACTACTGGTACCAAAATAGTTATTTAACTATTAAACATTTTCTGTGGCCTTATTGGCCTCTGATAGCTTCCCAATACTTGTACATTAGATGATGAGTGTATGCGGATTCAGCACAGCCGTATTTGGATTTATCAGTATTGAAATAACAGAATAGAAATGTTACACCCTAGATCTCAATTAGCACTGCGGTTTTTAGCAGGCCCCTCAGTTAAACTCTGCTTCCCTCCTTAGCTGCTCGCTTTAGAGGATATTTTACTCAATATGACAGTCAAACATCAGCCTCAGGTCCAGTTACACTGGACTTAAGGACACACCATAATGTTTTCATCCAACCTCTGCTCAGTACATCTTACTATATGATGGGGCAAAACATCTTTCAATAACACCTGGACATTTGGGATTTAAACCTTAATATATACTTTATTATAGCAATATGACCCAGCTAATATACCTTTGCATATTCGGTCAAGATATTTACTTAAAAACTATAAACCATAACCGTCTATGTACACACCTTGCAGTGAGCACCAAATTTGGATGTTACTTCTACATAGGGCTTTTTGGTCTATAAGGTCAACAGGGGTTAAAATTAAAACTAACGATTAACTCTTTCCATCATCCACAGAAATCACACTGTAGTAAGCCACCACTTTCACATTGTCTGGGCTGGGGCCCCCCACCACATCTCCAGCCAGAGGCATCCCTGGTCTGGGCAGTTGTCAAAAATGTTCGGTATAATCACATCCCCAGCAGGCCTTTAGATGTCACACATCTGTCAGAATTCCACTCTCTCCCCCTGCCGGGATATATCATCTCTATGGAGCAGGGTTCTGTCTGAGGATAAACATCATTTAATCAACATATGATTAAACAGGTTGCTGTAGCAGGTTTTACTGCAGTTAGCGTCTGCACGGTCTGCATCGCTGGGTCTCTTTTGCAGTGTTCTCCTTAGAGGTGGCCACCATTGCGGCCTGAGTCTGTATTTTGTTTCTGCTTCGCAGGTCTCCCAGCTGTAGCTGTATCAACTTCCACTGAATGTTCTTTTCCTGTTCTTTCAGTCTCCACTCTTCATTTGGCAGCACCCTTCACATCACATCACAATATGCATTGACTCACTCGCATCTATCATGGGATTCGTCATCCCACCTTGTTTTGCCTTGTCCAGAAACTCCTCCATCGTCTTGGTTCCCAGCAGTTGAGCCAAGTGAGCTTTCATTTTCTGGTGTAGTCAACATTCTCCCTACAGTTCATCCTCAAAAACCGATATCCACCTGTTCAGTTTGTGGTAGTCTGGCAATCAGCCCAACAAGGTGTATGGTTTTCCACGGCACATAGCTAGCCTGTGTGCCATTTTTAAGACTGAAAACATACTATCAGAGTATCTTCAGGTGAACATGATCTAGGCCAGGGGTGTCAAACTCAACCACAGCAAGGGCCATAATCTGGATTTAGGTCTAACCTCAGGGCCAAAGAGGGTCAACATTTCACCAAAACTGTTCAATTTCCTTTTCAAAGCGTATGGGACAAAAATAGCAATGATTATGAATCATTTAGAAATTCAAAAGAGATAAATAAATAAAAAATAATAATAAATTTAAAGGCAACCTAAGATAGAAAATTTTTGTTTTTTATTCTATTCTTATCAGTTCAAAAGATCAGAGCATGATATTAAAAACAGAAAAATAATGCATTGAAAGAGCAAATACACAAGAAGAACGTTGAAATCAGGTTCAAAAGGTCAAAATATGACTTAAAATTTAAAACTGGAATCTAAAGTATAAAAATGACACAAATCTAAATACTGAGTTGAACGAAATCAAAGCACGAAATGAAAATTCAATCATGTTTGACTTGTAATCTTGAGATGCAAAATTGAAAACATGAAATTAAACACCAAATATAGATTTTTTAACATTCTTGACCACTTATCAAATCTTCCTTACTCTTTAATTTCCCAGATTTTCCTGGCTTATTAAGGACATTTTAAATAGAGGTGCTGAAGTTTACATTATTATACAGGAAGAAATCACATAATATTTGCAGACTTCATACTGGTGGGCCAATAATAATACAAATATGATATGATTTTATGGGCCAGATATAATTATTCCATGGACCAGATTTGGCCCCCAGGCCTTGAGCCCGACACCTGTGATCTGGCCTTTATCTAAGATCATATTTTGTGCAGGGTCACATGATATTTGCGGGCCCTGCTTCTTACCTAAGCTGAGAAGTATTTGTGCTACTACTACTTGTACTATTGGGTGACACAGTTGACATGGCAAGTCTATGTTATTGTTACCCAGATTAAACCAATATGACTGTTCAGCATTATCAGCATTATCATTCACATAACAATAACCTATGATCATTACTTCGGGGAATCAGGCAAAGGTTTGTAGTGGGCTTTGTCTCCCTCAGCAAACTCAAAATCACTTATTATATTAACTTTCCCTAACAGAGAAGGATAATTTCCTCCATGTTCTGATACTAGATTTGGCTGCAGAATCTCATTTCTGTTTTACCTATTTTCCATGTTTGTGACTTTCTTTTCTCCACCTTCTCCTTATTGCTTTCTAGCTCTGTAAACCCAATCTTTAATTTATTCATAAAACAGTGTTGGCCTTCATTTTAGCACATGACCAGTACTTTTAGTTCCAAATCTCTTGTTTTTGTTTCTCTTGTTTACTTTTATCTTTGTGTTAATGGTCTTTAATTTGCTGTTTCAAATCCTCACACACAGTCACATCAGATGTGCCTCCTCTAGGTCATAAAATTCTAACCCCTTGGGCTCTATATTCGTGCCTCGCGGGAGAGGTGCCGCAGGCGCGGCATGAGTCAGGTCTGCCGCGCCGACAAGGCGTTCCCAAGCACATTTTGGTATTTTGGTGAGCAGCGCAGCCCGGCGTAAGTATCCCCCCTCCCTAACTCAGCTCCTCCCAGCGGCATAAGTCGTAGCGAGGGAGGAGAAAGGGTGTGGAGTGGGTTTAACACAGCCGAGACCTGTTTTCACCAATCACATAAGCTCCTCTCCTTGCCTTTAAATCCGCCACAGGCGAGGCGTATTACTTTTTTCGTGAAGTAGTCAAAGAGATCAAGAGATGTCTGAAGACAGTAATGTCACACGATGGCGACAGATGGTAGCTCCTCAACAAGTGTCGCTTTAAGCGCTGCATTGGGCGTCCTCCACACTCTCTCATATGAGCACAGATGGATTACGTGTGTGTAATGTTGGACCCACTGGTAAGACAAACACCCTTTTCCACAAATAAAGACACTCACATAAAGTTGCATATATCCAAACCTCACGTGACAAAGGTGGGTTGTGCGCACAGATCACAACATAAACTCCAAAAATGGCATTAAAATCGGAACCATCTGTGTGTAAATGACGCATCGTGCTCCGTGGCCTGGCTCTATCTTACATAGACGTTGGCATATAAAATAAATTTGCCTCAAAAAACTGAATATAATATCCGTATGTCGGCTTACAGTAGATAACTTATCTGAGCACTGAAACAAATCATCTGTTCAGCCGCTGCAGGACGGAGAGAGGACACGGAGATGTGTCCAGGTCGAGCTGTGCGAGAAATAAGAGGAAGAGGAAGAAAGAAAAGGAGGGAGATGAATTACATATCTAGTTAACTTGATCATGTGTGTTTATTTACTAGATATTTAATTTAATTTGATGCGGTTTCAGCTGTGTTGATTTGGTCAGGTTGTGTGTCCAAAAACGTGCCAAACACGCTCATCAGATCACATATAGATCAGAATATATCTATATAGATCTAAATGTATGTGCTGACTCAGATTATTAGTTGTTGATGATTATTTATTGTACTGAAATGTGCCTGACACTGTGGAAACCTGCCAGTGAGGCATGTGTGACGTATGCCGATACGCCGCCGGTCTACCAAAATACTACTAGACCAGCTGCGCTCCGCCTGCGCTGAAAGCTGGCCAGGTTTGAATCGGCGAGCTTTCAGCACACTTTACACGCCACTGGCGAGCACGAAAATGTCACTGCGCCCGCTGATTCTGTCGACAACTCCCCCTGCCACACCACCACGCCCAGCTTGGCGTATCATGCGCCTCAGGCCACGAAAATACCAAACTGGCTGTACGTTGGGCTACGCCAGACAAAAATACAACTGCGCGGGGTCCGCCACCCTCCGTCGCCTCACCGGCGTACACGAAAATAGAGCCCCTTGACTCAATGTCCCCATTTTATTGTAAGTTTTTGGATATCATTTAAGTGTTCAGGATCTTTACACCCTACCAATGCAATTGGAGTTAAACTAATCTTCCCTTTCTGATCATGGTTTTTGTAGAACTTATTATTTCTATTGCATTGCTTTGTTCTAAAAACTTAGATCAGCAATGTTCCTGTAAACCTTTTTGTTTTATTTCTGGCTATGTTTTTATTTTTGGAAAGAAATCAATTATTATTATCATTATTGTTGATTTTAATTCTTAATTTCGTGTTGATATGTTCACACCCTTCTCAGTCCCTTTTCACAACTTTAACAACTTTCAGTTACCCTTTTCACACTTCAACACTTTCAGTTACCCTTTGTCTGATCTCTAATCCAGAACACACAGTCACCCATTGCCACAGATAAAAGGAAAAAAAGAATAAAACAGACCCGACACAAAGTTAGGATCTTTCTTTGTATGTCGCACCATTTTTCCCAGCTTGCCTTGCTTAAAACTATGTCACAATCAAAGCCACAATACTCTCACTGTCAGTCTTTTACACATTCACTACTCAAACAGCACACTGCCACACCCTACTTCAATCTTAACTTGTGTAACTATTCAACACTTCAATGCTTCTTCAAATTAACACACACATTAAAACTTGATCCCCAGCGGTTTTGTAAGATTCTCCAAAAATACACAGTGTAAAGCTTTTGCATTAACTGAAGTCTCACAGCAATCATTATTATCATTATAATCATTAGCAGTCATTATTGGTATTAACAGCTTCAATAATATTTAAAAAAAACAGTATTTTGGCAGAAACAGCAGATGTATAGAAGCAACCCCTAGATTTGAAGTTTTAGAAGTTTTGCACTCGTGGTACCTCATTTCTTTTTTCCCCTTTTTGTATCTTTTATACTTTCATAAACATTATTTCAGCAGCTTTAACACAGAAAATTTGTTAAGGAGCATAAGACGTGTTAACAACAAAAAACCATCATAATATTCAAGCACAAGCTAAAACCTTCATATCAGGAGTGTTCATCATGAAACTAGGAACAGAACCTCTTTCCCAGGAGTATTTAACCTTTTATGTCTCAACTGATAGCATGTCCACAGTGAGCACAGTATTCACATAAACAACTATGAAATAAACACAAGTGAGGAAAACACAGCAATCTTTGAATACACACACACAGATGCAGAGTCTGGCTGTGAACACTGCCAGAGAAATTAGTTGACACAGAGCAAGGCAGACACACACAAACATCCAATCAACCCACGCACTTCACTTTTTCATCACACAATGTTATGCCCTTTCACACGCGTTTAAAGTCAAAGTCAGTCACTGGGGTCAGTCAGTAGTCTTCACCTTCTTTACTCTTACTTTAAACTCATTTTAAGTGTTTTGTACTTTTTTAACATTCCTACAATTCCTGTGTTGAGGGTCAGTCCTCAGTTTTTATTCTTGATTCTTGTTTTGATTTTTCCAATTTGTGTGATTTTTTTTTTCAATTTGTGTGATTCTTCTACAATTGGTCAAGAGATTTTGACTTCTTTTACTATCTCCTGCTCATCAAGCCAATCTGTATCTATAATTTAAGTCCAATTATAACACTGATTTTGTGAGGCCTTTGATATATAAAAGAGATATATATATGTACATTTCAAATATGTACTATTCCTTCATTATACTTATTCGGCCCTCTAGAGTCTGGATCAGAATTTCTGAGGAAGTATGCCACTTTTGTTCTCCTTTTGGCTGTTTCTTAAGCCTCAGCGGAACTCCACATGACAAATCCTCCTTTCTAGTGGAGTTTTCTAGAAAGAAAATCCACGTATGTATTAATAGATGAATCTGCTCGTCCGTCGGCTACCACCTTTCAGAGCTCATAAAAGAATGACCTAAAACTCACAATTCAACAATGGACAGACACACTCGTGCCTGCCGCTTCCCTTGTTATCTCAACAATTATCCAGATCCTCTTATCACTAGGCATTCAGCCTAAAAAACACATCACAACCCGGGCCAGGCTGTCTGCAGACCGGTGTCCACCCAACTACTGGCCTATGCTCCTTCGCACCCAGTCTGGAAAACTTCTAATACACCGGTCTCTCCCTAAACTACTGGCCTATGCCGCTTAGCACCCAGTCTATTAGCTCCACACAGCTACTGGCCTTATGCCGCTTAGCACCCAGTCTACTAGTTCCACACAACTACTGGCCTTGTGCCACTTAGCACCCAGTCTAACTTGCTCCACACAACTACTGGCCTTGTGCCGCTTTGCACCCAGTCTGGCTAGTTCCACAAACTACTGGCCTTGTGCTGCTCCGCACCCAGTCTAACTAGTTCCACACAACTACTGGCCTTGTGCTGCTCCGCATCCAGTCTAGCTAATTCCACACAACTACTGGCCTTGTGCCTCTCTGCACCCAGTCTACTAGCTTCACATATAACGGTCTCACACATATAACAGCGTGAGGCGGTCTCACACAACCAACTGCAGTTTCCCCTATATTCAGCTGATATATATCCAATTTAAATTGGCTTCCTTTGTTAGGAAGGTTTCCTTCCCCAAATTCAGCACACTTTGATCAGCTGACTGCATGCATGCAGTTTTCTCAGACTGTCTTCATTCCCACTGTCTCCTCTTATTTCTATTTTAGGTTCTTTGATTGGAAGAGGACAGAGAGCCTTAAGCCTAAAATCACTGTCCAAGACCTTTTTAGGAACATGTTTCAGACGTTTTTTGAGTTAATTAGAGCAAAAAGAATGAAAAATGTCAAAAAAAATGTTTGGGGTTGTTAGGGCTTTTGAGTAAGAACCGGGTATTGGGTAACGGGGCTACGGTTCGGTTTAGGGTTTTGGGATTAGGGTTAAATCACTGTCCAACACCTTTTTAGGAACATGTTTCAGACCTTTTGGAGTTAGTTAGAAAGCAAAAAATTAAAAATTAAAAAAAATGTTTGGGGTGTTAGGGTTTCCTTTAGGTAATACCTGGGTATTGGGTTATGGGACTAGGGTAAGGTTTAGGGTTTTGGGATTAGGGTTAAATCACTGTCCAACACCTTTTTAGGAACATGTTTCAGACCTTTTGGAGTTAGTTAGACCAAAAAAGACTTAAAAATGTCAAAAAAAAAAAATTGGGGTGTTAGGGCTTCCTGTAGATAATACCAGGGTATTGGGTTACAGGGCTAGGGTTACGTTTAGGGTTTTAGGATTAGGGTTAAAATCATTGTCCAAGACCTTTGTAGGAACATGCTTCAAACCTTTTGGTGTTAATTAGACCAAAAAAAAAAAGAAAAAAAAATGTTTGGGGTGTTAGGGCTCCGTTTAGGTAATACCCGGGTATCAGGTTACAGGGCTAGGGAAAGGTTTAAGGTTTTTGGGGCTAGGGTTAAAGTCACTGTCCAAAACCTTTTTAGGAACATGTTTCAGATCTTTTGGAGTTAATTAGACCAAAAAAAAAGAAAAATGTCCCAAAAAAATTTGGGGGTTGTTAGGGCTTTCTTTAGGTAATACCTGGGTATTGGGTTAGGAGGCTAAGGTTAGGGTTAGGGTGTTCGGTTAAGCCTTAATATCACTGTCCAAGACCTTTTTAGGAACATATTTCGGACCTTTTGGAGTTAGACAAAAAAAAAAAAACGAAAAATGAAAGAAAAATATTTGGGGTGTTAGGGTTTCCTTTAGGTAATACCCGGGTATTGGGTTACAGGGCTAGGGTTACGTTTAGGGTTTTGGGATTAGGCTTAAAATCACTGTCCAAGACCTTTTTAGGAACATGTTTCAGACCTTTTGGAGTTAATTAGACCAAAAAAATTGAAAAATATCATCAAAAATTTTGGGGTTGTTAGGGCTTTCTTTAGGTAAGACCCGAGTATTGGGTTATGGGGCTAGTGTTCGGTTTAGGGTTTTGGGATTAGGGTTAAAATCACTGGCAAAGACCTTTTTAGGAAGATGTTTCAGACTTTTTGGAGTGAATTAGACCATAAACAAAGCAAAAATGAAAAAAATAATGTTTGGGGTGTTAGGGCTTCCTCAAGGTAAGACCCAGGCATTGGATTATGGGGCTAGGGTATGGTTTAGGGTTTTTGGGGTTAAGCTTAAAATCACTGTCCAAGACCTTTTCAGGAAGATGTTTCAGACCTTTTGGAGTTAATTAGACCAAAAAAAATGAAAAATGTCAAAAAAAGAATTTGGGGTTGTTAGGGCTTTCTTTAGCTAAGACCTGGGTTGTGGGTTACAGGGCCAGGGTTGGGTGTAGGGTTTTGGGATTAGGGTTAATATCACTGTCCAACCTTTTTAGGAACATGTTTAAGACCTTTTGGAGTTAGTTAGAAAACAAAAAAATTAAAAATTAAAAAACAAGTTTGGGGTGTTAGGGCTTCCTTTAGGTAATACCTGGGTATTGGGTTACCGGGCTAGGGTAAGGTTTAAGGTTTTTGGGGTTAAGCTTAAAATCACTGTCCAAGACCTTTTTAGGAACATGTTTCAGACGTTTTTGAGTTAATTAGAGCAAAAAGAATGAAAAATGTCAAAAAAAATGTTTGGGGTTGTTAGGGCTTTTGAGTAAGAACCAGGTATTGGGTAAAGGGGCTACGGTTCGGTTTAGGGTTTTGGGATTAGGGTTAAATCACTGTCCAACACCTTTTTAGGAACATGTTTCAGACCTTTTGGAGTAAGCTAGAAAGAAAAAAATTAAAAATTAAAAAAAATGTTTGGGGTGTTAGGGTTTCCTTTAGGTAATACCTGGGTATTGGGTTATGGGACTAGGGCAAGGTTTAAGGTTTTTGGGGTTAAGCTTAAAATCACTGTCCAAGACCTTTTTAGGAACATGTTTCAGACGTTTTTGGGTTAATTAGAGCAAAAAGAATGAAAAATGTCAAAAAAAATGTTTGAGGTTGTTAAGGCTTTTGAGTAAGAACCGGGTATTGGGTAATGGGGCCACGGTTCGGTTTAGGGTTTTGGGATTAGGGTTAAATCACTGTCCAACACCTTTTTAGGAACATGTTTCAGACCTTTTGGAGTTAGAACACAAAAATTGAAAAATAAAAAATTTTTTTTGGGGTGTTAGGGTTTCCTTCAGGTAATACCTGGGTATTGGGTTATGGGACTAGGGTTCGGTTTAGGGTTTTAGGATTAAGGTTAAATCACTGTCAAACACCTTTTTAGGAACATGTTTCAGACCTTTTGGAGTTAGTTAGACCAAAAAAAATGAAAAATGAAAAAAAAATGTTTGGGGTGTTAGGGCTTCCTCTAGGTAATACCTGGGTATTGGGTCACGGGTCTAGGGTAAGATTAAAGGTTTTTGGGTTTAGGGTTAAAATCACTGTCCAAGACCATTTTAGGGACAAGATTCAGAAATTTGGAGTTAGACCAAAAAAAAAAAAAAAATTGAAAAAAAAAATGTTTAGGGTTGTTAGGGCTTCCTTTAGGTAATACTAAAGGAAGTATTGGGTTACGGGGCTAGGCTAAGGTTTAAGCTTTTTGGTGTTAGGGTTAAAATTACTTTCCAAGACCTTTTTAGGAACGTGATTCAGACCTTTTTGAGTTAGTTAGACCAAAAAAATGAAAAATGAGAAAAAAATGTTTTGGGTTGTTAGGGCTTCCTTTAGGTAATACTAACGGAAGTATTGGGTTACGGGGCTAGGGCAAGGTTTAAGGTTTTTGGGGTTAAGCTTAAAATCACTGTCCAAGACCTTTTTAGGAACATGTTTCAGACGTTTTTGAGTTAATTAGAGCAAAAAGAATGAAAAATGTCAAAAAAAAATGTTTGGGGTTGTTAGGGCTTTTGAGTAAGAACCGGGTATTGGGTAACGGGGCTACGGTTCGGTTTAGGGTTTTGGGATTAGGGTTAAATCACTGTCCAACACCTTTTTAGGAACATGTTTCAGACCTTTTGGAGTAAGTTAGAAAACAAAAAATGAAAAATAAAAAAAATTGTTTGGGGTGTTAGGGTTTCCTTCAGGTAATACCTGGGTATTGGGTTATGGGACTAGGGTTCGGTTTAGGGTTTTAGGATTAAGGTTAAATCACTGTCCAACACCTTTTTAGGAACATGTTTAAGACCTTTTGGAGTTAGTTAGACCAAAAAAATGAAAAATGAAAAAAGAATGTTTGGGGTGTTAGGGCTTCCTTTAGGTAATACCTGGGTATTGGGTCACGGGTCTAGGGTAAGATTTAAGGTTTTTGGGTTTAGGGTTAAAATCACTGTCCAAGACCATTTTAGGGACAAGATTCAGAAATTTGGAGTTAGACCAAAAAAAAACAAAAATTGAAAAAAAAAATGTTTTGGGTTGTTAGGGCTTCCTTTAGGTAATACTAAAGGAAGTATTGGGTTACGGGGCTAGGGTAAGGTTTAAGCTTTTTGGGGTTAGGGTTAAAATCACTTTCCAAGACCTTTTTCCGAACGTGTTTCAGACCTTCTGGAGTTAGACCAAAAAAACAAGTAAAATGTCATAACTTTTTTGGTATTGTAAGGGCTTTCTTTAGGTAAGACCGGGGTATTGGGTTACAGGGCCAGGGTTGGGATTAGGGTATAAATCATTTCCCAAGACCTTTTTAGGAACATGTTTCAGACCTTTTGGAGTTAGTTAGAAAACAAAAAATGAAAAATAAAAAAAAAATGTTTGGGGTGTTAGGGCTTCCTTCAGGTAATACCTGGGTATTGGGTTACGGGGCTAGGGTAAGGTTTAAGGTTTTTGGGGTTAAGCTTAAAATCACTGTCCAAGACCTTTTTAGGAACATGTTTCAGACCGTTCGGAGGTAATTATACCAAAAAAAATGCAAAATGTAAAAAAAAAATTTGGGGGTTGTTAGGGCTTTTTTAAAGTAAGAACTGGGTATTGGGTTACGGGGCTAGGGTTCGGATTAGGGTAAAATCACTGTTAAGGATCCTTTTAGGAGCATTTTTCAGAGTTTTCGAGTTAGACCAAAAAAACTGAAAAATGTTAATTAGATCATAAACAAAGCAAAAATGAAAAAAAAATGTTTGGGGTGTTAGGGCTTCCTTAAGGTAAGACCCAGGCATTGGATTATGGGGCTAGGGTAAGGTTTAGGGTTTTTGGGGTTAGGCTTAAAATCACTGTCCAAGACCTTTTTCGGAACGTTTCAGACGTTTTGGAGTTAATTAGAGCAAAAAAAAAGAAAAATGTCAAAAAAAGAATTTGGGGTTGTTAGGGCTTTTGAGTAAGACCTGGGTATTGAGTAATGGGGCTACAGTTCGGTTTAGGGTTTTGGGATTAGGGTTAAATCACTGTGCAAGATCTTAATAGGAACATGTTTCAGACCTTTTGGAGTTAGTTAGACCATAAACAAAGGAAAAATGAAAAAAAAATGTTTGGGGTGTTAGGGCTTCCTTTAGGTAATACTCGGGTATTGGGTTACGGGGCTAGGGTAAGGTTTAAGGTTTTTGGGGTAAGGGTTTAAATCATTGTCCAAAGCCTTTTTATGAACATGTTTCAGACCTTTTGGAGTAAGTTAGACCAGAAAAATACGAAAAATTAAAATAAAAATGTTTGGGGTGTTAGGGCTTCCTTTAGATAATACACGGGTATTGGGTTACAGCGCTAGGGTAAGGTTTAAAGTTTTTGGCACAAGGGTTAAAATTACTGTCCAAGACCTTTTTAGTAACCTGTTTCAACCTTTTTGGAGTGAATTAGACCAAAATAAATTGAAAAATAAGAACAAAATGTTTGGGTGTTAGGGCTTCCTTTAGATAATACCTGGGTATTGGGTTTCAGGACTTGGGTAAGGTTTAAGGTTTTTGGGGTCAGGATTAATATCACTGTCCAAAACCTTTGAGGAACATGTTTTAAACCTTTTGGAGTGAATTAGACCAACAACAAAAAAAAAAAAAAATTAAAAAATAATTGTTTGGGGTGTTAGGGCTTCCTTTAGGTAATACTAAAGGAAGTATTTGGTTAGTATTGGGTTACAGGGCTAGGGTAAGGTTTAAGGTTTTTTGGGTTAGGCTTAAAATCACTGTCCAAGACCTTTTTAGGAACATGTTTCAGATCTTTTGGAGTGAATTATACCGAGAAAAAAAAAAGAAAAATGTCAAAAAAAAATATTTTGGGCGTTGTTAGGGCCTTTTTAATGGTAATACCCAGGAATTTGGTTAAGGGGCTAGGGTGAGGGTTAGGGTTTCTGGATAAGGGTTCATATCACTGTCCAAAAACCTTTGAGGATCATGTTTCAGACCTTTTGAGTTCATTAGACCAAAAAATCCGCTCTGACAGCTCTCATCAGCCTGCTGTGTTCCTCCAACACACAGACACACACACACGCGCGCACATACGTGGAGTTTTGTTTCCTTTGACGATGACGTTGACAAAAATATTTTCGTCAACGTCATGGTTGACGAAAACAACACTGGATTAATATCACTGTCCAATACCCTTTTAAGGTTTTTGGGGTTAGGGTTAAAATCATTGTCCAAGACCTTTTTAAGAACATGTTTCAGACCTTTTGGAGTTAATTATACCAAAAAGAAAAACGAAAAATGTCAAAAAAAAAAATTGGGGTTGTAAGGGCTATTTTTTTAGGTATTTTTAGGTGTTGGGTTTCGGGGCTAGGGTTAGGTTTAGGGTTTTGGGATTAGGGTTAAAATAAACTGTCCAAGAACTATTTAGGAACATGTTGCAAACCTTTTGGAGTTCATTAGAAAAAGAAAGAAAAATGTCATTTTTTTTTTTATGTTAGGGCTTCCTTTAAGTAACACCTGGATATTGGGTAACAGGGCTGAGGTTAGGGATATGTATTTAGGGTTAAAATTACTGTCCAACAACCTTTGGGGAACATGTTTCAAACCTTTTGCAATTCATTAGACCCAAAAAAAACAAAAAATGAAAAAAAAATGTTCAGGCTTAAAATCACTGTCCAAGACCTTTTTAGGAACATGTTTCAGATCTTTTGGAGTTAGTTAGACCAAAAAAAAATGAAAAAAAATGTTTGGGGTGTTAAGGCTTACTTTAGGTAATACCCAGGTATTGGTTTACGGGGCTAGGGTAAGGTTTAAGGTTTTTGGGGTTAGGGTTAAAATCACTGTCTAAGACCTTTTTAGGAACATGTTTCAGATCTTTTAGAGTTAATTATACCAAAAAAAACACACAGAGCTGTGTGATAAAAGTCAGACCCAGGACAATGATGATCAGACACAACAACAGGATGCAGACATATCTAATGGTGGTGTTGTTTTGGAGTCGTGCCTTCAGCCACGTGATGTTTTTGAGGAAATATTGTGTTTCAGTGACTCGCGAGAATACACTGGATGAAAACAGACCCATGAAATTATCACCCAGTAGTTATTTTAAAGCAAGGCTCTTTGGTGTTGATGATCGCTTTACCAGAGATACCAACTACCTGTTCTTTGCACAGTTTGTGACAGAGATACACTTGGCTACCTCCAGCATGTCCATACAGTTACACAAAGGCAAACCTTTGACCAGAGACGGACATAAAAAAACATTCAAAATTTTGAGAGACAAATATGAAGTGGAGAGACTGGTGAGAAACAGAGATGCTATCAGATTTATGCAGCCACTCAAGGGAACACCAGCCTACTAGGACAAAACTACAAAAGATCTGTTTGCTATGATCAGGCAGTTGGGCAGTCCTACTTTCTTTGTCACATTTTCTGCAGCAGAAATGCTTTGGCCTGAGGTGATTATTGCAATAAAATCACAACAAGGTGAGGAGGTGACATTCAAAGTGTGACATTCTGAGAAGCAATCCTGCGCATGTTTGATAAGTGTGTTGAAGCACTGTACAGAGATCTGATCATGTCTCCTGCACAACCCCTGGGCAAAGTTTATGACTTCTTTTGGCGTCTCGAGTTTCAGCACAGAGGAAGTCCTCATATACATGGTCTTTTGTGGGTAGAAGGTGCACCTGTGTTTGAGAGAGATTCTGACAAAACTGTGTGTGACTTTGTGTCCAAACACATCTCTGCTCAGCTCCCTGACCCAAATAAAGAGCCTGAACTGTACAAAAAGGTCAAAGAAGTGCAAATACACAGTAAGAAGCACTCAAAGACATGTTTCAAAAGTGCAAGTTCAGGATGCCGTTTTGGATTCCCAAAACCACCCTCCAGACGGACAATGATAACAAGACCTGTGGATGATGATGAGGAGTCAGAGAGACTTAAGAGAGCCAAAGAGAAACTTGCACCACTGAATCAGCTGCTGAATGAGACACAAACTGAATCCCTGAGTTTTCAACAGCTCCTGTCTGTCTGTGACTTAACCGCTGATGAGTACAAGAAACACATGCATTTGATGAGTCGGTCAAGCAACATCCTTCGGAAGCGTGAGCCAAAAGACTGCTGGGTAAACACCTACAACCCTCACCTGCTCAAGGCCTGGGATGCAAACATTGATGTGCAGTTCATTCTCAGCTACTACAGTCTAATCCATTACATATGTACGTACATGTGTAAAAGTGAGAACTCTGTGAGCCAGTATCTGCAAACACTCATTCAGAACTCTGAGAGAGAATGTGTCAATCAATCAATCAAATCAATCAAATTTTATTTATATAGCGCCAATTCACAACAGTCGTCATCTCAAGACGCTTTTCAAGGAACAAGAGCAGGTCTGGACCACGCTCATTGTTTGATGATCAAGAACCAACCTAAGATGGGTTTTGGCCCATCTCAACCAACATGAGTTACAGTGGCAAGGAAAAACTTCCTTTTAACAGGCAGAAACCTTGGGCAGGACCAGCCTCATGCTAGACAGCCACCATGCCGCTGCTGGGTTGGGGAGGAATGTAGAGAGAAGAGGGGAGAGGGGGAGAGGACAGGGGGAGGGAGAGAGACACAAGATAGGGGAAAGGCGAGAGAGAATGAGTACGGAGAGGGAGGGGGAGGGAGAGAGAGTAAGGAACGAGGGTGAGAGAGAGACAGGAGGCAGCAGGAACAACAGCAACAACAACAGCTCATGTAATGGTGAAACAAAATGAGTTCAGTTTACAGGGTTAGGATATGAGTGCTAATGGACAATGTTGAATTAATTGAGTGTGATTACAGTTAGCAGGCTTAATCGTAGTCAGTTCTATTTTGTATTATTAATGGGGGGGGGGGTCTGCAGCAACGGTCCAGAGGAGCCAAAGAGCCAAAGAGCCGGGGTGGATGCAGCTGGGGTCAGGCAGTTCCACAGCAGACCGTTTGCAGCATTAGTCCAGCGGCAGCTAAAAGACTCAGAGACACACTCAGAGAGACAGAAAACTGGTCAGTGACTTATATGGGACATAAAGATAGGAGATAGAGACAGACTCTAGCTCAGTGTGCCAGATAGCCCCGGCAGTCTAGGCCTATAGGAGCATAACTAAGAGCTGGTTCAAATCAGCCCTGACTATAGGCTTTATCAAAGAGGAACGTTTTAAGTCTACTCTTGAAAGTTGAGAGTGTGTCTGCCCCCCGAACCTCGAGCGGTAAATGATTCCAGAGAAGAGGTGCCTGGTAGCTGAAAGCTCTTCCTCCAATACTACTTTTAGAGACATTTGGTACAACGAGCAGACCTGCAGACTGTGAGTGTAACGGTCTAGATGGAAAGTACGGTATAACTAGCTCGTCGAAATATGATGGAGCCTGGCCATTAAGCGCTTTATATGTCACAAGGAGGATTTTAAACTCAATTCTATATTTAATAGGGAGCCAGTGAAGAGAGGCTAAAACAGGAGAGATGTGCTCCCTTCTTCTAGTTCTAGTCAATACCCGAGCTGCTGCATTTTGGACCAGCTGAAGAGTCCTTAATGACTTACTAGAGCAGCCTGACAGGAGAGAATTACAGTAATCCAGCCTAGAGGTTACAAAGGCATGGACTAGTTTTTCTGCATCGCTCTGAGACAATATGCGTCTAATTTTTGAGATATTGCGCAGGTGGAAAAAGGCTGTCCTGGAAATTTGTTGAATGTGGGAGCTAAAAGATAAATCCTGATCAAATACAACTCCTAGATTTCGCACAGTGGGGCTGGATGCCAGGCTGATACCATCAAATGTAGCTAAATTACTAGAGAATGCCTCTCTAAGGTGTTTAGGACCGAGGACCAGAACTTCAGTTTTGTCTGAGTCAATGAATGTGATGAAATGAAAGTGGTCATGCAGGCGTATTCCAAAAAGCGAGAAGTATCAGCACAAGAAGCTGTTGCCCGAGTGACTTCACTGAACATGAAAAAGAGTACACGCAGTGTGGTTTTTGTCCCAACTGATGACAACCCAGTGAAAATGAGTCTGCCTGTGTCAAGCCTTGACAACACTACACCAGACAGCTTGAATGTGTGGATGACATCCTTAACAGACAAATACAAATCCAGACCTGAAACACCAGAGTTTGAAGAGATGTACATGGCTGATTTTACATCTACCTGCAGACTGGTGTATGGACAACAGACCAAGGGCAAGAAAGTGTACCCTTGCTGAATGAACTAGGCTTTATACAGAGACGAGAAAGTGACAACGCTGCTGTCATCAGGTATCGCCGCATATGGAAAGAGAAATACCCTGAGCAGTTTTACGGCACATTGCATATACTGTATCTTCCATACAGATCAGACGATGAGCTGAAAAGACCATATCTTCCCACGTATGAGTCATTCTATAAGAGAGGTGTGGTTCAGCTGCCATATTCTGACCAACCCCTGCGTGTGAAACTCATTGTGAAAAGAAACAGAGAGAGATATGAAAAAAACGGTGAGGAAATTGACTCTGCTCTCGAGGACTTTGAACAGAACAGAGGTGTGATCGATGAATGGTGTAATTTGGCACCTGAATCTGAACTGGTGAAGTTGGAGTGTATCGATGAACTGGATGCCTGACAGTGTGAAAATGTCCAACAGGATGTACCGGAATACAGCAGACAAGCTAATGCTGCTACAGAGGCCAGAGTCATGAGAGAGCCCCCTACAATCAATCCCACACGGTTACGACAAATGTATCAGAGTCTGAACCAGAAGCAGGCATGTGTGTTCTATGCAGTGAGAGACTGGTGCATAAAACGAGTCTGTGGACTACAACCAGAGCAGTTTTTCTACTACATAAATGGTGGTGCTGGCACTGGAAAATCACCTCATTAAATGCATTCATTCAGAAGCATCAAAGATACTGAGAACTCTACCTAGACGTGTAGAGGAAGCTGACATCTCAAACCCGACTGTGCTGTTGACTGCTTTCACTGGAACTGCAGCCTTTAACATCTCTGAAACAACACTGCACTCTCTTCTCAAGCTGCCCAGAAGTTTGAAACCTCCTTTTCAAGGTCTTGGGAACCAACTTGATTAAATCAGGTGTGAGCTTTTAAATGCTGAAATCATTATCATTGATGAAAGGTCAGATAAGATTTCTGAGGCTGACAGAGCTCTGCTGTCACAGCGTGTCACTGAACCACAACTGTGTCCCTCTGATGTCCTGCACATTTTTGCTACAAACGAACAAGTCGCAGCACACAACTCTGCTACACTATCTCTGCTCCATTCTGATATCACCACCATTGATGCAGATGACTTTAAAAAGGACCCACACACTGGACACATGAAAAGACAAGGTGCACCATGTCATGGAAGCAGAAATGATCTACCTGACACACTAGATGTTGGAGTAGGTGCTAGAGTCATGCTCATCAGAAACACTGATGTGTCTCAAGGATTGGTAAACGGATCATTTGCTACAGTAGGCCATCTCATAAGCTCTGACAACAACAGTTCTACTCTTGTCACTATGCTTGGTCTCAGGATGGATGATGAAACAGCTGGCAGGAGCTATCGTACTCGAGGAGACAATCTTGTGTACATCGAGAGATCTGAGGAGGCTCTGCATCAGAAAGGAGTGGTACGCAGACAGTTTCCTGTGAAACTTGCCTTTGCATGCACGATACACAAGGTTCAAGGTATGACCAGAAAATCTGCTGTTGTTTCTCTGAAGCACATTTTTGAGCTCGGCATGGCCTACGTAGCTATCAGTCGAGTGACCTCTCTCGGCGGACTGCACATGTTTGATTCGGATGAGAGTAAAATTCATGCTAACCCTGCAGTCACTGTATCTTTGGAGACCATGGCGCAAGCTAACTTTGATCACCTCATGCCTTTTCTCCATATCCAGCATTCTCTTAGCAGACAGGCCACTGTGAGCATCATTCATCACAACACCGAAGGATTACCTGCTCATGTGAATGACATCAAAAGCCATCATGAACTGTGTCTTGCAGATGTTTTGTGTCTGACAGAAACTCACCTACAGGGGTCCTTTGTGGCAGACAGTCTCCAGTTTGAGGGCTACACCATGTTCAAACGCAACAGACATTTGTGCTACACTAACTTTCCACAGATGGCCAGTAAAGGAGGTGGTGGAGTCCAGTGGCGATTGCTCTAAGACTGCAAGGGAAGCTCAGCTTCCATTAAAATGTCACCCCCCCAAAAAAAGAAAAAGTGGTGAAATACGTACTGCTGTGTGTTCATTTCATTAACTAAATACGCGCTAGAAAGCCTTCATCTTTTGTTCATAATCAGCTTCTTATCACACTGTGATAAGAAGCTGATAATCACAGGTAACCGGCATAACTTCGTTCTCATTCATCCTCGCAGCGCCTCGGCGCTTCACACAGCCAGACGCTCAGCATCTGCTGACTTCAATGTGGAAGCTCAAAGTGGGTTGTTCCAGCAGCGAAACTAGACGCTCATTGGATAAATGCTGGGCTTTGTCCCGCCCATCGGACGCTCAGCGTCTATGGAGTTCTATGACGAGAGGGCGGTCCCAACTTTCTCGTGGACGCTGAGCTTCTGCATCCATGATTGGATGTGCTGTCTGAGGCGAAATCCTTTTTTGATTGACAGCTAAATAAGCGAATCAGCGATCTTGAAGAATAAAACATCTTCCAGAGCATTTTCCAAGTTATTCATTCCGTTGTTCTTAACTGCTCCGGAGACTTTACCGATCCTCAGCGTCTTTTGTCTTTGTTAAAAACGATTGCCGTTGTGTTTGGCGACTCTGTTCTGTTACATACAAATAAACAAACACAATTATGATGTAGGCCAGAAAAATGAGCTTCCCCTCCTTGAAAGACCAGCAGCTGCCACTGGTGGAGTCGCTGTTTATGTGAAAAACCATTTGCAGGTTGTGGAGAAACAGTACCTGAATAATGTGACTGACCTTGAGTTTGTGGCTTTGAAGGTTGAATCTCCTGTAAGTGCTCTGATTGCAGCTGTGTACAGACCTCCAGACTACAGTGTTCCATCATTCCTGTCCAATCTGGACTCACTTGAGATCATGGACTTTACTGCAGCTTTAAACTTTCCCTGAGGTAATGGTGTATTTCCTTGCCCCATAACAATAACCATGTTTGACCAACATAGAAAAGCACAGTATTACTGTTAACACAGGATTTTTGTATTGATTACAGAGTTAAAGTGAAGGGATTTTTTTTTTTTTTTTTCAGACCTCTCCTCCTCCTGCCTCTGACTCCAGTGATGCTGTCAACTCGAACACTGATAACTGCACACAGCGATTCTACAACCACAGGTCAAAGGTCAAAACATTACCTCACTCTCAACCTTCACTCTGAACTGTACCGGCCTCTGCTTTTTGTTTTGAACGAAAGTGCCCAGACAGAACACAGTACTCACTTGAGGAACTGACTGATTGTCTTCAGGACAGGACAACTATTACTCTTATATTGTTTTGAATCCTGTTTTCTACATTAAGTGATTGGTTGTCCATATCTGTTAATATTTTAAGTTTCCTTTATGTTTCTTGGACTTTATTTGTTCTATTTTATTTTAGTATTTTCTTTCCCTTTTACTGTGTATCTGTCCTTATATCAAAAGATGACCAACACTGATGAAGGGAAAAAATACCAGTTCAGTTGCTGCAGGCAGCTGAATTTCTCGTTTTAATATGCTCACCATATCCCTCAAATTTACCTACAAGAGAAGACGTGTTTTTAGAAATAAATGATGTACTTTGGGTTTCAGCTGGTAGGTACACTGCAGGTTTTTCACGTGTGCTTAGTCTTGGGCTAATGTTTTGGACAGCAGTGATCCCAGCATTACAGTGTGAAACAATCCCTGCTGAAGGTTGTCGTCACTTGGTTAAATGAGCTGTGTGAAGTGATTTCATAGAGGAACAAAGTTTTTATGCTTATCCTTAAAATGTAATTCTCCATAGTAGATAACTTTTTTAAAAAGAAACTATCAACTTGAAGACAAACCAGCATTTCAGTAAGACCGAGTAGTGTGAATGTTTGGATAAGAAAACACTGGGATCTAAAATGCTGACCAGATTGTCAGTCCACTACAATGAGCTGATGACAGTATTAGCCTTGGTCTAACTACTGTGAAAAGACTTTTGGGTGGTAAGGTGGACCAATACATGCTATAAAAAATACTTCAGTGCCATATTTAAGTTATTAACCTTTCATCTTACTTTGTCTGTATACTTCCGCAAGCCTGGATGACTTTGCATCTTTTGCATTTGCATTCTTTACCTTACCCTCCACATTATTTAAAATTTAAAATTTAGATTTAATTAAAAAAAAATATTTTATTTTTTTTAAAATACTTCTGTACTACACTGTACAGTAAACTGTGGAGTTATTTTTGCAAACAAAAATGCTGACCAGATTGTCAGTCCACTACAATGAGCTGATGACAGTATAAGCCTTGGTCTACTGTGAAAAGCCTTTTGGTGGTAAGGTGGACTGATACATTACATCAATTTATTTCAAGTTCTCAAATCTACTTTTTAATCTGATCATTTTAGATTTTGTTTTAAGTTTCATTTAATTATTACTTATCATAATAATTTATTATTATTACAGATCATAACTTATCATCTAATTTTACTTATAATAATTATTAATTATTCTATAATTTTCTTTTTTTTACATGAGAGGGCCCACATTTCACTGCAGTTAGCTTTAAAAAATACTATAATGCCATATTTAATTCATAAGCCTTCCACCTTACTTTGCATGTATATTTCCACAAGCCTGGATAACTTTGCATTATTTGCATTTGCATTCTTTACCTTACCCTTCACATTATTTTAAATTTTAATACAAATTTAATTTAATTTTTTTTTAATTTTAACTTCTGTATAATACTTCTGTACTACACTGTACAGTAAACTGTATTTTTGCATACTATTCCTCATGTTCCATTCTATACTTTATGTGTTTCACATTCGAGTTGTTATACTGCTGACCGATTGTAGTAACAATTTTTTTTATAACTCTCAAGTCACCATTTTCATATATTTTTTTAATGTATAGGTATAATAAAGGTTTTTCAGAAGTGCAAACTTAGTCTTAAGCTAATCTAAACCCTTAAAAACATGCATAACAGTCCTGTATCAGACTTTGAAATCAAATTTCAAGGTCTGTTTTTAAAGCCCACAACACAGGACTCGGCTTAATGGGCCATAACAAATTTTATGAGCCAACTTTTGTTAAGGCTTAGTAATCCGAAAACACAAGAAAAGAGGTGAATGTGGGTACAGGGCAGCTGGAGTTTGAATCCATTAAATAATGGGGTGTTAGCCTCAGTCTAACCACCGTGTGAAGAGCCTTTAATGATGTGGCTAAACAATATTAGAAACAATTGAAAATGTGATACCTTTGTCCATCAACAATCACAGTAACTACAATCTTAAAACCTCTAGCTTAAGAGACAGATTGGTTACCCATGTAAAGATTTCTGCTTCCAAAACCTGTTCACAAACAAATTGATTATAATTTGATTTAAGGCACTATGGAACATTGTTTCTTTATGTGTTTATGTTTTGATGGGTTTTTTTTTTTTATTTTTATTTTTTATGTTTTATGATTAATCATTTCATTGCTCACAAAATGTTAAATGATTGACAAAAATATATTCTTTTTTTCTTTCTTTTGGTTTTACTTATGTAAAAACTCAGTTTGAAAGTTGTAGCAAATTTTAAATTGAATATATTTGTGTAATGTGTTCATGTCTTATCTACATTCATTTCTACTTCTTCCAACATGAAGGCCTTTTCAGCCATCTTTAAAATTCTTTACCATATTTTCTGTAATGTTCAAGTTCAGTTCTCTAGCAATTTGAATATTCATACAGCTTCTGGTTTACCTCTCCCAGTGTTTCTACATCCATACAACTCATCTCTTTTTCATCATCTTCTTCTTCAGTTCTGTTACGGTTTAAACATTTATACAACTTCTACTTATTACACTTCACCCCTTTAACAGTTTTTTCATTTATACTCTCCTCCATTTTTTTCACAGTTTTGCATGCTTGGCTTCTCAGTTTTCAGCACTCAGCATTTCCACGCATTTTCTGCAAGGAAATGCAATTTTTCTAGTTATTATTAAGTGGAAATGCTGACACAGCATTTCCACTTATTGTTATTTTCCTATTTCTTTATTATTATTATTATTATTATTATTATTATTATTATTATTATTATTCCATACCTTTTTTGGCCCTTTTCAACTCCTTCCCACTTTGTGCTATTTTAACCATTCAAACTTTATACTAATGCACTCCTTCAGGACATTATTGCTATTACTTTTCACCTTTCTACCATTTATACTTTTTGCAATATTTCACTTTTTCTGCAAAATTTGTTCCATTAGAAATGAATGGAGAAATCTCTCCACTCCACCTACAGCTATAACACCTTCTCACCCTTATAACTTCTGCATTATTTCACCTACAGACAGTAGCGGTTCTTGGCACGGGCGAACAGGGCAGCCGCCCGGGGCGGGATTTGTGTCATGACTCATTGGGGGCGGCATGAGCACTTCCAAAAAAATAAAATAAAAGATAATGATAATAATTCTTAACCGCAAAGCGGTTTTTGTATTAACTCTTAAGCCGGGAGCGCGGACACGTCATTTAGTTTTTTAATCATTTCTGGAGTCGTGGTGAATCAAATCACTGTACCCGTCTGCCTCTGATAGGTGAACAAAGCGCTCGGATTCATGCTCGGATCTTGCGATGCACTTCATGAGTAAAGTAAACACTGACGGAGGCAGAGAGCAGCTTTGGAGGAGAAACATCCAGCAGTGTGAACAACCTTTTGATATGGAGTGCTTTGGCTCACACAATCGCAATTATGAACAACAGATAATATGTGAGGGTCAAGGCAACATTGTTGACATTAAATGAGCTCCTTCTGATAGGAGCGGATCCTCCTCATTACTTCCCACGATTCACAGTGGAGGATACATCACACACACACACACACACACACACACACACACACACACACACACACACACACACACACACCTGCTAATAGGAGAAACAAGGTCACAGAGAAGTTAAGAAACATTCATGTGCTGTGTAATAAAGCTATTGGAGAGAGAAGTGGCGGCAGTAGCTCAGGAGGTAGAGCGGTCGTCCAATAACCGGAAGGTTGGCGGTTCGATTCCCCCCTAATCCAAGTCTGTCCGTTGTGTCCTTGGGCAAGACACTTAACCCACCTTGCTCCCAGTGTGTGTCCTCCACTGGTGTATGATTGTGAGTGTTGTGTGGTGGTGGTCGGAGAGGCCGTAGGCGCAGAATGGCAGCCACGTTTCCACCACCACCAAAGTGTGACTGTGTGAGCGAATGAATGATGTATCCAATGTA